AGGGCAAGACGCCAACGCGGTCAAAGGGGCTATCCCCAAGGATCAGCAAGAGAGCGTAGGCCTTATAAGGTAGCAAGTCGGAGGCGTAAAAGTCCAAGTGATGCTCCAGCTCACATCCACCGGGCGGAGGGAAAGGAGGGGGGGGGAAGAGAAGAATGTGCGATCAAGGAGTGAGACAGCTTTGAGTGTTTGAGACAAGAAGGACACAAATCTGCGTCTTTGCCCGGTGCAGGTCGAGGAGGTGGTTGGGGAGGTCACGAAGCCTGTCTTGGGCGGGTACAGGCTAGCCATTGTCGGCTTAGCGTTCTGTCTGGGCCGCGCTAATCTGGGCGTGTTCGTTGCGCACGGAATCATTCGAATGGCCGCCGCCACCGCCATCTGGTCAGTGTGGGAGAGGGGCGCTTTGACCCGAGGTCGATTTGCTTCACACAATGCCCAATTACATAGGACTGCCATGGATGTATTTTCCAAACCAACTTGACAATGTCCCCTCGCTGTCCTCTCTTTGTGTGGTGCGGTGCTAAGAGTAGGTACTACACTATGCTATGCAGGTAGAGTCCCCCTGCGCCTGGATGGTGTCACGTGTGTGCTCGTGCATGGATGTCACCTTGAAATGGCGAATGGTTCGCATGGTTCGCCTCACTAGAGACGACTAACAAGTACGTCATCGCTTATCAAGGCTTGTCCGCAATCTCCTTGGGGTCCGCCCACCAATGACCACGAGTGATTCTTACTCCCCTTGAAATCCATTTCACATACAACACAATCAAAATCAGAAAGATGCACAAATCAAAGACAGAGAATACATGCATCCAACATGCAACCAACTGCCTGGCCATCTCATGTCTCATGGGCAGAGTTTTTGCTCCTTGTCTCTCTCTCTCTCTCTCTCTCTCTCTCTCTCTCTCTCTCTCTCTCTTCTCCTGCAGCCCGCGTCTTAACACGGGCGACTAGGTAGCTTCTACGCATTTTTTTCGTCCTCGGCTGTCTGCTCAGTGGTTTTGTCCTTCACCGCCAACTTAGTCCTTTGTCAGACAGTGCAGCTGCCTGTCTCTTTGATCGAACCGCCCTACCAGCCAATCAGCCGTGTAATGCCTCCTTTTCCCAAAGACGGCCAAACACTTGGGAGTGCAGCTACTACTGGATAGCTTATCTTCTGCCTACCTAGGCCTAATACTAGCTAACAGTATAGGTAGCACTCTACCTGCCTAGCCAGAGCTGAGCTGCTTCCTGATGGTCAGTGCCCCCAGCTCTCGATGTTCCTTTGAAGGTTGGTGCAGCAAGCTCTGGCCAATAAGCAGTCCGTGGGCAGGGCGGGAACTAGGACGAATCTGCTCCTGCCAGAGCTGCCGCCAGGAAGTTTCCCTCTACAGTAGATGAGTAGGTAGATGGGTACAGTAGCTACTTCCTCCGTTGTACCAGTCATACCATCACAGTAGGAATAGGATCATAGCCATCATGAGAGCTCCTAGAAGGGAAAAGGCGGGTAAAAGCGTGGATGAAATAGAGCCCAAGTACCTAGCTTCAACAAGGCAGCTAGCCATGTACCGGTAGGTACCCATCACAATCATCACTCAATGCGCCTTTCTCAACCGATAGGTAGATTCAACGATGAAAGACAAACAACAACTAGTGTTTGCACATCTCGTCTCACAAAGTCGGCTTACGTATGCTATACATGGACGCATACATACATACTAGACACAGTATGCTACATGGAGTAGCCTTTGTAGCTAGGTATCAGCTGGCAGTGCTGGCTTAGGACCCTGTCCTGTGCTGTGCTGTTAATGTAGGTACCCTATTGTGCCCTGGCCGAATGAACAACTGCTCCCCCTCCTCTCCCCCATCCCCCATCCCCTCTCCCCGTGCGTCATCACCACCCACCCACTCGCCTTCTCACACCTCTACTCTCTCTATTCACTGCATTCACGTCTCGATTCACCTTGTACTTTGTATCATATCACTTTCCCTTTCCTTTCCTCTCACCCCCACAGTTGCACTGCGACCTTGTGCTCCTCCTGCCCGCCTCTGCACCCGCGAGCTTCTCTTGAGCTGCGCGCAGACGCTACTCTCTGAGCGCTCCATCTCTCCATCTCCCTCTTTCCCTCTTTCCCTCCCTCCTCTCTCTCTTTCTCTCTCTCTCTCTCTCTCTCTCTCTCTCTCTCTCTCTCTCTGCCTTTCGGACCCTCGCAGCGCCGCTCCCACCGCCGCTCGTCGATTGTAGTGTCAAAGAGCTGCTGCGCTTGACCCCTCCTCACCACTGTGCCTACCGCTCCTCCCAATGTCCCTTCCCTCCGACTACTCGAATGAAATCTCGGCTCTCGACCGCGAAATCCTGAAGCACCAGCCCCACGACATTCTCCAGTTTTGCGCAAACTTCTTCAACCGCCGTCTCGAGTCCCAGCGCACCGAAGCCTTGCTGTCGCAGCAGCATTCCAGCCCCCAGGGTCGAGGCCTGGCCGACAACACCTTCCCCGGCAACAACCCCTTCAGCACATCCCCCACCGGCGGCGCCCCTGCAAAGAGCCCGATGCAGCGCCTCGAGGAAGAAGAGGAAAACGATACCATGACGTCGCCCACCGCTTCCTCGTTTGGCACCATTGACTTTGGCAAGCCCCGCAACACCAACAATAACAATAACAACGCCCATAATGGCACTCCCAGCGCCTTTGGCGACTTCCAGGGCTTTGGCGGCTCCTCCAAGAGCAACATCACCCAAATGCCACCACTTGCTGGAGACGGCCAAAGCTTCCCCAGCAACTACAACACCAACCGCCGCACCTCCGTCTCGGCCGAGTCGCTGAATCCCGCCTCGGCCGCCGCCGGCGACTTCACCGCCCCCTTCCACCAAAAGTCACAAGATCAGCTGTCGCGTCTGAGAGCAGCCGTGTCGGGCAACTTCCTCTTCTCTCATCTCGACGATGACCAGTCCTCGTTGGTGCTTGGCGCCCTCCACGAGAAGCCCATACCCACAAAGGGAATCAAGGTCATCTCGCAGGGCGACGTGGGCGACTACTTTTACGTTGTCGAGAAGGGCGAGTTTGATATTTACGTCAACAAGTCGGGCAAAGTCGAGACAGGCCAAGAAGGCATTGGTAACAAGGTGGGCTCCGTGGGCCCGGGTGGTTCCTTTGGTGAACTGGCACTCATGTACAACGCCCCTCGTGCTGCCACTGTCATCTCCACTGAAGCGTCCACCTTGTGGGCTCTCGATCGCGTGACGTTCCGTCGCATTCTCATGGACAGCGCCTTCCAGCGGCGACGCATGTACGAGGGCTTCTTGGAAGAGGTGCCTCTCCTGTCCACCCTGACGCCCTATGAACGATCCAAGATTGCAGACGCGCTCGAAACAAAGAAATACCCGCCAGGCTCCACCATTATCCAAGAGGGCGATGTGGGCGAGTCCTTCTACCTCCTCGAGTCGGGCGACGCCCAAGTCTTCAAACGTGGCATCGAGACAGCCGTCAAGGAGTACACAAAGGGCGACTACTTTGGTGAGCTGGCTTTGCTCAACGATGCTCCCCGTGCTGCCTCGGTTGTCAGCAGGACCGAAGTCAAGGTGGCAACGCTCGGCAAGAACGGATTCCAGCGATTGCTGGGTCCTGTCGAAGGCATCATGAGGCGGAATGATCCAAGCAAGCCTGGCTTCACTGGAGATCACGTCGACCCGCTCTCGAGAACTACAGGATGAAGAAACCGCTTCGTGATGCTCCCAAAATCACCCCACGATAGAGGAACTTATTTCCATGGCAGGATGGAGTCCTTGCTCGAATTCCGGGACTTGTCGTGAGGATATGTCGTTTCCGCTTCCCTGTGCTCCCAACTCTTCGGCGTTTTCGCATGTATTCCTACGCTTATATTACTGTCACTAAACGCCGCTTACTGTGATGGCCGGAGGGATGATGGCAGGCTTGCTTAAAGGAAAGCAATGAGCCCTGTATAGCCTGCTTTGTTACCAATACTCCTAACTTGCGTATGAATTTTTTCGATTCGAAATGAGATTTTAGATTTCCGAATACAGTAGTAAGCCCCCTGAATCGTGTGCAGCGTAACATTGTTTTCAAACAGTCTGTGCACCAGCTTGCAGCTCCTCCCCTCTCCCCCACCTCCCATTCCTGGCTGCACGCAATCCCCCTTTGTCTCAAACACTCAAAGAGGGTGACGACCTTGGGCATGTTATACTCACTTGCGTTGCTGTAGATTTGGCACTCAGATTACATGGGCAAGGTAAGCCCTCAACAAGGCTACCTATTCGGATTCACTGACGGGAATGTCAGTTACCTACCGTGACCGTTACCGTCATCCAAGATCTAACCCTTGAAACATGGCCATGGCTTTACATGGCTTCTACGAACAATTTTCCACCATCATCTGGGTATTAATATTGGCCAAGGCAGAAACAGGCGGCTGACCAGACCGTGAACGATTTTGTGGTTTCAACCGATTGGACTCGGGCGGACCCAAACCCTGCCGGGTGCCTCTAATGGCAGGCCATTCGTGGTAGGGCTAAACTTGCACAGCCATAAACCCCAGTGGCAACTACACCACCAAATCCCTCCCAGTCGAGCGAGCAGCATCCTAGACCCGGAGAAATCAACGGTCTCGATTCCACTTCTTGTCATCACATCTGCAGCTTACTGTTATGTGCAACAGCATGGGTCTGTACGCTCTATATCCGAACAAGGCAAATGGGGCTGCACTGCTTGAGGAACAAGCGTCTTCACCTATACGTTCCCTTTCCCTCATCTTCTGTTTGCCATCTCAAGTGTATATCACTGGGAAATCGGGAAATTGACGCTGAATGCTTTGCTTCGTAGAGTGTAGCAGCCCATGGAAGCTTCTGCTCTGCCTAGAGGCTACTAGTAGTCAAAGAACAAGGGTCAGATCAGTTCAACGTTGACAGGATCTCCCGTCAGACCAATCCCTTCACGGTGTCAAGCTGTACACTGTACTGAGAATGACCACTAGATCGACCATTTGTCTGCAGAACCACTGGCTTGCACCAACACCGGCTAAGAACCGTATTGTGCTTGTGACTTTCACGCCTTGCTATTCCCGAACCAAGGTCCAACTCACATGCACAACATGTTACGACGTTTGCACAGCTCCGCCATGTAGTCGCGCCTTACAAGGTACCGATTTTCGACCCCACCGCCCTTCTCCATGACCATGGAAGACTGCGCCGACCGGTGTGTCAGACAGATCTCGGTAGAGGTTATTGGCATGTTGAAGTCAGCTACCATCCCTACGCTGTTTGACTCGTTTGTAGTCCTGATATTGCCCTAGTTCAGTGAGACTTGACTCCGGGAACACTCTTGAGCGTTTATTCAAAGGCATGATGTCGAATAGGTACACGATTCGGGGCGTACATTTCTGAGCGTGGCTTGCTACTGCTACTCTATCAGACGGTGACCAAGTTGATCGATACGTACCTGGATCTTACGTTATCCAGCTAGGGCGATGGCTCATATGTCGACCACCATCCTGCTATCACCGTTGAGAGTCTCGATGAAAGCTACAGAGTAGGTCTTGCTCGCACAGGTCAGACATATTTTCACTTCTGCCAATTTTTAGCAACAGCTATGGCTCCACGGACCAAGTCCTCCACAGTGAAGAAACGATCGAATAGAAAACGAAGACCTCCCCTGGCACCCGGGCCACCGCTACAGTTCGTTGTGGCTAGCCATCCGGATAGGTTTAAGGATGAACAGACCATGAGAAATGTCCGATCTCATGTCATGTACAAGCATCGTGAGCACACGGAGCCATTACCCTCAGAGAGTAGTAGTGCTGGAGAGCAAAGCAGGAGCCGTTCCCATCAGTCACGAAGCCCAAACCCGTTCACCTTCAGCTGCCGTACTCCTACAGATGCCTTGGCTCTTGCATCGCCTGCATCACAACATCACAGCGGGGACTTGACCTATGGACTACCTTCATTGGCTCTAGAATCGCTTCCAGTGGATCCTTTCAGGTCTCTTGCAACTCGCATCTTCTCAATGACAGAAGTCACAAGCGTTCCTAGTACGACGCCAGTGTTTGCAATAGCCCAGACACATGCCCTTGACACCTTGGATGAATCAATACCAGAGTCATGGGAAACTCTACAGCAAGAGTACATCGAAATCACTCCACTCTTATGCCATGGTACGTGTATACTCTCTCAGTTCGACTGCTTCTCATGCTGTACTAGATCTAGACTGGATGCGAAGCCTATGTAGCGCTCACATGTCCTTCCTCAGCCACGCAAGTGCAGCATGCGTCTACCAGGACCTTGGCGACGGTCTTTTACACGACAGTGCACTCACTGTCTCCGCAAAATCAAAGGTGAGCCTCTACGTGCAATATGCCGTAGAAATTCCCTCTGATGGCATACCCTAGGTCCTTCGAATGATCAGCGACCGGCTCCGCACTGAAGATCCTACCATCACCATTGCAAGCATACTTCTTCTCCTGATTAGCGAAATCGGAGATTTGAAAGAATCCGTCTTCGAGGTCCACCAATCTGGCTTGAACCAGCTCGCTGCCGGCGTCACCCAGCTCTCTCCTCCACTGGCAGCTTTCATGACCATGTACGTCCGTCCGTCCGCCTGGACGCTTCTGCCACACCATTTACCAGGCCTTTTCATAACATTGCCATCTACAGACTCTCCCTCATATTCGCATTACTAAGAGGCCAGGATGCCCTCGTGCTCCCACCCGCAGCCCACCACCGCATCTCTATCCTCCCCGGTAACAGTGCACACCTAATCTCCCCACTCTGCGCACCACAGGGTAATGTCCTCGACCTCCTCAACCACTGCTCCCTGCCTACCTTCCAGATCCTCAGTGAAATGCACATTTACACAAACAGTCTCCTAGCACACTCTCCTCCCTCATCACCCTGCACCACCCGCTCCCAGCACCTCCACACACACCTCCTCTCACGCGCCTCGACGGCCGACGACGCCGCGCCCGATTGGATCTACGAAAGTTGCCGGCTAGCTGCCTCACTGTACTGTTGGCCCATCTTACCGGCTCGTCGCACCCACGCTTCCCCTGCGCTTAAGCGCAAGCTCCAGCCTTCCCCACCACGTCTCGAGTACCACGCCCTCGTCACCGCGCTGCACACAGCCCTGATGCGCACAAATACAAGTGCATACTGGAGCGAGGAACTGCGTGGCTGTTTTTTATGGACCTGTCTTGTCGGCGCCGTGGCGTCATGGTCGCTCGTGCCCTCGCAACTAGCAGGTCGTGGCAGAAATCGTGGATGTGAGTTTCGCAACAAAGACACCATATCCGATGTATCACAAGCGAGAAAGTTTTTCGCGCTGCATGCCATTCGAGCAGCCGTTTCGGTGCCGCTTGGTCGAGTCGATGGTGCGGTGCTCGCTTTATACACGTTTTTGCGTGTTCGTCGGGGTGTCGTGCCGGCGCTCGAGGATGCGTCGTGAGTGCTGCTTGGGTGGGCTTTTGCGGGGGGCGAGGTAGCATTTCGGTTGGGTTTGATCTGATGGGTGTGGAGATTTTGGACTGGAGGCGGGGGGGAATACCGGCTTGTGTGATCAGCGCTGTAGGTACCTCTATCTATATCAAGGACTGGAGGTCAATCACCATGGCCGTTGAACAGCGAGGCAGCCAGCACCTTTTACGCCATCTCCCCCTACCCTCACCCCAAGGCTGATAAACATACCGCATACCTCCAAGTCCTCCCGTCCATACTCTCCAGGAAGAAAAAAGAGAAAAAAGAGACAAGGTAAACCGCGCACGCGGTGTCGCGCAGAGCATAGTCTGTGCATTGTTTGCACCTTGAATAGAGAGAGAGAGATATATATACAAGGGGGAATTACATATGCAGGACAATGTGTATTAATCCGCTTCATTTTTTTCTGACATCACACTTCTTCCACGGCGTTGTAGTCTTTCTTTTCCTGCTCATGACTGGAGAATTTTGATGTTGATTTGATTTCGACGTTGAGTAGACTTTGACGTTGGTTTGATTTTGACTCTGTGGTATCGAAACTACCCACCACATCCCGACCAAATAATTCCATCGTCCTTGAACTGCGTCCAAAGTTTTACATGCCTGTAAGGGGTGGTAGAATTATTGTGTAGTCGTGAGGTGTGACTGTATGTGCAGTTGGTGTGCATGCCATGGTACTTTGCATTCGCATCCTAGGTACCACCGTACGTCAAAACTCTGTGGATACTGAACACGAGGAGGATATTGTCTAGAAAGAATATGCCGTCAACACTTTACTCGACTGCACACAGGGGACAAACTAGATATACGACATTGACATTGATCTCATTACTACACCTAGCCCGCGACCTGAACCTAAAAAAACATGCACAACTTGAGCAGCGTACCAAATCTGATTACTCTCAAAAGAAACGCCGAGTCCTGCATGTTCACCAGTATCCCATGTAGAGACAGCCTTGCCGACAAGTTCATAAGAGCCCATCATGACTGCACCGTGGGATATACCCGGCCCATGGAGATTACAGACGCCTGCGACGATAAAGGGAATAATCAAGTAAAAGGAAAAAATCGTCAGAAATAAGACCAAACTCACACAAAGAATGCATCAGGCAGAGTAGACAGCGCAGTAAAGGCAGCAAAAGCGCCAGCCGTTCCGAGTCCGAGATACTTTGCCGTGAGGCCCACTTTGGCGATGACCGATCTGGGCTGCTTCTTGGGACGTTGCGCAACCAGAGCTGCTGTCTGCTCAGCCTGAGCATCAACGACTTGGCTGGCGGTCAAAGTCGGCTCTTGAGGAACAATGGGTGAGTCTTCTATCACCACTGTCTGCTGCTGATCCTCCCTTTCCTCAAGGACGTCTGCCTTGCGCTTCATGTTGTTGACTGACTCCGGTGTCGGTGGCTGGTCCTCTACAATTTCCTCGATAGTAACCTTGGTCCTGCGCACAGGCTGCGGAGTCGAAGCAATCACTTCTGACGCCGGCATTGGAGGCGGTGTTTGGAGGCTAAGAGCTTGATGAGCGGAATCTGTGCCATCACCAAAGTTTAGGGGGCATGAGTAGAACTCCATATGTTCACTAAAGGGCGGCGGCGGTGGAGGTGGTGCTGGACTGAACAAAGAAGGACGCTCGCCATAGTTTGTGCCCATGTAGTGTCCTTGGAAGTGCACAAAGTCTGACCAGTCACGGTTAACGCGCTGATCGATCTTTGTGAACATGGTTGAAGGCTCCCCACAGAGCACGGTAGGTTGAGGTGGCATGGTCGAAGCAGCGCTCTCAAATGTGTCCGGGGGTCGACCGAATAGGTTATTATGAAGCGATGATTTGGGCACTCCCTCGTCTTGGTCAAGTGTGAAAGCATTCCGAGACTCGCCTATGGTGGCACCACCATATGGAAAGTCCGCGTAAGTCGAAACTGCTCCCGATTCGAGATGAAGTGGCCGGGATGCAAGAGCCGACGACGCATCGTCATCATCTGAATCGGGCATCTCTGGCTCAGAGGAATGATGCCCTTCGGAGTTGACGGCGCTTTCCGTGTCTTCATTGGATGCGGCATCGAAACCTTGGCAGTCTTCATTGTCACTGGAGTACTGGACGCTTTCCTCTTCCTCCGACTGCTCTTCAATTACTGGTGTTGTGTGTGTGTCGGGTTCGGGATAGGCTTCATTGTGGATGCCGACGTGCTCATGACCACCGTCAAGGTCCAAGCTACCGAGCTTCGAGGGTTCTGGCTCTGCAGTGTTGACCACAGTCATGTCTTCTTCTTCTTTCTGTTCCTTCTCGTGAGCTTCCCCGCTTTCATCGCAGCCAACGTCGGAGTCGTCGAGGATCAGAGGGTTCAGCTTGCTGCCATGTTGATCACGGGGATCGATATTTTCCTCTTCGCTCTCAGCGTCAGGAACGACGAAGCCGAGCGAGTAGGGAGGTGCCAATCGGGCCTCGAACCGATATTTGCGGGCGACAAAATAGTCTGTGGGTAAGAGTGAGTCGGTTGTGCTTGCTGCGGGAGAGGATGGGAGATGCTCACGGCGAGACGTACCCTCATTACGGTTGACGTCGACACCGAACTGCAACATATCGCCAGAGACAAGGATGTTGGGTTGGTTTGGCAGCAGCTTACGACCATTCAGCATGGTGCCGTGCATAGAGCCGCTGTCAGTAAGGTAGACTTGTGGGGTGCCATTGTACAGTCTAGCAGACAAGACGGCGTGCTCGCGCGAGATGACGGGGCTGTCGATGAAGGCATTGTGCGGCGCAGGCATCAGGGCACGTTTGGATAGGCTCTTGGAGGCCCGGCCGATGGGGTAGGTGGAGTCCAAGGGCAAGTCGAATTCGCGCGTTTCAAAGCTGTCATGACGATGGAGATCCCTTAGGACAATGTGGAAGGCTAGCGAATCAGTACTCGACGGGGGTTTTGGTTGGTGGGTAGTGGGGACATGCTCACTGTCGGACATGGTGCTGAATGATGAGGGGCAACGGCAGTAGAGGTGGCGGTGGTGGTGGTGGTGAATCTAGGAGGGGTGGCAGACGCGGCAGGTTGTGCTTCACTGGGTGTCGAGTACGGTGGATGTTAGCAGCAGAGGCAGCAGGAGGTCAAGGGAGGGGCAGGACCGGACTGTGCGTCTGCGTGTACTTTGTTCTGGAGAATAAGTAAAGAGGACGATTGACGTGTTTCACGGTGACAGCCAGTCAGCCAGCAAACAAGCGGGGCTGGGCTGGGCTGCAATGGGTGATATATGTGTGTGTGTGTGAGAGAGAGAGAGAGAGAGAGAGGGAGGGAGGGAGAAAGAGAAAGAGAGTGCCCCGTGACAGCGTGGGTCAAGATGCGGCGGTAGCAGTAGGTAAGCGGTGGGTGGTAGCAAAGAGAGGTACTATGTAATCGTAATCAAGGCGACAACGTCACTTGTGTTGGACGATGGCCAGATGGAGCACTGTGAGTGCTGGTGTCATGTGATTCAGAAGTGACGGCGGGTTGCCAATCTAAAGATGGGTACTAGGTATGGGTGAGTAGACGAGACTGCCAGGCTCATCTGGTGCGTAGAGTGGAGGATGGTGGTAGGTGGTTGGAGTGGGTTACATGTAAGGTTTGAGGCAGTAGTAGAGTAGGGTACATACCTACTACTCTGGAATAGGCTCGTCATGTGACACGGTGACCGCGGGGTTCTGAAGGTTACGTAGGCAGGTATAGTAGTAGAGTAGATAGCTACTACACGCTACACAGTTACTCTAGATGCGTACGGTTGTACACAGCTGGGCAGGCAGGAGGTAACGAGTGAGTGAATCGACCGGCAGGCACGCGTAACTGGGAGGGGCAGGCACAAGTGACTGGACGGGCAGCTACGAGTGAGTTAGGCAGGCAGGGGATGAGAGGGCAACCAACAGGAAGAACGAAGGCTCAACCCAAGCGCTGTTGCCTACTGGAAGATAGAGTAGTAGATGGGCATGATGAGGGGAAGGGGCGAGGGGGGAGGGGGGGGGGTGGACCGTGACCCCGCGCCTTCCCTTGGTCTCACGGTGGGGGAGCTTATCGGCTTATCAGGCTGCATTAGCCTTGCCTTGCTTGTGCTCAAACATGCTGTGGGTGCAATCAAGCTCTAGTGGACGTACTCTAGTTGTAAGTTACCGTCTTGTGCTAAGGCCTGGTTAGCGGCCGGCGGGAGCAAAAGGTGCCCCACCCAAAATCTTCAGCGGCGCGCGACTGAGGACGACGACCAGTTTGTCTCTTTGGACTCTTTGCGCCGCCCTAGAACATGACTCACCCGACAACGAAATTGGCGACCAAAACCATGCCAGAACACCGCGACCGAATACGATAGCACGCGATCACAGGCCGACTTCTATCCAACCCCCAAGCAACAGCAGCAGCAGCAGCAGCAGTAGCAGCAAAACCACGAGGACTACCAAGAGGACTATCGCCACGATCACCGCGACGACGACGACGACGACGACGACGACGACGAACACTACAGCGAGCGCTTGCCACGCATCATGGAGGCACCGCGCACCTCGGCCAAGCAGCAGGTCGTGGACCGCATCCCCGCGCGCATCAAGCACATCCAGTTCGGCATATAGTACGCCATACCCCTCTCCCTAATGCAGTAATACAACCATGCCAGAACAGACCGTAGTAACGTAAACTTCTCCAGCTCGAACCAGGACATTGTCAACCAGGCCGTCCTCGAAGTCTCGGACCGCAATGTCTACGACCTCGCCCCCGCTGCCAACAATGAGCGCACCCTCACGGCCAACGGGCCCATGGACATTCACATGGGCATATCGAGCAAGACGGGCACCTGCGGCACCTGCGGAGAGGGCCTGGACAAGTGCAACGGCCACTTTGGCCACATCAAACTGGCCCTGCCGGCGTTCCACGTCGGCTACCTCAAGCACATCATCGAAGTGCTAAACTGCATATGCAAGGACTGCTCACGAGTCTTGCTGGACGAGACGGAGCGGAGAAAGTACCTGCGGAGCATGCGCAGACCCGACATGGACACGCTGCGCCGCACCGCCATATCCAAAAAGATTCTCGAAGACTGTCGCAAAAAGAAGACGTGCCCGTACTGCGGTGCCCTCCAGGGTACCGTGCGCAAGGTGCCCGCTCATCCCCTCAAGATTATCCACAACCGCTACGATGCCTACAATCGCTCTACCGCCAAGCAAAAGAAGGCCCCAGCCGGCAAGATCGAATTCGACCAGTCGTTCGAGGCGGCAAAAGCGGCCAACCCAGATCTCGACAAACACTTGAAAAAGGCCGTGGATGACATGCACCCGCTGAGAGTGCTGAACCTGTTCAAGAAGATCTCGCCAGAAGACTGTGAATTGCTGGCCATGATACCCGAGGATGCTCGACCCGAGATGTTGATTTGGGAATACATGCCTGTGCCCCCAGTCGCCCTTCGACCCTCGGTCATGCAGGAAGGTGGTGCGACCGAAGATGATGTTACCAACAAGATTGGAGACATTTGCCACATCAGCAGCATCATACGCGCTGGCCTGGCCCGAGGTTTCCCTCTGCAGATTCTTATGGAGCAGTGGGACTTCTTGCAGCTGCAAATCGCCATGTACATCAACAGCGACGCCCCTGGCCTGAAACAGCAAGGTCTGCAAAAGACGATGAGAGGTTTCTCCCAGAGACTCAAGGGCAAGGGAGGTCGCTTCCGCCAGAATCTGTCGGGAAAGCGTGTCGACTTCTCAGGACGTACCGTTATTGGCCCGGATCCAAATCTCAGTATTGACGAGGTCGCCGTACCGGAGCGCATTGCCAAGAACCTGACGTATCCCGAGAAAGCAACGAGATACAACATTGACAAGTTGAGGAGACTGGTCAAGAACGGTGCCAACGAGTACCCTGGCGCCAATTACATCTTGACGGATGAAGGTCCCAATAAGGACAGAGGCAAAATCTCCCTCATTGCCCTTTCGCGCCATGCCAAACGTGGTGAAAAGCTCGAGGGGCCTGCTAAGCGGCTCAAGATTGGCGACATCGTCGAGCGTCACATAGAAGATGGTGACATTGTTCTCTTCAACAGACAACCCTCCCTACACAAGCTCAGTATTCTGAGTCATCGGGCCAAGATACGACCGTGGCGGACCTTCCGACTCAATGAGTGCGTCTGTAATCCCTACAATGCTGATTTCGATGGTGACGAAATGAATCTGCACGTTCCTCAAACCGAAGAGGCCCGTACTGAGGCGACCGAACTCATGGGAGTCAAGTACAATTTGGCCACACCCAAGAACGGAACACCCATCATTGCTGCCATTCAAGATTTCATCACCGCGGCCTACCTACTGAGTAATAAGAACAACTTCTACGATCGACGGACCTTTTGTCAGATCGTCAACTACATGTTCAACGGCGATGGGGCTTACGACCCGGACACCGGCTTGACACTCCCCATTGAGATACCACCACCTGTTGTATGGAAACCGCAAGCTCTCTGGACAGGCAAGCAAGTATTCAACTTGTTGATGCGACCTAACAAGGCATCAAGAGTGCTTGTCAACCTCGAGGCTGCCTGCAAGCAGTTCAAGAACACGCCTGGCCAAAGCCCCGACCTCAACGAAAACGATGCCTACCTCGTCATTCGGAACTCTGAGGTTATGTGCGGTGTCATGGATAAAGCCACGGTCGGCGACGGTAAGAAAGACTCGGTCTTCTATGTCATGATGCGAGATTTCGGTCCCGACCATGCCGTGCAGGGCATGAACCGCCTCTCTCGTCTTTCCGCACGATGGCTTACCAATAACGGCTTCTCTCTTGGAATCAGCGATGTTACCCCGGGCGAGAAGCTGGTGCAGAAGAAGCAGGCACTAGTAGAAGAAGCGTACGCAAAGTGCGACAAGCTGATCATGGATTTCAAAGAAGGGAAACTACAGCGCGATGCTGGTTGTGATGAAGAGCAGACAATGGAGAATAGGATCGGTGGTATCTTGTCTGGCGTCCGACAAGCAGCTGGTGACATCTGTTTTGAAGAGCTCAGCAGATGGAACTCTCCGCTGTTGATGGCAAAGTGCGGCTCCAAGGGGTCCAACATCAATGTCTCACAGATGGTGGCTTCCGTCGGACAGCAAATGATTGGTGGTGCGCGTGTTGCTGATGGATTCCACCATCGAACACTGCCTCATTTCCCCAAGGCTGCACGTCAACCTGCGTCCAAGGGTTTCGTCAGTAACAGTTTCTTCTCGGGTCTCACTCCATCTGAATTCATCTTCCACGCCATGAGTGGTCGTGAAGGTCTGGTCGATACAGCTGTCAAAACCGCCGAGACGGGATATATGAGTAGACGGCTGATGAAGTCCTTGGAGGACTTGTCGGCACAGTACGATGACACGGTACGCAACTCGTCTGGTACCGTTGTGCAATTCCAGTATGGAGACGACAATCTTGATCCTGTGGATATGGAGGGCAAAGCCAAGCCTGTACATTTTGACAGAACCTTTTCGCACGCAGTCACCTCCACTTGGGATAACAGTGAGCCTACCTTGTCTCCAGGAGAGGTTCGAGAATACACCGAGGCAAAGCTCAACGCGGAGCGTAACAAATACCCGCGGTATAAGCTTGATGATGTGACTAAGCTTGACTATCGCGACAAGAGCGACGCTGGAATCGACCAGAAGGAGTCTGTGCGCGACTTCCTTGACACTGTGCAAGACTACATCTTCAAGAAAGCTGGGAAACTGGAAACCACTTTGGCGTACCTTGGGATCACAGAACCCAATGTGCCAAGGGATGAACGGGACCTGGAGAAATACAGTCTGGCCGATGGAATCGCAAAGATTTCGCAACGCGCGCTCGATGCTTTCATCACTCTATGTTTGACTAAATACCACCGCTCACGCGTTCAGCCTGGACACGCCGTTGGAGCCATCGGTGCCCAATCTATTGGAGAACCTGGTACGCAGATGACGCTAAAGACTTTTCATTTTGCTGGTGTTGCTGGCATGTCCATCACTCAAGGTGTTCCTCGTATCAAAGAAATCATCAACGCTTCTTCCACCATCTCCACTCCCGTCATCACCTGCGAACTTTCCAACAAAGTCTCGGAATCTGCTGCCCGTATGGTCAAAGCGCGTGTCGAGAAGACGTATCTCCGCGACATCATATCCTATGTGGAAGATGTTTGGCACCCTAATGGCGCATATATTGCCATGCGTATTGACTGGGACACGGCCAACAAACTATTCATTGACGTGCAGCCCGGTGAAATCATAAGAGCAATCAACAAACACAAACCGCTCAAATGGGGCAAAGCTGGCGCTGCAGTACGCATCTCAAACTCGCTGATTCGCGTCGAGATCCCCGACCCTGCAAGTGCAAAGAAACGTCCCGTCAAAACAACCAAGAACCACAAGGAATTCTTCGAACGCGTACAACATGTCAAGGCCCTCATTCCCGACGTCGTAATCAAAGGCTACCCAGACTGCACTCGTGCCATCATCAAGAAGGATTCATCGCCCAATGCCCAAGGAGAATACGAATGCCAGTTGCTCGTTGAAGGGTACGGATTCCGCGAGTGCATGACGACGCCTGGCATCGAACCCTATAAAACCAAATCAAATCACATCATGGAAGTCCGCACTGTCCTGGGGATTGAAGCAGCCCGGGCCACCATTGTCCGCGAAATCGGGGATGTGATGGGTAACATGGACATTGACCCGCGCCACATGCAGTTGTTGGCTGATGTGATGACGTTCAAGGGCGATGTATACGGTATCACACGCTTTGGACTGCAGAAGACGAGGGACAGTGTGTTGCAGCTGGCCAGTTTCGAGAAGACGCCTGATCATCTTTTCGAGGCGGCTGCGAGGGGCAAGACGGTATGTTGCACTCATCCACTCGCTTTGTTGGTGCGCAATGACCATAGCTAACACAGAGATTAGGATACTATCGACGGTGTTTCAGAATGCATCATCATGGGCCAAAGCGTCAAGCTGGGCACAGGTGCGATGCAAGTCGTCAGACCCCTGGGACTCAAGAAGCATCATTTGCAGGAGAAGAAATTGATGTTTGAGGATGGGTGGGAGGCTTTGTAAAGTCGATTTAATTTTTATTTTTCACATCACGCCAGTCACGTGTGATGATAGGACACGTGAGAAATGTTCCAATACGATGCCCAGAGTGGATGATAGCATGAAGAGGCGTTATGTTGATTCAAAAAAAAGTGGGAGGTTCGATGTTCTAGTGGCTATTACGATGGGCGGGAAGTATATACGCGTATCATTTCAAATATGAAATGACAATTTATACATCGCAGCCACATGAACCCATCAACCACGCTTTGAGCCAAATTGCGAAGTGCCCAATTTGCATAGTTGGTTTTCAGAGGATTAAAAACTGCCATGTTGGCCAATGCTGGAGAACGTGCATGTGCGGAGGTGATTTGCCAAGTGAAGTGCGGGAGCGCGATTCCTGACATGGGATGGTGTGCGACCGAATTCTAACCTCACTCCTTGAACTTCTGAGTCCTGCCGCATTTCTCACTCCATCACCAATGGCGATTATTCCATCGCCAACTCTCTGGAACTATGTGGTACTGATTTTAGTGTCGTTTATTTCCGTGTGATGTGTATCATGTGACTGTGTTGGCGTCGAGGCCCTGTTCGCAGGTGTCGTTGTCTTTTATACCTACAGATCATTGCATACGTTGTTCGTAAGCTGCATGCGCAAGCTCAGAGTTCCTTTCCTCTTATTTTCTTCTTGATATATCTTACCATTTCTCCTGTCGGTCATTCTTAATCTCAATTTCGTGGCGAGGGGAACGGCGATCGACTCGACACAAAATTCTCAATGCTTGTCCTTAGATTGCTATGATCGTCGAACATCTGAAATATTATTCTCATATTCCTTTGAATCTGTTAATCGCACTTGTGAGTCACGTGTCTCATTCTCTCTCACACACTCTCTCTCTCTCGTTTCCAACTGTCAAAGACGTGGTGTACAGCTTGTAGAACTCTCTTGTCCTCGATGCTTAGAAGCTCCGCAGGCGAAGCAGGCTAGTTACCACAAACTAATGTCATTCTCATCTACGCCTGCAGGTATGGTGGGGGGCAGGCGTAAGAAAACAAGAAAAGGCGGGCAGCTGATTGACATATATAACAGAGCGTTTGCAATGTCAAGTCTGACGCTAAATTCCATGTGAGCCTGACACTGCTCCGAGGCCAGGTATCAGGTAAAATCGAGCTAAGCCTACACATTCGGGTGAGGCTAAGTAATTGTAGGCGATGGAGCTTCGGCGCGGAGGAGCTTGAGGTGCGACAAAAAGAGCAAAATCGTAATCAACAGCATCGCAGCCACACCGCAGCCATAGGAATTCTAGCATCGGCGCAAGTGGCAGCCCCAACAACGCACATGGCCACTAAAAGTAAAATGGATTGAGCACTGATAATACGCCCTTAGCCACCAAAGTATGTAAGTCACAATTGCAAGAAGCCTTTGGGTGCTGTACTTGATCGCAATTTAAAGCAGCCCCTTTAACCCTGCGTGCGAACCTGACGCTCTCTCTCGACTCGACTCTCCATGGTACTCAGAATGATCAATTCCCATTTCCACCGTGTGTGTATTTTCCGTGGAATATGTCCAACTTCACTAACGTATCTAACAGGGCTGGTACAACCGGCAAGCCAGATGTGCCTTTTGCTGCCACCTTTGCCGGACATCTTCACTATCGTGGCATGATAATGAGCTACGCCCAAGGTGATACCAAGCTACGTCTCCGGCATTGGCCGGACGAGGTCATCCTTGCTTATTCACCTCAAACGTCGAGAGACACAGAAAATTCTGTACGTTCTTCAAGGAGATCCGTGTACGTTAACGGACAAGCTGTACGAGACCGAGGAGGCGTACATGAAGGCCTGTCTAGAATACCAAAAGCACCCTGCCGTCGCAAATCTTGAGCACCCGGTAAAGCATCAGGCCGGGTTTGTATCTCTGCTCAAGAGAGATCTAAGCAGCTTCGTCGTGCGCGGACAAGCTGAGAACTTGCATCTCCACGCTTTGCGCCGAGCATGTTGATGTTCTTCGCAAGGAACATTGGGACAAGATCACACCAGCATCTCAGATGTATATGGACTTGATAGCACCTCCTAGAACCAAACCACTTACACCACAGCGCCGTCGTCGTCGTCGTCGTCGCCACAAGGGTAAGACTCGGGAAGAAGCTGCCGACAACACCAATGAGATGAATGCCACTGCCCATCCACAAAATCCCCAAGTCCTTGACCCTTCAACCCACAACCAGCCGCCCCAAACCTTCCTCTACGATACCGAACGCATCGCCCCGTGCGCCAAGAACAACATCCTGTTGCAAGCCGTCATCGCGCCCATGCCTGGCCTCCACTTCGGCACCCCCCCTGACTCTCATTGACGACGACATCTTCGCAACCGCCAATCTCCTCGACGCACTCCCCGACATGGAACACGACGGTGACGAAGACGAGGCTATGGAGGATATGGGCGAGGAGGACGGTCAGCGCCAGGAACAACAAGGCATGGCAAGAATCAAGCGGGCTGTTAATCCGGGCAATGACTGGAGTAGGGTCATGAGTCTTTGAGTCGAGTCGACATTATGCTTTGGCATATGCGCAGAGCTAGTTTGCTGGTCAGAGTCTCCATGTCTCACGATGCAATGATTGGATCTTTGTCCTAGTATATTCCACGAGGCGCGCCTAGGGATACTACAGGATGCGTGAGTAAGCACTCGATACATGGTCATTTCCTAGACGGTCACGGAAATGTACAACTTTGCTGCAAATCCCTTTGACCTTGCAGACATCCATCTACAACACACCGAACTATGCCAATCTCACGCCTACAATTTCACAAGCCCAAAGATCAAGTATGCACGCATCAAACTCTCCTTCCCATTTTTTTTTCTCACTCTCGATGACCGATGACCATGAGGAAAATCATGAAAATTGCAATCGCAATTACACACCGCGCTCACTCTCCATCCTTGCCTGCCCTTTCCCACATGCCAGAACCGTCATGTCATGCCATGTCATAACATATCATGTCATACTGCATCACATCAAACCCCACCACAAAATCTCGCTCAAAAAAAGGAAAAACGTTTCAAAAACATCCAGATTACGCCATTGAGGGAAAGTTGGAAAAATAATTAGCCGCGCCATGCCGAATCAAGGTTACGAGCATACATTCCCCCGAGTCTGGGGGTTTACGGCAGTCATTTGGCGGGTGTGGGTATGGGGGATTTGAATCAGTGTTGCACGTGGGCTAGGCCAGCCAAAAGAAAAGGGGAACAGAGTCCGAATTATACTCTCCGCCCACACATTCATGCGCATGATAGCCGAACCAAAAAAAAACCGACCACCCGCACCCGGTGCTGTACATAGTGGTACGACGAGGGCTAATCATGAGGCCAGGAAACCAATCTTCCGTCAAGTGGCCAATGGCTTCGTCATAGACTCTGCTGCGGCGGCCCTTTTGACTGCGCGGCCGAGTCCATCATGTCTTTGCTCAAAACGTCTCGGATTCATTACTGCTCACGTAGCTCAACAGACTCTCCTCATCATCTATATCGGCATTAGTCTGCGTTTGAAGAACACTACAACTTCGTCATCGCCGGCCGGGGATTGCACTCACCATGGATGGGTTTCCGCCTGATGACAGTGTCAGAGTGCTGCAATGGACTCTGCTGTTGCTGCTGTTGCGGTGCCGGACTCCTTGAATTTCCCATTGGTCTCGGGCCCGTGATTTTGCGCTGAGGGCTGTCCATTGCGCCATTCCTTAGATTGCCAGTGCTGGGGCGAGGGCTGGGCGCTGGCGACATCTGTAATGCCACAAGCAATCAGTAAATCGTCTCTTCTGGTATCCATGCCGACGGCCAGGGCTAAGAACTCACGCGATGCCCCCTGTCCGTCTCAAGCGAGTAACGCACCTCAGCAATGGGCGCCAATGGCGTTAGGACACCCTGACTCCCAAACTCATTGGGGCTGCTATACATCTGCCTCGTCTGTCCGTATCCCGCAAGCGTCTGCTGCGGTGGGATAAGTGGACCGTCATCTACAATCTTGGGGGGCCGTGGTGGCGCTTGTTGCTGCTGCTGCTGCTGTTGTTCGGAAGCAGAGTGCTGGCTGTATCCGCCATCAGAGGAGATGGGGGACAAGTTGCCGCCGTATTGGTGCGCTCCTCCACCGGATAGACGATTACGTGCAAGCGCTGGCATGCTGCCCCATGAATCGTAGTCAGGCGAGGTGATGGGCTCGTAGATCTGAGCCTGGGTCTCGAGATGGCTTTGGTGGCGCCCGGTCGGGCCAGCGCGGGGCTGGGGGTGCTGAAGGTTCAGGGAATTACGGTGAGCCTGGTATTTGGGGTCTTCCATTTCGTACTGCAGATGCTCTTCTGGGATGAGCGGTGATGGGGATCGCACGGATCGCATTGAACCCCCCTCGTCTTTGGCGAGGGAAGAGTTGGAGCGGAGCCTGTCGTCCGCACGCAATTCGTAGTCATCGTAGTCGTCATAGTCTTCGCTGTTTTGAGAGCTGGATCTCGAGTGAGCAGAGTATGGTCGCTTGTCGCCAGATCCGCTGTTTCGCGGAAGACTCTCGTTGTTCGTAGACGATGTTGTCTTGGACCACCTTGAAATCTTGGGCATACCAAAGATGGATGACGAGTTGGACTTGTGCTTGCGCTTCGGAGTATCGTCCTGGCTCGAAGGCTCACGAATCCCTCGTGAGGCCTGAGGTGGGGTCTGTTGCAAACCGTTCTTCTGGTGGAAGGCCTCTTGTGTTGGCGTGGTCATGCGCTCCGTATTCTCATACTGGGCATCGCGCTCCTCATACTCCTCGTCATCCTCTTCATGTACTGTGCTAATGCGGTTGGTCGGCAAAACATCGTAACCAGAATGAAGGTCCTGAATGCGTCGTGATGTTGATGGGTTCGAGAGAAAGCCAGACTGATTTGGGGATGATGCAGTGTTGGCACGGCCTTCGGGCTCGTAGCCAGGGTCTGCGCTCGCACCGCTTGCCCTCAAGTTTTCGTAAGAAGTGAGGCTGTTTGACCTGGCCTGTTGGTCCAGGGCGAGCTGGTGTGACTGCTTCAGGCCTTCCATCTCATCGAGCAGTTGCATCAACATGGACTCAATATTCTTCATGTCGCTGTCGCCCTTCATGCTCAAACCCTTGAGAGCACGCTTGAAGACGCTCTTCTTCTTCTCACCAGCATCAGCAGCGTCCGAAGACGATTTGTTGACACGCAAAGATGCCATTGGCTGAGGACGAGGGCCGCCCAGTATGCGTTGCTCAGCGAGTCCGATCCTCTTATCTGTGGTACCCATAATCATATTGTCCTGGACCTTGATGAACTGCTTCATCTCATCAAGCTGGTTCCGCATTTCAGCCGCGCTGCGTACGAGAGTGACCAAGATCTCGGTATCACGAGCATTGCGCTGTGCATCGCGTACAGTGAGGTGATCCATGAGCGCCACAATATCCTTGGACTGAATGCGGTCCATGCCCTTTCCAGTAGCCGCATCATAGAGCGGTGATTGAAGACCGTGAGAGTTGCCGCTGGCTTGTCGTTGGTGCTTGGAGTTGGAAAACAAGTCTGGGCCACCAAGATCGCCACCGTCGTACTCGTCCCCGTACCCATCATCGTCAAAACTCTTCGAGTGCGGACGGTTCTGGGGCGTATAGGCTTCACGTTGGTTAGCCGACTGGTAGCCCTCGTCTTTCCAGCCAGTCGGGCCTGACAACGGCGTCCGGTTGCTCTGTGCGTAACCTGACTGGTCGTATTGTTGCTCACCTAGGGCGGATTCATCATAATCATCTTGCACAGTAGCCTGATGGCGGCGGCGGTTGTCATCGTCGTCGAATGAACCAGGACTTTGGTCGCGCAAATGATAAGCAGCGGCAGCAGCAATAGCTGCAGCGCCAGTCCCGGTTCCGACAGCGGCACCCTTATTGAAAGATGTGGGTGTCCGATCCCGGTCGTCTTGGTGTCGTAGAAATTCTTTCTTCTGATCGTTGTGGTATCCGTCTACACCGCCAATTGGTCCTTGGATAATGGACGGATTGGTGTCGACTTCGGACTCGTTGTCAGATATCCCATACCCAATCTCGGGCATGGCCTCATCTTTTCCTGCTGGAAAGGCACTGTGATGCATTTGAGGTTGTTCATCAATGGACTGCGCAATAGACTGTCTAGGCGAGTTGTTCGCGCTGCCTTGCTTCATCAATGCTTCAGCTCTGTCGCGAATAGTGCCCCACTGTTGGCTCTGAGGAACCTCATGGGTTTGCACGTATTCTCCCAGTGGGCTTGGGCTAACTTGTGAGAGCCTGCTCTTCTTGATCGGACTTGACATGTTGGATGATCGGACGCTCATGGTGGAAGGATCGTGTAAAGACGCGACTGCAGATTCAACTGCGAGTGGCGTGTGGACGTACTCCGGATTCGAGCCGACCTTTTGGAGATTCTGTTCATCGGGAGCGATTACCTTGTTATCTTGGTCCAGGTATTCCACTCCTACACTGTCGTCTGTATATTGCGTCATGCGGTTGTAGTTGACAGGCGATAACTCTGAACGGTCCTCTAGCTGTCGTCTGTACATCTCATTCTGCTCGTGATTCTTTTCAAAGAAGTCTTCAGCAGCTCCCGGTGACCCGGAATCGCCGAGTATCGAACGCTTGCTTTCTAGGGTGACGCCTTGGGGACGTTTACGCGTTCGTGCAGCTTTGGTGCTTGCGGTCGATTCCATCGACGCAATGGAGAGTTTGGATTGGCGTCCTTCAAAATGCTCCCCAAGAGATGATACTGAGACTCTACTTTGGAAGGATCGCCGGCGTCGAGGCGAGCCATTCGCGACATCCTCTTCACGATAACTTGCTTCACTCTGGATGGGGCTGACTCCTCGATTTGGGCTTTCGCTTTCAATCTCGTATTCCGACGCATGCGGCTCGGAGCGCTCGATTGCACGAACTTTGGCTGCTGCTGTAGCTTCCAAGCTAGCCTGTGTGGTCTCTCGAGTCCGCGAAGTGTAGCTGCGATCACTTTTGGGGGTCATTGGTAGGCGCACCTCACCGGTGGAGCGGTTGCTATGTGCCGTCTTCAAGGTTTGTTGAAGTGCATTCGGTGTGCGAGAGGGTGTTCGTGGACCGGGCGAAACGTAGCCACGCGAAACCTCAAGCAGCGGCGTCTCGATGAACGTGCTGCTTCTCGATGAACGCGAGTCTCGCGACTCGGGCCTTTCCTTGGTTTCGGTGTCGGCGGACAGAATAGATTCGCGAGTGAGTTCGGATTGAAGTTCACTTGCGCCAAAGGGAAGTGGAGGCACGCCCGCTTTCAAAAAGGCAACGTCCTCGCTTTCGGTCACACTTGCAGAACGGCTTCCACTGACTCGGGAGGAGCGATGCTTACTGTGCCTGCGCTCCTCTCGCTTCTCTTCGTGAGACGTGTGATGCTTGAGCGCTGCTGCTGTGAGACCAGCACCTGCAAGACCAGCCAAAGCCTTGTCTCGTGATGAAGTACCGTCTTTGTCTTTGCTGCTCTTCCTGCGATGACCAGACGATTTCTCCTCGCGAGTAGTTGACTCGGCATAGCTACGATCCGAGGTTGAACCACGACTAGATCGACGCTCACCTTTTCGACTCGAATGACCACCGCCAGAAAGGACGGTCCCAGGATCGTCGGCACTGCGGTTGAGCACCACCTTGGGCTTTGCGCCATGTGACAGTTTGGGGGCGCTTGAAGATTTGGAGACGCGCCGCCGAGATGGATCGCGTGAGCTGGTCGAATCCAGCGTCTCATAGGTGGCACTGGCTTTGCGAATATCATCGAATTTGTCGCGGTTTCTGGAACTGCGATTCTCCTCCTTCAATGCATTCAGCTCAGGAAGAATGAGACGCTTGATGGCATCTTCGACCGTCGCCACCAGTTTCGGATTGACAACAGAGGATGTGCCAGACACAACTGAGCGGGCAGAGTGTCCAAGGCCCGATCGACGATCAGCATTCGAGGATAGGAGGCTGGAATCCGTCCCGCTCAGGGCGCTTCCTTCTTCAACGTCCTTGCTGCGTCGATGTGATTTTCGAGACGAGGCAAGCTCCTCCTTGCTGTGTTTCGTCGTGGTCTTGGTGCGTGAGCGACTTTCCTTGGCTCTTGCGATGCCGACTTCGGCGGCCGCCTGCTGTGCTGCTAGCTTCTCCATGACGCGCTGTGTAATGCGGTCCTTGCTCAAGCTTCTACTGCGCTGGTGCTTGGGCGCCTTCAAGGTGTCGGGGGCGTCGGAGAGGACAGAGACAGACTCGGTGACGGTCTCTCTCTCTAGACTCCTGCTCCTCCGCCTACCAGGAGGCAGAATCTCCACCTTTTCGCCCAGGAGACTGTCCGGAGGCATCGAAGAGACGTCCGAGGGCATGAGATGAAATCGGTCGCCGTCGCTGGATATATCGCTATGGTTCTGCAAGACCTCGATTTCCACTGGCGGAAGCAACGAGAAGTTAGAAATGTCCGAGTAGTCTGTGGTCCGGGTATCGATTACCTCGTCACGTGGCTTGCTGCCGAGTGAAATGCGGCGTATGTACGCGGGCTTGCGCGCGTGATGGGTCGTCTGTGCGATGTGGACCTGGTCGTTGCCGACCTTGTTTGCGGTTCTGCGCGACGATGGTGTGACCCTTACGCGGACGCGGGGGCGCGAGTGGACTAAGCCCTCTGTCGGGCCGGCCTCGAAGTACTCGATGAGCAAGGAGGTCTGCGAGGGGAACTTTTTGATCGTTCCACCCTGGGCTTTGCTCGTGTTGATGGTGATTGGGGTGCCGTCTTCGGGGACGGAGTAGGATGATTTGTCGGTGCGCGCCGAGACGTTGGTATCGACGTCGTCTCTCAGATTGGATTCGTCTGCAGAATCGAGTGTGGAGGGATCAGTAGGTGCTGGGAGGGGAGGCCGTTGACTGTCAGGACCCATGATAGAATCCTGAAGATTCTTAGAAGGCGGGGCGGCTGACTGGAGACATGGGGACTGTTGTTCCTCGTGGAAGGTCTACGTGAAGGCGACGGTATACGAACATGAGGGGAGGGGGGAAACTGGGGGACGACTTGGGGGGAGGAATTAGGTGGGAGCGCAGTTTGCGTGGCTGGCTGTTTCTCGTTTGCGCGACCTGGAAGATGGTACTGGTGCGACTTTTTGGTTTTGGGGAGGGGGGACCGATTTACATGGGCGCACGACCGGGGTGAGTGGGGGGAGAAGATCTGGTGGGCAACGAGCAACCGTTATGGCATGGCAGCAGAAAAAGGGACTGCGGATGAGGGCAGTGATGGTGACAGCAGGACAGAGCAGAGTAGAGCAGTGCCGCAATGGGGCGTGCGACTGTCTGTAACAATGGCGAGTTGGGCGCCAGGCGGTCTAGCGAGAGCTGAAGTAGGCAGGCAGGTGTGTGGTTAGCACTGCTTTGCCAGCCAGGTAGAGAGATAGGTAGGGTAGGTAGAAGAACGGGTGTGGGGGGGGGGGGGGGGAAGAAACACCTACTTTCGCCAGACAACGGGCTGCACACAGTGAGGAAAAAGATGGTGGTTGTGGTGACGGAGGAGGTGGTGGAGGAGGGGAAGTTGGCAGCCAGCAGTCGGTCACTGGGGGGGAGCGGTAAGGGAGAGAAGAGAGAAGAGAGAAGAGAGAAGAGAGAAGAGAGAAGAGAGAGAGAGAGAGAGAGAGAGAGAGAGAGGCTGGGTCACAGCCAGCGAACAACACAGCCATCCCTGCCAGGCGCTAACTCTAATCTCCCGCAAGCCGCCCTCGTCTGCTCTAGGCAGTACCCTAAAGTATGTACATAGGATAGGTGCCCATCATGTGGCCCTGTTGGATCTATCTTGGAACATGTCACCATGCCGCAAGTCTTGGAGGCGAGACGAGTCGGATCCATCATCAACTCGACCCTTCCACGAGAACATGCTAACGTAGGTACCCAGTCTATCCAGAGAACATCATCACCACCACACCTCAGCCGCAGATGATTCAATTAGCCAACTAGCTAGGTAGGTATGTACCGTATATCAACGGGGACAGCTAGTAGATAAACCACCGTACCCAGCCACCTTCCAGCCCCGACGTTATTTCTCCCTGACATGGCAGTGCCTACGTGTAGCGCCCCAATCCCCTCGTGGAGCCGGCAAAGACGCAGGTCGCAAGTCGCAAGTCGCAAGTCGCAAGTCGTACATCCAGACAGACCCGCCGTGCAGGCAGTACCAGGTTGCAGCTACCCGGCCGCTGCACCCGCACCTGCAGCAACCAAGTCTCTTGTCGCCTTTGGGTGGAGTGGCTGGAAAGCAAAGAGGAGGCTGGAGCTGGCCGTCCATCTCTACCGGTACGGTACCGTGCCCCAAGGACCTTAGCCCAACTGGTACCCACGATAAGTACAGTCCGGTACCTACACAGGTACATGGATTGAACACACCACATGTACACGGCCGCCAACAGCCATTCTCGCCAACGACCAACCCAAGTCGAGCGTTTCATACTCTATGGTACAGCACCCATGATCCTCCATGGATCCATCACATCTGCCAAGCGCCCAACATCAAGTACTCTACTCAGTACGGTACTGTTCCCCAACCCCGGGAGCGCTCACCGCTGCTTTTTCTTGTCCCTCTCTGGCCCGTCTGAATCTCCTTTCGTCGTGCGCGACCCCATACCTACTCTACCCTCCTCCCTCCTCCCTCCTCCCCTCTTTTCCATCCTTACCAGGCCGATGTTGCCCAGAGGCGTCCCAGCTCATTTCGGGGCATGGGCGCCACAGGGCCCGACTGTTTTTTTTTTTGGCCTCTTGTGGTTGTCTGATTGGCTATTGGCTGCTGGCCTTTTGACAGCGCATCTGCATCCAAGTCTCATTGGTCGACCTAAACTAACTCTACCCACGTCCTTCTTCCACATGGCAAACTGGCTCCTCTCTCTGTAAGGCTGGCATGGACATGGCATAGCCTGTATGGAAACACGGCCGCATTCGAGTACTGTACTTCATTCAAGAGACGACTGACGAAGCCAAGCCGTCCGAATCCTGGCTTGGTCCATTGTTACTACAGCGAACTACACATAGACGTCCCCCCTCGAACCCGCTTTTTGGCAACGCCGTGTACACCTGCAATGCCCACACATTCTCTCAAACACCCAAGTTACTTCATTCTCTCTGCCCATCCACCCCCCTAGAACTAGAATCGTTTTCCGGGCTTCATCGGCCGCCTGCCCTGCTGCGGCTGACTTCCGTACGCCCGTCTGCCTTCTGCCTTCTTGTCTCGGCCCAGACTGGCCCCCAAGCTGATGTCGATTCTGGGCGGTGTCGAGAAGCCAAAGCTCTTTGCAACCTTGACCAGATCCAGCTTGTGCACGTCAAAAACAGATCGCAGGCTGTGCGACGCGTACGCTTGTAGATAGGACCGGTACCCATCCTTGGCCGATTTGTTGAGGTAGTAATTCTTCGAGATGAGTGCTTCCAGTTGCGATTGAATGTCTGTACATGGTCAGCTAGGAAGAAACCAACACAAAAAAAAACATGTCCGACAGAGGAGCTTACTCAGAATCTTGTTGGCTGGTAGCTCAAACTCTACAAGAGGAACACGGGCCTCCTTGAGCAGCTTCAGGAAACCAATCTCGGATGGCAGCAGGAACATCAGACTCCTGCCCTTGCCGTCTGAGCCTCTTGCCGTTCGACCGACTCGGTGAATGTAGTCGCGCGGGTCATCCGGTGGATCAAACTGAATGACCCAGTCTACCTCGGGAATGTCCAACCCTCGTGCTGCCACATCCGTACAGATGAGCGTGCCAGAAGTCGCGTTACAGAATTCAAAGAACCGGTTCGTGCGCACTTGTTGCTTGAGCTTGCCATGCAGCTCCAGCACGGGCAAATCAATGTAGTTGAGCAGCTCGGCGTAGAATTTCACCGAATTGCAACTGGAAAAGAAGACTATCACCTTCTTCTTCTGATGCTTCTTGAGAAAGCTGAAGAGCAGCCTGAACCGCGTGTCCGAGTCGCAGATCACGTAGCCTTGCTCAAGTCCTTCGACCGTAGAGTGCTCCTTCCGGTAATCCACGTTGATGTACAGTGGGCCTGGCTTCAACGAGATGCGCGCCAGGTCCTCGACCTTTGTAGTTTGTGTCGCAGAGAAGAGCATAGTCTGCCTGTCCGATGGTAGGATCTTGATTACACTCCGCATTTCATCTTCGAATCCCACTTCCAGAATACGATCCGCCTCGTCGATGATCAAGCTTTTGAGATTCTTGAAAACGAAGCCTTGAGTGTTGTGCAAGTGATCAAGCAGACGCCCCGGTGTCGCAATCAGCAAGTTGACCCCCTTGACCAGCTTCTCCGCCTCTGCTCTTCGATTTGCGCCACCAATGACGATGCCAAACGTCTGTGAGTGCTTCTCCATAAGCTCACGGGCAACACCGAATATTTGTAACGCTAGTTCACGTGTGGGAGACACGACAATCACTCCAGTACCGTTTCGCGGCTTGAATCTCATGGCCGATAGCATTTCGATGGCGGGGATGAGGAAAGCAAGCGTCTTGCCACTGCCCGTCTTCGCTGCACCGAGCACATCCTTTCCACTTGGAGCCGTTAGCAACTGCTTCTGTGAGAGCGGCTGAAGTTCTTACCTTAGTAGAGGAGGAATCGTCTTCTGTTGAATCTCCGTCATGGTCTCGAAGCCCATGTTCTTGATAGCCTCCATCGTGCGGTCCGACAAGTTCAGCTCCGAGAACTTGGTAGGGTTTTCCATGCTAGGCATCGAGGTACCCGACAAAAGATCGTTTTGACCCAACGCTTCGCCGTTCGCGCCGCTAATGTGCCTGTCGTCTGCCTCTTCTTCCGCCTCGTCATTGGCGTTTTCTCTTGCGCTCTTGGCCTTTGCAGCGATTTGCTTCAACTCTGCGTTGATTTGCGCCTCGTCTTCCCCGATGTCGCTCTCTGCGCCATCTTCACCTGCTTCTTCTACCTCTACGTCCTCAGTCTCAGGCTCGGGTGTGTGCTCCTTCTTGGACTTCTTGCGCGGCTTCTCGCTTTTCGTTGCGCCATTACTCTGTGCAACAGGTTCTGTAGATTCTTCGCTCTTCTTGCTCTTGTGCTTGCGCTTGCGCTTCTTGCTATCGATTTCGGTGGTCGTCATGTTGTGGGATCGTGGAAAGTATATGTTCAGGTGGGAAGCGTTTCGCGGACAACTTTTTTTGCGACATTGGAGCTAGCTCTCAGTTCTACCTAGCTCCCGGATTTACAACGGCCCATGATTGGTTAAGGTGGGATGGTAGCGTTTAGCCTACTCTACACTTAAATCGCCATCATTACCTTTTCTCGACAACAAACATGGTACCGATATCAGATCGTATATTTCAATGTCGATTTCAATAGATACATGATCGCACGTACAAATCAGCGGGAAAATAATGGTTCGTAAGAGGAAGTTGTTTCAAGCTGCGCTAGACAGCTGTCAATCGAAATTAAGCACACAAATGTTGCAGCGACATGACGGTCTCAGGCTACAGACGTGTGCACCAGGACCATGTGGCAGATCGTGTAAACCCGTGTGTGGTCTTCTTGCAGGGCGAGTGGTGTGTTTCCCGCTGCCTTAGTCAAACGCTGTACATGAGACGACCAAGACCAGTTAAATTATAATGACGTGCATCACGAAACAACAAGCATTACTTGGTAACATGAGATATGGCTTGGAATATGCCAGATGAGATCTTACCACACCATTTTTGCTAAGGAAGAAGCCTCATATCCAACACCAACTATTCGACTACGCCTATCTTAGCCTTCCATCGAGGCCCTGAAGATCGCGTTCGAGATCGTTTCCTTGCCAGCTACCCTGGTTGAAAGCCTCTTGTGGTCTTGGATCTTCATAGCCCGCACGGTCGTAGTTGTTGGGGATAGGAACGGCAGGTGCTTGGCCCTGACCTCCGGCGCCTGCACCGGGCTGTACGCGAACCATCTGGCGGAAGCGATTGACTTCTGCAAGAATCATCTTCTTCATATCATTGATCTCCTCCACCACCTCGAACTGGAAGTCGAATGTAGTAGGACATGATGGCTCGTCCGAGGCATCATGCCAGATGTGTAGGTACCTGTGCTCTAGCGCTTCCTCGACAGAAATACGACTTGAAGGGTCAAATGCCAGCATGCGGTCCAAAAGGTCCAGAGCATCGGGGTTTGCGTTGCGGAAGAGCGATTGGAACGAGATCTTGGCCATGTATGGGAGGTTGCGGACATAGTCCTGAGCTCGCGGCGATCCGATTCGCGACAGGGTCTCCTCGTTTGGTGTTCCAAGATAGTGGAGGATCTGATTCAGCTGATCAACATAATCGCGGCCCTTGAAGAAGGGCTTGCCACCGAGCAACTCGGCGAGAATGCAACCAACGGACCAAACATCGACTACCAGAGTTAGTAAAGTGCATAGATACGTTTTGCAAAGTGTGGCTCTCGAATGGTGTAAGGCAAGTTAGGGACTACAGCTTGCCGCGACTGATTTGCAGCATGCTCCATCGCAAACGTGCACAATGAATACTTACTGGCTTTTGTATAGCTTTGGAAGCTCAACATGATCTCGGGGGCTCTGTACCAGCGGGTAGCAACGTACTCCGTCATATATCCTGCATTTTCTTCTGGATCCATCGAGAAGCCTCTAGCCAGACCAAAATCACAAATCTTAAGTTCGCAGTCGGCATTGACCAGCAGGTTACCCGGTTTGAGATCGCGGTGGAGGACGTTGGCCGAGTGAATGTACTTGAGACCGCAAAGGATCTGGTAGATGAAGGACTGAAAGTGAGCGTCGGTCAATGGCTGACCAGACCGTATGATGGCCGCCAGATCGCACTCCATGAGCTCTGTACCGGTGTCAGCGACCTGTTATACTTGTACCGAGGTTGTCCCCTACCCTCATAAAGATAGCACTCGTTGAAGTTGTCTGGGCGGGGAATGTCCATGTCATAGAGACATGTAATCTGGTTGTTCTTGTTCAGTATCGAGCCTCACATGTGTGGTTGTGTGTGTATCGTGCGCGCATGGGGTTCGTCTTACATTTCGATGTCCTGTCCGATGTTAGTCCATTTCAAAGCCATGTCAAAACTGCTGCCTTACCGCGGAAGTGCTGTAGTAACTTGATCTCGCGCAGAGCACGCTTGGCGAGAATCTTTTTGCTGAAGACATTGGTGACTTTTTTGATGGCCACGCCTTCGCCAGTCTGATTGTTGGTAGCCGCGCTGTAAGGTGGTTATGTCAGCGTGGAGAAGGCTGTATGTACGTCGAGTCGAGTCCTACCAGACGATACCATAAGCACCTTGTCCTAGTTCCTTGGTCACATTGTATCGCTCATCCACGATGAACTCCTGGTTAAACACCTAATCGCTGTCAGAACAACTTTCCTATTCGGCCATGATCTTGGGCAGATATAGTACCTTGAACACCTTGCGGTTGGCGAGGTCGCCCATCTTGGCTGGGCCGGCGAGGGAAACTCGGGGGCGAAGAGATGGACTGTGGGTCGTAAAAGGGAAGGAGCGAGTAAAGTGAGGCGGGCGCGAGAGGCGGGTCCAGGAGCAGAAGAAAGAGAAGAATACGAAGGCGGCGACGACGACGACGAAGAAAAGAAGAAGAGGTGAAGGCAGGTAGGCAGGCAGGCAGGCAGGCAGGCAGGCGGCCGCCGTTGAGGGGGGTGAGGGGGGAAGGGGAATGGGACGAGGGGACAAGGCTAAACGCGGCGCGCGCTATGATGGCTGCTGCTGCGTCGACACAAAGCGGGGCGGCGGCGGCTGTCGAAACTGGACTGGAGGGGAGAGGAGGGGCAGACAAAGGTGGATGGCAAAAAGCCTGTACTCTTCTTCAGCAGACAATGCAAACGAACAGCAACAACAACAACAAATTATGGCAATGCGAGAGGGGCCCAAAAGTGAGCATGTAAGCAAAAAAGGACGTTGTCTTGCCCAGGGTACTTGTGTATGCCACTTCGCCTCCTCGGCCACGACTAACTAGGGAGGGTAGTAGTGAACGGTAGTCAGGGTGGTAATCAGGGTAATCGGGGTCGGGGCAGCTTACTGTATTTGTGTATTGTACGCTGCTGTGTATTGCATGTTGCGTATTATATTACATGATTCGGGGGGTTATGGGCCTACGTAAGCTACCGTAATTTATGGTGGGGGTCCAGTCACGTCAATGAGGGGGGCTTGAAAAGGCTCGGCTAGACTAGGGAAGGCGCGACCCTTTAGCACCCAACCCAACTCCTCGAAGGCTCCCCACCAGACCGCTTCCTCTGCCCGGATCACGACTGAGAACACTACTCTACATGTTGTACAAGTACGGCACGGCAAGGCACTCTAGCTCTGCCCTACGACGGCCCTGGATTATTACCCTATGTATCGAGACGAGACTGCTTCGCCGTTGACTAACCCAGAAACGGCACACGGCACAAGGCAAACAGGCATCCATGCTTCCATCCCAACCTCTCCCATTGTCTCCAGACTGACGACGCTCGCTAAGCTACAAGGGCAATGATTGTCGTCATCTCGGTTGCGGTGACTACATGCTTGACGACTGACGACTGACGGCTGACACTATTGTCTGTCTACCTAGATACAGTAGCTACATTGCATTCCATACTTGAAATGCCCACAGGCAACACATAGAGCTGGCGAACCAACCCCACCGTGTTGCCAGAAAACTCTCACGGTCCGATCCATGCCCCCCAATGCCCCCGTATTACCTGGAGAAATCGGCTCGGTCTAGCTTCATGGGTGAAGAAAACGGCTATCATGAGCTGAAAACGCCCAAGTCCCAGGATAGAAAGAGCGCTTGCCCATGGCCATCGCCACCGAATGTCCGAGCCTCGTCCGTGTTCCATTCAAAGAAACCGTAGTACCACACGACCCCGAGTACTCAGCTTTTCACCGCTCACGATTCGTAAGAGAATCTTTGTCGAGACTCCTCTGTCGACTCTTCCATCCCAGATAGGGGAGAGAGAAGTCCGTCTTCGGTCTCCGTTCTTCTGTAGCCTCGAAGCGGATGGGCTGCCGACAGGAAGTAAGTATCCGAAGCCTCTAGCAAAGCACCGTCTCTTGGTCTTCGTGGCATTATGGGTGACACAGTACTGTGGCTTGTCAATCCACCGTGCAGCGTCGTCACTTCTGCTGGAGATACAAGTGCGGGCCGTGGACGCGTATCTTCCAAGTTTGGGGACACGACAGGCGGATGGCTCGCATCAACTCCATTGTATATCTGCTCCCGCACCATTAGGATCTCCTTTTCTGAAAGCTGGCGGCCACCTGCTTCTTGGGGCGCTGGAACACCTGCTGGCATCTCGTACACTGGGCACTCGATACTATCAATCTCATGGATTGCCAACGACGACTCCTTTTCTCTGTTGCTCAATTCATGGCAGAGAGTGGAAATACCAGGTAACTCTGCCTTGGGAAAGACGGTTGTCGATTTTTCGTCTTCCGAATGGGCAGAAGTTGGAGATCCTTCCCATGACTTAATTGAGGCCTTCTTCGATGCCGCAACCATGACCGTTGCCTTATCCTGTGATGTGCGCGCTTCCAGTTTATACCTTCGACGACGCCAAACACACAAACCAATCGCAAACAATATCACAATGACCACAAGTCCCAAGCCAGTTGATATGCCGATTATGGCTCGAGAGCTGAGTTCCGGCATCTCGGAAAGATCGGGACCTTGCTCCAGGTACTTTGTGTCGACAATTGGCCTAAGATCGATCGAATTTCCAAATGTCCAGTCAATCGCAGATACTGAAAAGTTTTGGCGTTCCCAGTCCACTGTCAAGTAAGCCTCCTGCAGGAAGGTTCTCCCGAGAATCCACTGATTGGCCATGTAGCCCCTTCTAATAGGAAAGTACCTCGTTTGTTCTTGCAATCCTCTATAGGGTGGTGATGCCACTAAGTCAAGGGCAGCATAAGGTAACGTAATCTGCACTGTCGAGTCGGTGCGAAACTGTTGGCCCAGTGTGAATGTTATGCTAGGGTTCTGTGCCAAAAGCTTCGCATGCAAGCTATCGTTGACGAGGTAAAGATCAGTACGGGCATCATATTCGAGTCCAAGAGCATCTTCAAAAGCCTGGCAGACCTTGGGAGGCAACCACAGCTCGGCTACCGTTGAATCAATGAACATGTTCAGCTCGCTTCGCATCAGCAGATCAATGTTGAATTGCGTGGTGGTGTTTGCTGAGAGGCCAACAACCCCGACAACAAGATCACGCTCATTATCGGGTTCGAAGATGAAACTGAGGTCATTAGTAACAAATCGAGAAGCATCATAGCCACCAAGTGTGAGGCTGCCCAAAACCATCCGTCCATCTACCTGCGAAGTTAGCCGGACTGTCAGACTGAATCCCAGTGACTCTTACGGTACTGAGCACCTGCTGTGTAGCCGAATGATTTGCTAGGGATGCTGCCTTGATCGAAGAGATTCATCATGTAGCTTGGAATAGGTGCCTCGGACGCAGAAAAGTTGGTGGGTTTATGGTGCACTCCAATGTGCCCAAGCCAGAAATTCGATGAAACCAAGGTGCCTATTGTACTGTTCATCGTGGATGGCCCCTCCTCTCCTGGAAAACCCATGGCAACGGTATCGAAGCCATATAGCCCATTTCCAGCGAGGCCGATCGCCTTCTCTACCCAGAGTTGATAATAACCCTTCTCCGCCCACGTCAAGGATTCGGTGACGTTGAACAGAAAGCCACGGCTGTTCTCACATTGAGGATTCAGAACGTTCTGCTGCATGACCTGTCCGACGATCGGACTCGTGATATTTGAAACGCAGGCTAGGCGACTGATAGCCCATATTTGTTGACTTGCAGTCGATACAAGCACCCGCACATTCTGGCGCGGTTCGCCTACGAACAAACTGAATGTATTCCACGAGCCATCGATGCCTGTCCAATCTTGATCGGGCGCGACTCTCACGGGTGCAGGAACAGAGTGTACACCCGGTGCAAGCTTATAACCGGTGACATCTGTGATATTCTTCTGTAGGTATTCGGCGGCGAGGCGTGGCAACGACAGAGCTATGGCGAACAGTAGACCTATCTTGGACGGAAAGCCGTGGTTGGCTCGCAAGGGAGGCATACCGGTATTTGCCTACTTCGATGCAGTTGGCGAGCAAGCGTCACGTGGAGAGCACGTTGGGAGTGTGCCTAGCTGGTGGACTTGTGGATTCTACCACAACGATGATTAGGGTAGAGAACAGCATCACCAGGCCGAGGGCGCATTATCGCCCACCATGGCTCGAAGGCAAGGGAGAAGCAATACACGACCAGCAGGCAAGTGTTGTGCCAAATCAGCCGAGCTGCCTTGAACAGGCCAAGGAATATATTGCCTATGTACTAACTGTAGGGTAGGTAACTCCACGACGCTGAGCCCCTCGGTGAGAGCGACGAACAAGGGAGCGCTTGATTCCGGGCTATGTACTGTATGATCGATATTGTACCTGTGCTTTGCATGCGCAGCTATGCAGCCATTTCGTCGAGTAGGTAAGCATTCACCCGGCTAATCTCCCCCAGGTTTCATTAACGAAGAATCGACGACTATTGTACCGGTACCTAGCTAACCCATCTTTGTGTCTTGACATGTCAGAAATCCACACAAGTGGCGCCACTTAGTCCGACGCTTTACCGAAGACTACAGTTACCCGACTTATGCAATGGGGCTTTCAGCACTATTCAATTACAGCATGGCTACCGGTATTCCCCGTCAGCCGCTCTTCAAGGTACCATTTACTTGGTAATTCAAAGACATACTCGGAATCTCAGGCCACAAGCCAGATTAGTAAAGCCAAATGGTCTACCATGATTGATTGATTGCGTTTCCCCACATGACTTCGCATTCCCCGGAACCACGGCCGTACCGAGAAGCACTGCATCTCCTTTTGAATCGGATGCATGAAATGCTATAAAATCTTGATGCAAAGCAGTCAATGGTCCTAACCAAGGGATCTGCTTCTGTATGCAGGGTGCGTCACACAAATACCAGCAACAAGTACAGCCAAGGCCCATGGACTATATTCACAAGAAAACATGGCCTCTGGACATGTATGCTGTGGCTGGCCAGCAAGCAAGGCATGATCAAAGGCGCTTCTTCTGCGAATGCGAAGCGCACAGTTGGTTTGCTGTCATGCTGCACGTGAATTTGACACGCATCTCAGGTCTCCCTTGCGCCAGGTGGCAGTCAAGCATCCGACCCCGCGACAAAGCTTGTACTCTTCTTGTAAGTATGCTGAGCTTGCAGATAACTAGGTACGGTACGCCTCTATCCAAAACCCGCGTGCGACCCGCCTGTCAATTGCCGCCCTTGCAGCCCGCTCGCATGTCCACCATTAATCCTAGTCAACTCAGTCGCAGCACCTACATGCGTTCGTAGCAGTTTGCCGAACGCATGTTTTCGCCACAGAATTATTTTGTGATCTGGCTCGCATCTTCAACAGCGCAAGCAGTAATCCTCCATCATGGTGATGTTAATGTTGTTGGTAAGGTCAAAAGAAACCAACTGTTCTGGCTGCATACTCGCACATGCTAACGAGGCCATAAAGCTCCATTCTCCAACGTCTCCATTGAGTCAGCGTACACGTTCACTACTCTTGCAGAATCTGTTGGCCTTCATACGGCGGATCCCACTTCCACATTTCAGTCTATAAAAACTTTCGATGTCTCCGAGCCGAATCCATCAAAATCTACGACGACTGAACTCCCTCCAATAGCCACTGTAATCAGTGCTGCAGCGTTAGACGTAAATGCGACCTCCACAGCATCAAGGCGTACCTCCAATGCATCGTGTATAGTCAACATTCCAAGTGCAAATCTTGAATACTGGCATCCTCCTACTTACAGCCATGCTGTAGGGACTATGACGACAGAGGCGGCAAATTTCAGTGATGCTGAGACGTTGACACTTGTCCCTCAAAAAACGGCATTCGATGTAACAAGCGCGCTAGCAACCGATTACGCATGTACTACGAGGTATTCCTACATGTCTGTAGTGGACTGGACTTTTTCTATATGTATCGAATATACAGAAAAACCAGTTGCAACTGTCACATCTATTGCATATCGATATGCGTACTCTTCTTTCCCAGTAGGCAATACTGCGCCAGTGGCAGATATCTTTTTGTATGATCTCTACACCAACGATCGAACATCTGCGACTACAACACTCTCGGTTGCGCCAAACGTGGTTCAGACTCAGACTTCTAATACCCCATTTGTTCATTTCACAGAGTACGAAATCGAGTCCGGCGGTCGGACGGAAACCTTTCAGTTACAATCGGGGCTCGTGTATCCTTATTGGTTGGAGGGGATTGAGCAACAGGCAACAGCAACCGGTCCGCTTCCGAAAGGGTTTATAGATCAGATCTCTCAGTCCCATTGCAATACAGGAAAACTCCAGGCCGTGATCACTGTCGTGATCGTGGTAGATCTCTACTATCAGTTCTGGCCGGACCTCAATCCTTTCCTTATTCACTTCGAATCAACGGCTCTTGGTTTCGAAGATCCTCCGGTCATTATCAACCACAACAACCAAGAAAGTTCTAGCGCTGTATCTTTCACGATTGTAGACTGGGATTTGACTAGTCTCGCAGCCAAGCCAATCCCAACGAACCTCAAGCCCCAAGTGAGACCAAATCCTGTGTCTATAACTGCCAATAGAGCACATGACAGCAATGAAAACAATCATGCCAGCCAAGAACCACAGATAATCCGTGTCACCGTTGGCAATGTTGGCACATTCCCAGTTGTCGTTGGACCATCCTCACAAGTAATGATCGGCTCGCAGACATTACAGCCCGGAGCAGCACCCGTTATCATCGGGGACGGAACTCGCATTGCTCTCGCCCCATCAGCTACCGCAATCATTATAGGAGATACGACGTCCCAACTTCCACGGGTGCTTGACCCAGGCACTCCATCTTCTCCGTTGCCGCCCCCGATCCTAACACTTGGCTCCTTGACGTTTACGCCAAATGCTGCCACGCAATTCCTCATAGCTCCCGATCAGACACTAATCCCCGGCGGAGTTGTGACTCTCGATGGAACGAAAATCAGCCTCGCATCATCGGCCGCGTTCGTTGTCATTGGAACGTCTACGGAAGCACTGCAGCCTGCAGTCCAGGCAGCCGCACCTGTCCGAATAAACCGCCCTAAAATTATCGTAGCCGGCTCCACGATTATAGCAGAGCCGATCAGGCATGTCCGGAGTGATTATGATGGTGTTGGACACAACGATGCAGCGAACGGCGACTCGGGTCCAAGCTTCATTGTCTCGGGCCAAACACTTGCTCCTGGCGGTTCTGCTATTACTGTATCTGGAACGGTGTTGTCTCTTGCAGCCTCTGGATCTTTTGTGGTTGTTAATGGGGTTTCATCTTCGGTTTCGACTCACCTGAATCCTCCAACAGCAGCACATATAACTGCACCTCCTCTTACAATCGGAGATAGAACTTTCTATCCTCTTCCAGGCACTGAAACAGAATATCTTATCTTTTCCATGCTCTTGACCCCGGGGGGTTCCATCGTCGTCGCCGGAACCACGGTATCTCTCGCGCTTGGTGTCAGCGCTCTGGTCGTGAATGGACACACCAGTCATGTTGCCCTCCAGGCTCAGGCCGTCATTACAAATGCACCACTACTTACGATTGGAACAAGAACTTACACGGCTGTGCATGCAACAACTTTCATTATTGATGGGAAGACCTTGACGCCAGGTGGCGTCATCACTGTAGATGGAACGACCATCACGCTTGCACATGGAGCCACTGCACTGGTTTATGGAAGTGCGGGGCATAGCACATCCACTGCATTGTTTCCTGCTACTACGACACAGAATGGAGGCCCTACTTGTGCGTTGTGTCCTGGCGCGGCGGCGAGCGGTGGGGATGCAAGACCGATGGCGACTAGTTCGCAGGAAGGCGCGGCGGTTAGGTTGCACACCCACATTTGGACCGCTGCTCTTGTCGTGTGTGTATTTCTTAGTATACGGGACTGAATTTGAATTTGGGCTTGCGGGTAGAGAAGTATTGCATTTATATTCAGGCGAGTGGATTTAAAAAGCGCAAAACATGTCAGATCGTGAGTACATTGAGGTATAATATGTGCATATTCTTACATTTTGTGCTTTGCATTCATCGCGAATCCTCATTGCCCTGTTTACCAAAGAATCACGCTCAAGATACATCAATGGGGGTTATGAGCAACTACAGCACTCAGGTCAGGGAAGCACAATGCGTCATAGCATCTAATAGCCATCTTACAAGTACTGATGCTGGTGAAAATCTAGCTTCCTCATGACCCTCTCCAACTCTTCCTCTCCTCCATCCAGATATATTGCACCACACAGAGCTTCTATCAACGTAGCAACCATCTTGTCCGACACCACGATTGCCCCCGGACTCAAGATGATGCACTCATGCAGGCCCTTCTCCCGACCTAACTGCGCCAAAAACCCATTGCCGCACTTATCGTGGCGTATCTGTGTCCACTGGCCTTTGTGGGCCTTTGGACTTTTCCCCCACCACCATTTGCACAAGACTCCAGCCATGCGAGCGTCGCCCAGGACAGCCAGTCCGGAGTTGTGGGGGATAGAATAGGTGGTGTTATTGTGCGAGATGAGACATCCAGAGGCGTTGAGGGCGTTGAGCAGATGGTATTTTGATTTTGCGGTGTAGGTGATGATTTGCTCGCACTGGGAGACTTTGCCTTCGACATTGTGGATGGTCTGGTTGAGGTCCACTGCTGGGAGTACACTTGGTGATTCAGTTGCTATGCTGGATTGAAATCTGCTCATGGAGGGGATTTTCATGTAGGGGGGGCCTTGCTTGGATATAAGGCATGATGTGGAAGTGGCGATAATCTTCCTGGAATATGCGAACATGTTCTGGGATGTCGTGCTTATTAGGTGCCCACACTGCCAAGGACCTCGTCGCTAATGACACTACACCGGCGGCTGAATCAATTATATGGCAGAATCCGAGCTGTCTGTGGACGGTTTAGTACTTAAGCAGGATGCTGTGGTGCAAAAGTTCGACAAGTCATTGGATGCAGCAACTGTCTGACAAAGGCCTAGTTAGCATGGGGTCCTGCTTACGGGTCGGGCTGGTGCTAACATAGGTAAATGATGTAGCTAGATGCTTCCAAATTCTCGAGATGAATCCTTAACTCAATGAAGACGGTTTGCGCGTGAGATCAACTGTGAATGTCCAACAACCTGTTTTCGTGCTTGAATGTGCCAAGACGCTAAGTCTCGTTAGCTCCTCTCGTCCCAACTACTTCGAGTCCAAGGTGCGGTAATCCAAGTCATCATCTCTATCATCTCCGTTGTCACTAAGTCTATCTCTTGAATGCCATCCTCAATTCCATCGTCTTCTTCTCAATCTTCTTACAATTATCATCGCCATCTGAACACCGTACGAGTCGTTTTGGTATTTCTCATTTTGCTCTTCTTGTTCGCCCCTTAGAGGAGTCACTCCATAATTGGACATGTTTCTTCCTCGGCCTGTCCGTTTTCTTCAATATCCTCAGAGTAGTCATTGATGATTCTTTCTCTACCTGCCGCTGCAGTTGTGATGGTTGCCCTCTCATTGAGCAATTGTGCTTGTGCAGTCCCGACCGAATTGCCCTCTTCTTCTGTTGCCCTTTCCCCATGAACCTCTTCGTCCGCACCAGTGTTTATGTGAACTTCTTCGGATGGCAAATTTGATGCATCTTCCCACACAGACCTTCTGCGTACACTTCTTCGGACTTCGCTGAACTGCGTGCGGCATTCCGGGCACAGGTTGCGGTTTGGGGAAGTGCCATTCGCCCATGACCACAAGCACGCATAGTGGAAGTAATGCGCGCATGCGTTGAGTCTTACTATGCGCATATCATTTTCGCCGTTTGTGTATACTTCTATGCATATAGTGCAGTACTGGTTTGGTGGCATAGCAGTGACAGTGTTCGCAATTGGCTCGAGCTCTGTGCAAGGTCCGAATGCTTCGAGCTCGACAGGCTCGTCAAAATCTGTATCAAACATTTCGTCATCATCATCATCATCATGGAGCTCGTCACTTCCGACCTCTTCTGTATCAGAAACAGGTTCGTTGATGTAAAAGCGACTACCCCAGTTGAATTCAGGCAGCTGAGGCTCAGCATCTTGATGCATCATCCTCTGTTCGTCAAAAATGGTAGACTGTCGCGCGCGATCATACAGCCTCCCAGCAAATTCTGCCGCGCTGCCGCCCTCTTTCTGGATTTTTGCAACAATTGATCGTACATTGAATCCTTCCGGCATCCCGGGACGAGGATCGGCAGAGGACTCCTGGGCCTGCTGCATGACCACGTTACACATCTCAACGAAGCTCTGTCGAGTATTTCGGACTCCTGGTCTGCTATGAACTTCATACGCCAGGTTCCATACCCAATCCCACAGCAGGTCAAATCTGAGATCCTTCTCCCCCTCACGGACATGGAATGGTAACTGCGTGTGCGGATTATAGTCTTCCACTTCCGATATAAACGCAGAATGCGCTTGTAAGAAGCCATCAATGTACCACTTGAAAGTGGGCATTTCATTAGACGGGCGCCCTTCCGTCACGGAAGCCGCAGTCCAAAGGTGAACAACCGTTAGTATTTCCTTCATCACCGTCATAAGAAGGTGACGGATTCCGCTCGAATACTGGGGACCGCCACTGAACCTCTCCATGGCTGGCCACAAGGTGCCACCTGGGCCAAACAGTTCTGGTGCCGGGTCTCCGAAATTCGCAAAGACGTTGCACCGTCTACTGTACCGCGGTCTGCATGTCACCATGGACCGCAAATCCTGACGGACAACAAGCTTCACCTCTTCCGGAATATTTGCTTGAGACAGGCCCATGAGAGCGCATTCAACCAGCCAATTTGTGCCCCGGAGCGGATTGATATACTTCCTCCCCATGGACTCCCAGGTTTCAAAAGTATTGCCACCAATCTTCCCTGATCGTAGGTGGGACTCCAATGTACTCCAAACAGCCAACGGATCCAGCTTGCGGAGGACTTGCGCAGCCTGCAGTGACTCCGGGTCGCGATAGTGGATGGTCTTCTCGTTGCAATAATCCGACAACCTTTCTTGCCACATCTCTCGGAGATCCTGCTTGGTCAATGGAGCGGCGAATCCCTCTGTGTGGTTGTCAATGATGCTTTCGAGCCAACCAAGGTTGCAGTCGAAGAAGTTGATGATAAATGCGGTGCCATAGAAGGATCCGTACAAGGGTAGAAGAGCTTCATTGAGGAAAGATATATTGACTGGCACTACTGGCTCGGGTTCCGACATGCTTGCACACAGTAGGGCTTGTCAGCTACTCTTGACCAGTCGTTGTAGTAAGCTTAGAAGCTGTCGCAATCGCCGCGTCGCTGAGGCAGGTGTCAGCTTTCGAGAAAATTTGCAAGTGCAGAAATGCATACTTCATGCGATTGTGACCAAGATATCTGAGGCGGTAGATGAATGTTCAAATATAGCCTGGAAACTGTCGCGATCTCCGCGCCGCTGTGCTAGCTGTCAGATAGTGAGAACGTTTACGAGCCACAAAACGCGTAATGAATACAACCGTGACCAGGGTATTTGAAGTGGTGGCGGCACGGTTGATGTGGGCAGGACTGCAGAAGGCAAGTTCGAAGTCGATACAGCTCATGTAGTGATTAGTGCATCGATCTGTGCCTTTCACGCCCGCCCACAAAAATACCAACACTCGACAAACGACTTTTGGCAAAGCTCCAGCTCAAATCTTATGAGGGGACTGTCTGGGGTGGCCTATGTGTTTTTGGGCGCTGAGATGGGAGGTTGACAGCTTCACGTGGCTGGATTGGGCCGTGTGCAAACGGAGCAGCGCGCCTCCCAAGATCTAGCCTGCAATATCGCTTTCGCTATGATGGCATGTTCTATTCGAGATGGCGCGTGCGTCACTACGACGATGTCAAGACTGCTTCACGTTGTCTCTTCAACAGGCAAAGGAACAGGTTCAGAATGATCAGGCGATAACCTGCAGCTACTGGAATAACTAGACATGACTTTGAGAACATAGGCCTAATGCGGTGCTCAAGGGCACAGTCATATATCCAGTGTCTCCCTTTCGCTGACTGGCGGCAGTGAAACATGAGCCGCAGCGGCATTGACGCACGAGTTCTGTGGCTATTAACTTCAATCAAGGACGATAAGGTCAATTCATGCTAACTACAAATGCAAAGGGAAGCGGCTTAACAGGAACAATCCTCCATCCTCACTCCGTCAAGATCATCGTACTATCTGATACATCTCATTGTAATTGTAAACAACTCCGCCTAAAGACACCACACCAAAATCGTGCCCGTGTAGCAGTAGCCATACCAGCCCTCGTATCACTTGCATGGTCCTACACAATTGGTTCACAGTCCTCGCATTCACCCACCTCTCTACTCACAACATCTAGTCCAAGCCGAAACTTTCACATGTCCATAACACTTCTTCGTCACGGCCAGCTTCGGCTTCGTACCAATGTCGTCCTAAGAGCTACAAATCTGTGATCAGTCCAGCGTCGTTCACCTGATCAATGTCAGTGTCAAGTAACTGATTCAACACCTGTGCTTGCAATGGGCACTGGATACTGAGAGTATCCTGGGACGCGATGTTGTCATTGGCGACTTCCCTTAGATCTGGACAACTATACCCTGCTGAAGTGTTATTAGCAGGCAGTCTTCTCGATCCATCTCTTGCGGTAGATCCTATCATCGCACTACGACTCCAACAAGGACAGCCTCCGCTCTCACTTGGAGAATTAATTGCTTGCGTGGCTGATTCTACGACCTGGGCGATACCCTGGTGTGTTTCATCGACGACCCGATCGTACGCTCGACATGCTTCGCTATTGACTTGTTCCTGGAACTCTGCCATTCTCTGCCTGTGCATGTTTTCCATCCGGGCAAGCATACTGGCGAATCGCTCTTCCAAGCCTGCACCGAACTGTAATTCGAGGCGTTCGGTGCGATGTAGGAGTTCCTGGATACCTCCTAGCACGTCATCCATAGCCTCCCTATCCGACACAAAATAGTCAGAGTTAGATGCAGAAGGCTGTGGTCGAATATGGGTCCAGGGAGTAGCGGGACGGCCATGATTGCTGTCCAATCTTTGCTCAGATGATGTGCCGTTGTGGCTATCGTTCAGTGATGCATCTCCAGATACCGAATAATATAAAGAGTTAGATACATCGCCGCCCAATGAATCTTCTGGTAGGGATGGGAAGTGAGGGATCAATGGCATACGATGTGGAGATCGCCCAGTATTAGTTAAAGGTGGAGCACGCGGCGGCTGTAGTACATCATCGTTGGTAAGGCGTGACATACGAGACAACATGGATGCCTCAACATTGGTAAGATGTGTAGTCCCTAGTGGAGAATAGGTTCCATGATCTGCCCACTGGGACCCAGGGACTGTAGCTCTCAGAGCGAGGGTATGGCTAGCCGATCCAGTGTGCCCGATTTCTTCAACAAGGTATACGGGACGCAAGGGCTCCCTTGGCATGCCGGGGGCCTGCGGTGGTTGGAACAAGGTTCTATTCGGATGGTAGCCATCAGAGGAAGAGGACGAGGAAGAGTGCTTACTCGCTGCACAGTCATCGCGTTGTCGGTTGCCGCCCTCTAGATCCATTCGTGAGGGCATCCTGTTTCTAATGATATCGTGATAGTAATGGTACCATGGGAACTATCCACTTTATACGAAGAGCAGAGAATTGCAGGCAAATAGAATAGCAAACTAGAGAAAGGCTGCGTATCTGACCGAAAGCGTGAAAATACGTTGCAGCATGCGACGAATAACAAGACGTGACAGACCGTGCGCTTGATCAATTGGGTACTGATTGCTAGACCTAGCGAATGCAAGTAGCTGTGGTAGGTCAAAAGTAGATTTCTGTTCTAACAGGTCGATCCAGAGTTCAAGCGAACTTCCAACAATCCTGCGCCAGTGGGGTTGTAATGCATATTTACAATCTCAAGTCTTCCATCAATCGTTTTGAAAAGCCGTTCCCAATCGTCTTTGGTCCTTTCCTTTGCCCCAAACAGCAACATCATCATCAAATCCAATTGACGGAACGTATTCTCCTCTGATCTCGTGATGTCGCCTCCTGCGCGTTGAGGCACAATGCAGTCGTTGATCAGGAGTCTTGCATCTCCTGATCGACCCTCCAAAGCGGGGATAAGACCACGCAGGATTCTTGCGGAATTTTCATCATTATTGTTGTGGAACACGTTACGCATGAGGTATACGCCAGCATCACGAATGGACTGAGGCTCGTTGTAATCTGCAACTTGAAAGCTCAGTCGGTCCTGGACGTCGACGGGGTGCTCTGATGAGAGCTGGTGCTCTGAAAGGTCTTGCACAATAAACTTGAGGTCCTTGAATTCCTGAACAAAGCATGTTAAATTTCGGATGTGTCAGATGGACAAGGGGAGTCCCTACACGAGCAAGTTGAGCACTAACACCACCATTACCACCACCTACATCGACAACTTTCTTGTTCTTCAAAGAGATCCCTATGAATGGTAAGCTTAGTGACATGTGGACATGTGGATATGAGAAGCTTACAATCAAAGTTGTCACGTAGTACCGCAAAGGCATCGTCAACTGTGTTTGAGTTCAGAACCAATACACGACGAACATCCCAATCCCAATAGTAGCTTACCAAGAGCCCAACCACTCATAGCTTTTGAGAATCGAGATCCCTTCTCCTGGTTCTCTTCGTAGTAGCCATAGAATGTCTTCCCGAAGCGCGTATGGAAAGGGTTGTTCTCCATGCCTGGTACCGACTTTGGTGATGCTTCAAACATAACATTCATCTCCGATGCTGCCTTGAAGCAGTCATCAAGTGCAGTCTCCGCCATTGGAGTGAAGCCCGAAGTTCGAAGGAATTCTGAGCTTGCGGTGTGACGAAACCTACCATCATGCTCCTCGAAAATACGATATGTAGCCAACATCTTGAGGATGCGGCTCGTACGGTCTTCCTCCAGCTCAGCAGTCTGCGCAATCTCGGCAGCCGTGAGACCCACATTGTTATTGGGAACAATGTGTGGGAGTTTGAAACTCAGAGCGACTTGCACAGCCGCGAGATCAACCACTGACCAGGACAGTGTTCGAAAGTAATGAAGGGGCCCGTTAGTCAGAAGATGAAGGTCCTGGATGGCATCATTTAGTTGGTTTCGCAGACTTCTGTACTCTGGGGTGTCGGGAAGGATAGCAGATGAGGCTGACAAGTCAGGCTGTTGGACGCCTTGTTGCTCAATGTACAAAGCAATCGATGTTGAAAGTTCTGACACTCTGTGGGCGGCTAATGCCAAGGATGTTTTGTTCTTATGAAAAAGTTCCTTGGTGATTGCCATGTTGGTGATTCCGTTGATAGATACGCTGACGAAGAATGAATGCTTACTGATACGTTTCCTGATAATCCTCACATTTGGAACTTTATTTATATAGCCATTTCCACCGTTCGAGTTCGAGTCATGTTGGCCGCGGCAAGGTGTGCCGGAATCGATTTTGTTGCCGCCCTTGTGTTCGTCAACAAGGGTTGCCCTTCATCCAACGACGTTTCTGCAAACGTGCTGTGGCGCTTTTACCTCCAAAAAGTAACTCTCAACCTTATTGTGCTTGTTATGAACAATACGTGAACATCAATAAATCCCTGGTAGCAAGCACTCAATAGCTACGCAAGTCAGGTCCAGTGGCATGGGGCTATTCGCTAGAGAATAAGGCATGGTGTTATCCTGAGGATGTGAGAAGCATTACTCTGGCTACCAGATGCCACTTAAGTTTGAGTCCTAGATATCCGGGACGTGCAAGGAGGCAACTCCCGAACGGTGAAGAAGGAATGATCCCTGGATTACCTATCACTTGTGCGACCTCTGGAACAAAGGCGACTATTTCTTAGAGACATTTGGGCTGGGTCGTGACGGCGCGGAAATTTATGATTGGACCATATGTACACACTCCTAGTCCTTGAGTAATTCAATTAACCGTGGGTTGGTCTTTGAGGGAACCTGAAATGATTGTCTGCAAGTTGGGTCTCAGGATGTAGAGTTCTTCAACCATTGAAGGACCATTGTGCGTAACTAGTGGGATTACACACGCGCAAGCGCAGCTGGATACACAAGAAGCCTCTCGTGCCACATATTGAGACCTTGAAAAGAGATTACTGAAGTTGAGTAAACAAACATCTGCATCCCGAGGTTACCTAGCATCGGGCAGCCTCGAAGACACAAGCCACGTGCGTCAAGACAGCCCTGCTTCAAGTTCCCGCAAATCAGCCACGAAACTTGCTTATGTTGTGAAAGCAACAAACAATATTGCGCTCAAGACGCCACCTGACTGTTTCTGGACTTCGGCCCATTGCCCTTCACACTTATTCATAGTACGACAGCGTATTACAATACTCCTTCAGCATTGTCAAACACGTCATGTCGTAGTGGCAGCCAAAAAGCAAAAGCATCTTATCCTTGAATACGCAACGAAGGACGTCACGCATTGAAATTCTAATGTGCTCCTCCTACAACGCCCAATACCATTTCGCCCATGAAATTGATCGATTGGAAGACCCCCATGTCTGTGGACCCTACGTTGGAAGAAGTGACTTCGCATGGGATTTTAGCATATTCAGTGAGATGATGTGAGCCACAGAGAGACTGGGGGTAGAGGAAGCAGAGTTGACCAGATGTACAATCAAACAGAATTGGATATACGAGCCATTCCCAAACGCCACCCAATACGCTACAAGATCAGATCGAAATGCTATTGCTACATGTATGATTTGCATCAGAAGACGCTGATGTAGTTACCGATGCGCTCTTTCTGGTTTTGCGCAATGCACTCGGCTATCCACGTGATGTTGCGAATTTCCTGGTTCAGATGTAAGCAAGAGAGTACAAAGCGGAGCGCGAGAAAGACGACATACCTGCTCACGCAGCTTGACCCATGCGTACACGATACCGTGGGTAAACTGCCTTGTAAATGCCAGCTTTGAGATTTCCATTTCCTTTTGGTAAAACAAGTCCTCCAAACTCCTCGTCTCTCCGCCTACACCGCCGGACATGTTACCGATGCCACCGCTGCTGCCTTGACTCAAGCCGGTCTGGTCAAAGAACATCTTGTAGTCGGCTACACTCTCCACGGCGATGCGAACACCCTCGATATCATCTGCCCTTGACAGCATCAGGGTTCCTTCTGGGTATAATTTTCCGAAGCTGGGATACAACTTTTTCCTGTCTGCCTTGGAAAGTTCCGTACCGAAAGAGTTCAACGAAATGTTGATGCTTCGGCGGTCTGCTTCAAACTCGAGGACCTCCGTCATGATGTCTGCCGTGGGGGTTCCGGCAATGTCAGGGGTGGAGTTGACCCATTGATGGAAGTCCTCGAGGTAGTTCTTGTACAGGGTATTACGGATAATCTCAATGTTCAACTCGTCCAAGTCCTGGTGACTGAGCGACCCCTTGAAGTAGGGCGCAAGCGGCGTCTCGATGAGGACGGAGTTGTAGAGTTCCTCGATGTTGGTCGCCACGCACAGCACCGGCATCGTCTCGAACCAACCGAGCGGGTGACATCTCTCCAACAGCTCTCGGGTGTCCCGTTCGTGGAGGGTGCCGGTGATCAGGAGTGCAACATTGTCGATCATGTAGCCGTAGGTGAGGTATTCCATGAACTTGGCAAGCGAACCAGTCGCATTGGCCTGGAGGTAGCGGAACTCGGCTACCAGTTTATCTGTGGTTTTGGCGGCGAGGGCAGACGTTGAAGGGTTCGGGGGCAGGTTGGCGAGGAAGTCGCCATAGGCTGGGGACAGTTGTAGCTTCACATCTGTATTATAGTGTTAGAGGGTGGAAGGAGGGAGGGGCAGGTGGTGGGAGATGGACATGCCGTCAATGGTCTCGCACTGGGTCAAGTTGCTGTAGTTCTGGCTGGTGAGCAGGGCATTGCGATAGCCGCGCACGATGCCCTCGATGTAGCTTGGGCTAGACGTTAGCGACAGTAGCGATGAGTGCGTGGGCAACTGGAGAGAAAGTAAAAAGACTGGACATGCATACCCGTATTTGACGTTGTAAAAAAGGCCCTCCATGGTGTTGAGATGCTGGGCTGCTGGCTTGTTGGCTGCTGTTCTTCGGTCTCGCGCTCGACAGTAGACGGACGGGGACTTGGGTAGCTTTCATGCTTGGTCGTCATGCCCAGCCGCTAGACCAACCCTGGACGCTCTGCTCTGCTCCTTCCTGGCCAGTGCCTTGTCTCGCTCCTGCCTCAAGCCGCGGTGGTGCGCCACAGAACACCGCCTCTAAACAGCCCGTGCGCTCCTGCCCCAAGTAGCAATAGCTTCTTGCCAGCGACAACCTTGACAACAAAACATCTCAACTCCATCACCACTTCCTCCAGACTTTCCCACCCTTACTCTCCACTTCTCCCCCTTTCCCCCTCTCTCCTTCTTCCACCACTTCTTTCTCACCACTCTGTTTGCCCGCCATTTGCGCAACAGCACCATCACGCACGCACGGCAGTCGCCTCTCTTTTGGCAGCTCCCACTTTCAATTGTCAACCGCGATTCGACTACTGCTCTGTAAGCTCTTTCATGCCGCGCGCCCACCGCACTTACTAATCTTCACCGGCAGAACACAATGTCGACGCGGCGCTCTACGCGTCGCACTGCAGGCAAGGCTGCCGCCGCCGCCGCCCAGCTCGAGTCGGAGTTCCTCGCGCAGCCGCAGTCGACCATGACCACGACCATGACCACGACCACTTCCACGACCAAGGCCAGCACCAGGTCACGCGCAACTTCCGCGTCCACCACCACCGCCGCCGCCTGTCGTGTCACCAAGCGCAATACCAGGGCCGCCAAGGCTGCTGGCAATGGCTCACCACTACGCGCATTACAGTCGCCCGAGAGGAAGCGTAAGCGCGCTGCTCCTGGACAGACTGCGAGTGTAACACCAGAGCCCACCCCCTCAGGGCCAGCGCAAACCGACAACACCAATGTCGACGACGATGATATGGATGATGATGATCAAGAAGGCATTTTCTTCTCAAAGAGTGAGCCCCAAAACTTTCTTCTACCCCCAGACCACACTAATCTCCCCCTTCCATCAAGCCAATGGTAATGTTTCCCTTTCTCAATCCGACGCCCACACCATCTCTCTTTTCCATCAAGGTACCCCTGTTTTTCTTTTCAAGGGCGACGAGGAGGCGGATCTCAAAGCCGAGAATGACGTTTTGCGCAACAAGATTCTCCAGCTTGAAGCGCGTGTCGTTGAGCTCGAGAAAGCCAACTTGGACCTTGTCAAAGACAATGGTCGCGTCACAGACGCCTATGATGAGCTTTGCGACAAGTTCGCTTCGCTTGAGCTCGAGGCTTTGAGGCCCGCTCGCTTTCCTTCGCCCCTTGGTCTTTCTGAACCAGATTTTTCTGGTGCCGTTTCTGCGGCCTCTTCTCATTACGCTCCCTCAATTGGGACCTTTTCTCCAGAAGTCTCTCGTCCCTGCTCCCCGTCGCTGGCCAGCGCTGCTGGCAATTGGGTTTCCAGCCCCAATAAGCCTAAAGCTATTGAGCCTGACGCTAACACATCTGAACCAGAGTTTGATACACAATTGCAGAATTTCCCTGCAACTGGCCCTGCGCAACCCATGTTTGTCAGCGGCAACGAGTCTGCTAGAGCACTTCTCACAAAGCTTGAGAATGCTGCCAAGGAGCCTCGTGAAGGCCAATCATCGGTCCCGGTCACTGAAGATGTTTCCTCTCCCCCCGACCCCGACGTCAACATGGAGTCTACACCTCAACATGCATCCACCAAGCGAACCCGAGAGGAAGCGGCTACACCTGAGCGTGCGCGTCCTTTTTCGCCCTCGAGCCTGATTAGGCGATCAGTTTCCGCCGTGAAGTCGATCGGGAGACTCTTCTCTGCTATAACCCTAGAGACTCCTCCTCAGAATCCTTCCCCTCCACAAGTAGCCCCACCCCCGTCCATCTTGACCGAAACACTTTCGACTCCACCAACTCCAGTTGGGGCGAGCAAGAAAACACCTGCGAAGAAGAAGACCAACCATCTGATGAGGACACTGCTAAAGGGCACTGACCCTACCGATACCCGCAAGGCAGAAGATTGGGCCAAGCAGATCATCCCCAGTCTCAAGAATGATCCCGCATTCCGCCAGAAGCGCAAGCGTCTTGAGACACCAGTACTTGTCAGGAACATCAACAACTTCCCCTCTGCTAAGCCTTGGGAAGCTGGCTTTGGTGACCCGCTTGCAGACCTGGATGACGATGATGTCGCACCAGTATGGGCTGTTTACCTCGACATGGTAGCAGAAGAAGCAGAAGAAGCAGAAGAAGAAGAACGCACGGCCAAAAAACACAAGACTGCCCATGGGGCCAGTGTGAATCACGAAGAAGTTTCAACCATCACCGAACACCATGCCGCCAGCAACAGCCAAAGTGCCTCCAACCACGATCTCCAACCTCGCAGATCTATTGAACCCTCGCCCATGTTTAACACTTCTCTTTCTCACCATCAAGGTGAAAATGTGTTCAAGGAACTACGTGGACATCATTCGGCGGCCGAAATCCGTACGACTGATCGTGAAGTCCTCCAGTCTGCTACCAATGCCGCTATCCAACCCCACAGCCCCGGTATGGGTTCGTTCAGCGTTCCCGATGACTCTGACGAAGAAGACTCTGTTCTGAATGACAACGTTGGCTTGCCTGCCGCTCCCGTCTGGACTCAAGCCCCTCCTCCTGCCCCAGTTCCTGCACACGCTCCGCTGCCAGGAGGTGCCCCAGCTGATGCTTCCTCAACCACCATCACAGAGAAGCATGTCGATGAGGTCGAGCGCCAGCGCCAGAAACTGATGAAGTTCACCCCGGCCAAGCCCAGCCGTCTCCGTGAGGCCACCTTCCCTTCACCTAGTCTGCTTTCGGACGCAGGTAACGAGTCCATTCTCATGACCACCCCTGCTCACACCGCTGCTGTAAACTCCATTTTCAATGGAATGCCTGGTGCAGAAGTCATCTACCTCGAGCCGAGTGATCAGGCTGCCTTAGCCAACATTCTTACTTCAGACACCTACAAGGACCAATTTCTGGGTCTCTTGCAACCTCCTATCATCTCATACGACTCGGATGAGGAAGACCTCAGCCCCGTATAGATGATCGTGCTCCTGAATTTTCTTCTTGGTTTTTTGATTCCCATTGCTTTGATTCGTGTTTATTCTGGTGTTACTGGAGAACAGACTGCCTCATGCAGATTAACTGGGTGACTTTTGTATAGAAATTGGCGCTTGGCTGGCATGATTGATGAAGCGCGCTGTATACCCAATGACGGTCTGTCGTTCACACTGGGCATTGATTGGCCCCAATTGTACTTTTAACATGTTTGTAATACATGATGACATCCTTGTTACAATCCCCTCCTTGCTGTGCATATCTGCCTGATGTTTAATTTTTGTCACACCGCTACATTCCCATGAACATACATGCAAAAACAGTGCTGGTAGCTGCGGAATGAGGAGTGAGTTGATATCGTCCTTTGAAGATATAGCCAGATTCTATTCTACGCATAGCATGCCACGCATGAATAATGCCTGATTGGCTTCATCTGTCACACGTTTCAGAAGCGTTTTGCACGCTGATCCTCTACATTGTTCACTTGTGGGTTACTGTGGCTATGTCACGTACTTGCTCGTACCCCTTTCAATACTGCTTCAATTTATTTTCATACGCCTGGGATTCGCTGATGATACTTCTTGCAGGCATGAAAAATGGTAGAGCATGGTGGCAAGGTCATGTAAATTTCTCCGTGGGAGTGAGAGCTAGGTGTGGAGAGCACGGTGAGTGGTTCTTGAGTATGTTTTGGTGTGGTGGTGGATTTATCGTTGTAGTACTACTAGTTGTATACTACGACTACTAAAGAAGTAATCGCTTGTTATAATTGCCTATTACATCTTGTAGGGTCATCCATTACCTAGATTATTAGATGAAACATTATATATATATATATAAATAAATCGCGCACATCCTACCATTAACCATCCCACCCTATGACCCCTCAATATCCTTTCCCACATCTCCCGGCAGTGCCACTCCTTCCTTACAGCCCTCTCACCAAAGCCGCCGCTCGCTCAACCAGACCCTCCTTTCCCTGTATATCTAACCACCCCCTCGCCTTTTCAACAACCAATTCCCAACTCCCCCTCAGCCCGGCCAGCTTCTCCTCCATGACCGCAACCGCCACCGCCGTAGCCACCACATCCAATTCCTCTCCCTCTTTGCGCTGCAAGCCGCGTACCATGGCCTCCGAGAGCCCCAGTCCGTTTCTGAGCACTTCTTCTAGTCTGTTGTTCCAACTCCATGCGCCGCTGAAGGATTGAAGTGCGATGAGGCGGTGGAGGAAGAGCGCGGGCTCCTGTGTTAAAGATGGAGGTGGAGGCGTAGCTGGACGGTCAGGTGTATGGTCCATACGGGCCAGGCTTGCGTCTGAAACCATGTTGCGTGATGTCCTCGTCGTGCTCTTCTTTGAGTTATCACCTGCACTGGCGAGGGAATGTGCAGAGTTGGAGGCGGCAAAAGTTGGGGCGTAGCCTGCGAATATTGGAGAGGAACCTGGACTGGTGGGGGAATAGCTGGGTGAGCTGTAGTTGCTGGAGTCTTTCTGTTCAGCCCCTGTAGCAATGGTATTGGTGAAATCGTGATCAGCAGAGAACCAGGAGCCGTATTGGGCTGCTGGGAGGGGGGCAGGGGGTCCGGTACGGGATGGAGACATGCCACCACCTATGGCAGTTAAAGTTTTCCTATTCTTGTTGTCTTGATGCAGCGTCATGAGGCCCATTTGATAGTCCTGCAAGGCCTTTGCATCGCTGGTATTCGGTACTGGAGCAGCACTTGAATTTCCGAAGAGGCCGCCAGAACGCTGTCCTGGGATTCCTGGTGCGGATTGTGCTGGACCACTTCTAAACAGCGCAGAACCAGATGGTTGTCCCTGTGCTTGTGACGTACTCCATCCGCGGGCAGAAGAAGCGGCCCCAAAGGCTGTGGGAGCAGCAGCAGATCCAAAGGCGGTGGGAGTAGCAGCAGATGCTTGACCGAAAAGCATTGCCCTATCTGTATATGCCGGAGCAGCAGCCTTAGTGGCGTATTGAACTGCGGGTCGGGCATGAGAAGCGAAGGGGTCTATAAGCGATCGAGAGTCAGCCCGTATGGTCGAGTCAAAGCCCTGAATCTGTGCGCCACGATGCTCGTATATTTCAAGCAGATTTGAGGAAGACTCACTGGTGGATGTTGTTTCCGTGTGCTCATGTTCCAACCATTCCCAATCTTCCGAATCCTTACTGAGCTCTGACGACTTGCTCTCCTTCGTCTCCACTGCGACAAACGAGCACCACTTGCCACCAACTTGGAACTGCACACCCAGTCGAACTGCCTCGCACTCCACCATATCTGAAAACTTGCCCTCCATTCTTGTCTTTAGTAAGATGCCTTTATCATCTCTGGCCTCAGAAAGCCAACCACGGCCTTGCTCCAACTCAGAAATGGCTTTCTTGGCAGCAAGTTGGTGGATGATTTCACCAGGTGTGTCAAGGATCTGGATAGGGATCTCTAGCTCGAGGGGACCGTGGGCGCTGGTGCCCCGCAGCACGATTGATTTTGGTGTGATTGAGGGAGCTTCGGGCCCGAGGAGAAGATAGATGCTGGTTCGATTGAAAGCGAAGAGAGCTGGGATATGTTGTGGGGCTTGGATAATCTTGGGCACAGGAACCTTAGGCAAATGTGCATAACGAGCTTCGCCTGTGTGATCGTCCGATGAGGGTTCTTCTTCGTCGAGATCGACTGAAGTGTCGAATAGAGAGATTGGCTTCTTCTGATTATGGTCAGCAATCAGAGTGAGCATCTCTTTGAAATCTTGGAAAAGATGTACTGTTGCCTCATTCTGTTCCTTCAAGTCGAGCTTCACCTTCAGGCTGTCGGCGATCTTCTCGATGATCTCAAAATCTTCATCTTCCTTTGCTGAAGAAGCTCTGTATTTGACTTCTAGACTGTAGTCGGTGATATGAGGTGACAACGCTCCCTTTAGCATTCGCACAACTTTGTTGTCCAGCATCTCGCCCTCGCCTACCGTTTGGGAAAAACCATTTCCGGCTTTTGCTATACCCTCAATCAGAGCATGAGAAACACCATTGCCCATTCCAAGTGTGAAAACCCGGATGGGTGCCCTACTCTGCCCAATAGATTCATTGAGATACGTGAAAAGGTCCTGTTGGTTCCAGATCTCGCCATCTGTTAACAACATGATTTCAAGCGGTATGTCTTTGTACCGCTGCTCAATAGTTGCTTTGAGTGGCTTCAACATTTCCGTACCGCCGTAGTCTGCACAAAAAGTCGCGATGTGACTGGTAGCTTCGTCGAGACTTTTTTGGCTATACGTCACACTTTGTGGCCAGAGAAAGGAGTAGTTCGACCCGAAACGGCAAATGTTAAACTTGACACCAACAGGTAATGATCTCAGGAACACCTTTAGCGCTTGGACAGCCAGATTATTTCTATCGCCTCGCATACTACCACTTTGATCACAGACAAAAACGATTTCGGGCTTCTCAGCAGGTAGTCTAAATCTTGGTACCAAGGTTGCCATCAACGCGCGGTGATTTGGGATAGTAGGGTGGCTCTCCAGTACTGCCTTAGGAACTCCGATGTCTTTCACGATGATTTGCACAACAAAATCTGTTTCGAGTGAAGCTGTTCCTAGCGTCAAGGATGCTGAAGCTTTGTTCATTGCTGGCTCTGCATGTGGTGCGGTTGAAACTGTTCCCATGGCCATTGCAATGGGATGAGACGGTGACTGTATCTTTTGTATAAAGGATCCATCTGCCATTTCAGTATCGACTGTGATTGAGATGCTTTTGCCATATCCTTCCGTAGTGTCGCTAGTGCGCAAAGTCCCGGGGTAGCTCCCATATCTGGGACAAATGACGTTCGGGATCGTATAGCGAATCCCATCAACTTCCATGTCATGCTTGAGTTCACCAAGGTAGATGGTCTTCACAATGATCTTCGCACCGGGCGGAATATTCCCAACGGTTGTGTGAAACACATCGGATGCATCTGGAAGCTGCTCCAGAAGCCCGGCTGTCTCACCTCTGGCGACAGCTTCCTTGAAGATGGCTTTCGCTTTCTCCTTCTCTTTGACTTCGCCTACAATAGTCCGATCTCCCACATGACAAGTGAATCCCACAACGCTGACACCATCATACAACGGGAATGTATATCTATGAAAGAAGGATTAGTGGAAGGATTGACACTGGCGTATCTGATAGACTCGCCTCACTTCTTTAATGCCCTTTTCATAAGAAGGGTTCAGGAAAATCTGGGTAAGCACTGTTCTCGAGGTTGTCGCAAGGATTGTGGCATGGGCTTCGAGTTCAACAACCGGCAGATAGTTTTTCTCGATTTGCCATGTATTGGGTTGAGTGATGTAATACAACCCGCATACGTGACGGCGCCATGGTGGCTGGTTTCCGTATGACATATTTTGTCAGATTTGAGATGGGAATGTAGACTTTGACTGGTACGTGGGCTTGGACAGCTCTTCTGCGAACTCAAAGAACCGGAACAGAGTCAAAGTGTGTGCGATGCAAGACACGCACGATAATGGATAATTTTCCAGATTGCTGAAACCCTAGAGGATTGTGGATCGTTGAAGGATGAAGAATAAGTCACGATCTTTTTATCGTGAAGAATACGTTGGGTGCCTGGCAGGGTGCCTAGTTAGACCTGGTGCCTGATGCTGTTTGCCCCGCTTGTCCAGCGCCTGCCCTAGTGTTGAGTGAAAGGTAACTAGACGATTTGCATTGATTTAACAGGTGAAAATGACAGAAATGCTTCCGAGTAAGGCCAAGAACCTCATTACAGGCTTAAGAGAGCTTTGAGGTGTCTCGATCCCACGTGCGGAGTCACGGTGCTGGAGGCCTAAATGGTGCCTAGATTGGTGGCGTTGAGGGGTTCCAGCCAAAACAGAGGCAGCCGGTGGCATTGCTAATCGAACAAGGCGCCGTTTTGCAGATGAAAGTCATGGAGGATCGTAATAGCTTGCGCAGTTGTTATATTATTAAAAAAAACACTCTACAACCAGGCATTGATGTAGAAGAGACGTCCGAGGATGGGTCGAGCTGTGTACTTGCCTACGGACAGGCCCACCATACCGACATAGGTTAGACAGAGATTGGACCCTGAACCAGGGACAGGCTGTTGGAAAAGTTGAGATCATCATCAACGCATGCCACCAAGCAATGCGACAATTAGTGACCCCATTCTACCACGCTTTCCCTGAATTTCACTGTTCGTTGCATCGCTTGTTCTGTACTTCGCGCGGCTTCCACGAGTTATCCGAGCTTTCACGGCGTACACAGTTGCAAAGAGCGCATTGGAAGAACACAATGGCGGGGGAATATGAGCAATGGTCGCAACAGCAATTGATTGCCCGGATACAGGAATTGGAGAACCAATTAAAAAATCCTGAAAAGCAAGACCATTCATCAATCGTTCCCGAGTCCCAGGCTACTTGTGATGATGCCAAAACATTGGGATTTCGCAAAGCACCCAAGCCAGCTCCAAAGGCCTTTGACGCGTCCAAGTACAGTACGCGGCTGATAGCGTTGAAATTTGCGTACCTAGGACAAAGATACAATGGGTTCGAGCACCATAAGAACAATTCGACACCTTTACCGACGATTGAGGAAGAGCTATGGAAGGCACTTGTCAAGACACGGCTCATCAATCCCATACCTACCCAAGGGGACGCTACAGGCTACAGCCGGGTTGACCGCAAGACCTTTGCGGCATGGGATAGGGAGGGCGCTGATGTCAATTGGGAGGGCTGTGAATATTCCAAATGCGGGAGGACTGACCGAGGTGTGAGCGCTTTTGGTCAGGTCATTGGTGTGCGAGTTCGCAGTAACAGACCACTACCAAAGACAGCCAAGGCTCAAGATGAATTATCGGCCAGCGAACAGGCAAAAACTTCCGAGGAACCAATATCTATGGCAGATAGTGAACCAGAGACAGAAGGAAAATCCTTCAACGACCTTACGGACGAACTCCCCTACATTCAGCACCTAAATCGTGTCCTGCCCCCAGACATCCGCGTCTACGCCTGGTGTCCCAACCCCCCACCTGACTTCAGTGCCCGCTTCTCTTGCAAAGAGCGACGCTACAAATACTTTTTCACCAATCCGAGCTTTGCCCCCGTTCCTGGCTCCTCTGGGGTGTACAATACGCATACCTCTTCGCCGACAGCCACTCGCACGCGCGAAGGCTGGCTCGATATTGAGGCGATGCGAAAAGGCTGCCAACAACTCATCGGCCTGCACGACTTCCGCAACTTCTGCAAAATCGACGCCTCAAAACAGCTCTCAAATTTCCAACGGCGAATTTTTCACGCCGACATTGAAGAAGTATCACCGCTATCCATTCCCTCGTTCCTCTCGCATCCTGCTCTCCAGTCTCCCTGGGCCAATTCTCCAGCCGTCGAACAACAACCAAAGCTCTACTCCTTCACCCTGCATGGCTCGGCATTCCTCTGGCACCAAGTCCGCTCCCTCATTGCAGTCCTTTTCCTCATTGGCCAAGGACTCGAGCCACCCAGTCTCATCTCCTCCCTGCTCGACATATCCGCCAACCCCACGCGTCCGAAGTACGAAATGGCAAGCGACGCCCCCCTCGTCCTCTGGGACTGCATCTTCCCGCACGCAGACGAAGTGGAAGCTTCCGAGGACCGGGAAAAGGGGTACGAAGATCGCTTGAATTGGATCTACGTTGGTGACGAAGGCGGTGTGGAACCAAAGTCTCGACTTGTAAGTCGCAAAACGGGAGAGAAAAGTGTGATGGGTAGGGGCAAGTGGGGACGCGGTGGCGTTGTGGATGATGTGTGGGAAGTCTGGCGGGGAAAGAAGATGGAAGAGACGTTGGCTGGGCTACTGCTGGATAAGATTGCAGAGTTGGGAAAATCGACGTTGGATGAGGAAGATGTGAGCGGGCAAGAGCTGGGGATTCCGAAGGCTGGACCGAGGGTGTTTGATGGTGGAGATTGTGGCAAGGCGAAGGGGATTTATGTGCCGGTATTGAAGAGGGAGAGGCAAGAGACGGTAGAGGTGGTGAATGAACGGTATAGGAATAGGAGAGGGATGGACGCGCAAGGCACCAAGGCCAAGGAAGACGATGGTGATGAGTAGGATTGGAGCAGCTGCGAGGCGTCTGGTGATGTTGGATACCCTTTGGGGAGAGCCGTTTGGATCGTCACGAATAGTAGAGGAGGTTTCAATGTCATGGCATTGTATTTGTCAGTGGCATACATATGCATTGCATCAAATGCATGGGGTATCATATTTTGTTCCTTTTCCTACTGCCCTCTGCCCCTATTTTCTCCAGTGCACCGTTCAGTCTACTCCTTTTCCTGACCGCGAACCGGCCTAATCCCCAGTATTCAACTCCAAATCCACCTGCACCCCATTACTAATCGCATAATCCGCCAACGTCAACTGATCATGAAACGGGCGCTCGCCTTGCCTCTTGAGCATAATCTCATGTACCGGCCGCCCAATCTTGGCCGCCACCATGGCCTTTAGCACTTTGATCGGATCGCTAGGCAGACACGGGACTTGGGTTTTTGTCCCAAGTCGGTCATTCACTGTGACAATGATCATCGGTTCGTTGGATACGGGCGCTGCAGATGCAGGTGTTGCCTTCTTCTCCTTTTCCGGGCGAGGCTCACGGGGCTTGCGCTCACGCGAGCGACTGCTTCTACGGCGATGGCCTCCTCGGTCTTCTTCGCGTGGGCGGCGATGACGATCGGAGTCTCCGTCTCTGGGCCGCCTGTCCGTCTCTCGTTCACGCGAGTCGCGACGGCGTCCTTGTTCTCTTGACCGTCTTTCGCGGTCTGGATCCCGGGAGCGACGCTCGCGGTCGTCGTCTCTTGGTCGTCTTTCGCGGTCTGACTCGCGGGGACGGTCGTTCTTGTATTTGAGGCCGCTGAAGTTCTTGGGACGGCGTGGGGGGCTGCGGCGTGGGGAGCGGGAGCGGGAGCGGGACTTTGCGCGGTGCGGAGATGGAGACGGCATTGTGTAATGGGTATGTGGGGAATTTATTTGGTTGAGGGTATGGAAGTGGTGAGTGCCGTACAATAGATGTGACGCGATACGTAGGACTGGGCTGCAGTTGTCTGAAGGTGCACGTGATCTTCACTCAGAGCTCGGAGGTTTCGTTAGCGCCCGCAGATGCGTCACAGGGATTTAATCGTCAACATAGTGATACAAGTTAAAGAAGTGTCAACATTGAAGGCCATTGATGAGGAGCTTTACCAAGCACGAAATTCGGTAGCATTCAGGCAGAAGTAGCTTATAGGCACTATCCTACGATGATTCCCCGATAACCATGTCCGCCATCCTGAAGCGCTTTACTTGTCCACCCGCGCAAACACTACGAACATTGCAGCCCACGCCGTCAACGATCCAATACACAGTATCGACCCGTCGCGTAGCAGATACATTTCCTTCGATACTCAGCCACTATTCTGGCATAGCTCTTCGATTTGTTGTCGGTCTAATCGCCGTACTCATCCTTTGGACCAAATACCACACAGCCTATGAGCCAGCTTCAGCCCTGTTGCGCTGGACACTAAACACAGCATGGGAAACACACCTTATCGCCCTCGTACACAGGTGTCAATGGCGCTATCTGGCCCCGCTGTCCCTGTTTCTTCTCTTTCTAGTCTTCAGACGAAACTATACTGGTAGCACTCCCCATTCTAGTCCCATTTCTCTTTCCGCTTTCCCCTCTGATTCCTCAGCTAACCTGTGACGTGGACAGAGGAGTCTTTGACGCTGCTTCGCGGTCTGGGCATACAAACGAGTACCTCATCCGGTACATACCTACAATCCCCGACCACACGCTTCATTCCTACGACCAGTATCAAAGACATCTTCATACACGAGGCCTTCAAGGGATTCGAGGTACGCTTTTATCTAGGCATTGTGGTGGAAGGGGAGGAGGATATTGTCGTTGTTTTTCCAGCCTTGTTGCCGCGACGGGCGTTGCTGGAGGTGGTGTGGAGAGGGGCTAGGGCCTGTTTGTGGGAGAGTGGTGGCGGGATGGCAAAGAAGAGGGAAGATCAAGGGAAGAAGTGTCAAGTGCAGGTGGCAGAGCTGGAGGGTTATTACTAAGTGGATTTTGATTGTAGACAACATGAACAAACGGACATGTAGAATTCTTTTTTGTCATGCCCGCTTGGCTGAATCTTGACATATCCTGACTGAGAAAAACATATGTTTGATCTTTTAAAGCTTCAAGTGATAACCCTTGTGTCCCTGTAATCTAAGCCAACTGTGGTGTAGTTGTGTATCCATTAACCCATACGCCATGCTCCAAAACCCGCAGTAAGAATCCAACCATGTTTACCCCTTGCATCTGGTCGCTCTCCATCTTCTAGTCCAAAAATTCATCATCCCACCGCAAGCCAAACGCCAGAAGCCCGACTACTTCTAGTACCGATACCTGGTCGAATAATCTTTGGGGCTGACGACCAAACCCCTGCCCTTCTTCGCCCCCCGATACACCGTCTCCACAATGTCCACAAACTCCTGCTTATCCTCGAGCACCCAATTCAACTTGTTGTTATTGCCCGTGCCAAAATCGCACATCATGTGTTTATTGCGGAAGAAGAACATGACGGTACACGGGTCGTAGAGCTCGTACATGGCCTTGAAGTCGGGCACCTCGTCAAGGTCACAGAGGTAGATGGCGCAAAAGTTCTTAACGCGGTCGGCGATCTTGTAGAGCACTTCGTCTTGCGCCATGCAGTCGGGGTCTGAGTCGCGGCCAAAGCGGATGAGAACGAGGCGGTCTTCTTCCGAGAGGATGGCTTGGTCGACGTGCCAGCCGGTGCGCAGGTGGGGGAGGACGACGGAACCCATGCTGTGGAGGCGGTGGGGTGGTGGATAATGGTACGTGAGGCGGTAGTAGTGGTGGTTGTGGTGGGGAGGGTTACCTAGGCCAGCTCGTCTTGGTAGGTATGAACTGGGTGGATGGTGTACGCGCTGGGGGGTTTGCGACCAGTTGTATTGTAGGTGTGTGCTTGCTCGGGGTTCTCTATCGAGTAGTAATACTTGTGCGAGTGACTTGTACGGGTCTGCTGTTTGAAGGGAAGCGCGAGAGATATTCGTCGTTGCAGGAGATAGATAGTACTGTTGGATGTAGAAGATGGACGGTAGCGCAGCCGGACATTCACGTTCGAGGCAGCGGATCTAGAAAGATCCTGCCCCGCTTTTTCTTTTGACCATTCGCAGCTCGGCTATTGGCTACTTGCCCAACCTCACCCTCACCCTTCAACGACGGCCGTTACTAGACGACTGACGACTGACGACTGACGACGTTTGCTTGTTGCTCTCTTGTCCTAGCTTGGCTGAGTGCCAAGTACACGGTACACATCTGCCAGATTCTCAACCGCAAGTTAGCAGCAAGGCCTCAATCACAAAAAGCGTCATCACTCATCACGTACGGTACACATCCTTCACTTGTTTGCCTCGCCTCGTCAACGCAACCGTGTGGACCCAGGTGTACCTACCGCCCACCGCCGCCCTGCGCGTCGCAGCAACCCCTCACCCTTGTCTTACTTGCATGTTGGCAAGCATCTTCGAATATCGCGGTGACAACACGCATCCAGCAAGCCAGGCCAGGTTATCTCTGCATGCTCCCCAGCTCCCATCCCTCCGCCCTGGTGATGGAGCGTGGACGTAATCTGGTAGAAAAGATTTCCTACCACTGTGAAGCAAACTGCCCGCGCCTCTCCACTCTGCGGACATGACAGCGAGGGCGCATACGAGAGGACGGTAAAGTGACCCCGCAGAGCCGACTCTTCTCGCGCCATCCCACGGCTGCGTGGCTGATCTTCTGATGATACCACATACTACTCCAGCCGCGCTCCCACGCAGGATTGCAACATCGTGGCGGCCTGATGGGGGCGCGGCAACAGCCCAAGATAAGCCTCGTGTTCGGGTAGGCCACAGCTGAGGGCGGCCGGCTGCCACCCTAGGTACGTGGGCGGGCGATCTACCGTGCATCAGCTGCGTTCTGCTGGTCGCTCAAATGATAGTTAATAGACTTGATATTTCCTAGCCTTCTCTTCTCCTGCTTACTCGTTTCCTCTCTTCCCGCTCATTGCGTCCACCCTTCTGCTCGCAATCGTCTTTCCCTCGCAGTTTTCGCTTCTGCTGCAGTCTCCGGCCAGTCCCTACGGTACTTGAGCAGAAGTGGATGCGCATTAGATATCTGCGTTATGAGGCAACATGAGCCTTCGTCCATTTCACGTACTGAGGTTCAAAAAATCCAGGCGGACAACTACAGATACTGTTTGACTTTGGTGACGATCTGATCACTTGCCAACATGGTGATGCCGTTTAATCAAGAGTCGTGGATATGGTATACCTGCGCAGCGACGATCATCGGTGCGAGACTGTGAGTCTGTGTCCAACTTCAATCCTTGTTCGGATCCGCGATGATGCAATGGCTGAAGTTGGCTGACGATGAACTCCTACAGTATCTCGCGCAAGATACTGTTCGGCTCATGGAAGGGTCTCCAAATAGACGACTGGATCATGGGTCTCTTTGTCACCTTCTGCTACACCCTCCTGATCGTGTTGTCTAATCGATGGCTGAAAGTCCAGTCAAACCTCGAGCCCTCCACCTTCGACTTCACCTCCCTCACAGCCGAAGATCTCGCCCGTCGCAGATACGGCAGTAAAATTGTCATCATTGTGGAACAGACGCAAATCCTGGTGATCTGGTCGTGCAAAGCATGTCTCCTGCTCATGTACCACCGATTGACCCGCACAGCGCAACGTGGCGAGAATATTGCCATCAAACTCCTGTCCGCCTATGTGGCTGTTGGGTTCATTGTCATTGAAGTTCTATACTTCGCTGCCTGGTGTCGTCCGTTTCATGAGTACTATGCTGTCCCAGCCCGGTCGTCACAGTGCAATGCCATGGTCCACCATCGAATTACCAAAGCAATCTTCAACTTGTCTTCAGACGTCATCATGCTCTGCATAGCACTTCAGATGCTAATTCGGTCATCCCTACCGATGAGAAGGAAGATTATCTTGTGTATCATTTTCTCTCTGGGAATCTTTGTCATTACAGCTAGCATTCTCAACAGCTACTACTTCTTCAAGGACCCATACAAACAGACTTGGATCTACTGGTACGTCCGTGAATCCTCGACTGCAGTTCTCGTGGCCAATCTCCCCTTCACATGGACCATTCTTCGGAAGTTTTTCGAAGTTGGTGATTTTGACGAGACGAATCCACCGCCGTGGACGTATCATACACATACTTCACGAACGGCAGGAGGCCGCAAGGCAGCACACCAACATCAGAAGACGAGTACCACTGCGGCTCAACCTGGAACGTATCACTCTCCGAGAAATAGCCATGGAAGCAAGGGCACCCGGTCGCTGACTCTGGTCGGTTCATCATCCTCGAATAGAAATAGCGAGTTCCTTGTCGACCTCGAGCAAGGTGTAGGCAAAAAAGTTCCTCTGCGCCCTGTTACTCCAGGCCTCGCGAAGGAGGAGGGGTTGTTTTCCTTGCCCTCTTCAAAGATGATACAGGATGGCACGGGTGGGTTATGCATGAACAGTCGGTCCATTTCACTGCCCCCAAGGGTGAAGATGGCCGCTTCATCAAAGAGATGCCGCGAACCTAGCCGGGCGGGCGTGAGCGGGAGACCACTGAGTCCAACTCCGAGTCATCTGAGTGTGGGGGATGATGATGATGATGGGAAAGCTCGACGTGGCATTGACTCAAGTGTGGGTGCTAGTTGTACAGTCGGCAGTACAACATGTGGAGGATGGGCGCAGGACAAGAGTTGAAACGGCGAGAGCGAAGTTGTGCCATTAGGTGCTTGATACAAGCCTCTGCAGGTTACGATTTTGATATTGAGATACCCCTTCCTTTATTTAGGTAACACGTGTTTTGTACGAGTAGAGTTTGGATTCGGCTTGAAGCCTGGGCTGAAAAATAGGCGGTTGGTGCTGATTTTTGTCGCTGGGCTTACCTATTGACCGGCCCAATTCGTATTGCTTCCGTACCTAGCCATGATGCGGATATGCTGATGATGGCCTTGGGTATTTCCTGCCTGGAGTGTGTGTGTGTGTGTGTGTGTGTGTGTGTGTGTGTGTGTGTGTGTGCAAACTGTTGAACAGGTCCCCGGTCCTCTCGGCCGATGAGATCATTTGCAATGAGACTGTGGCTTCTGCTCGAGTGAGTGCGACAAGCAGGGCAGGCGGAGGGGGAGACCAAGGTTTGCACGTGATTGTCCGAATCCGGTTGAACGCTTCCCACTTCAGCCATTTCCCATTCTTCCCACCGTCATGCTATGCTGTGTAGGTCGAGTATACAGACTCGCGCTATATAGAGTACATGGCTGCACATGACAGAAAAGCAGCCGAGTATCATGCAGCTCACTGTTGACGTGCTTCAACTGCCTCCTGGCAGCCACCAGCCACCAGCCGTTCTTCGGCTACGGGGGGGGGGAAGACCGCCAAGTCAAGTCAAGGGCCAAGGACAGCAAATCAAGACCAGCCCTCCCCAGCCGGCGCATCCAAGTCCGCTGCCCGTTCGCCGGGTCCAGTGCAGAAAATCTTCATCCGCCGTCGTCTGGAAATAAATCGGTGGCATGTTTCTATCCACCACCATGCTACCCAATTCTTGATCAAGGACTTTTGCTTTCCCCAGCGCCCCGAAAAGGCGACTAGGCTGATTTCTTTGACTACTCCACCTTGACCCTCCCCTCTCCAAGTACTACTCTACTCCACTCTTACCTACCCTACCACTTTGCGCCTGTCACGCTTCTCTGTCACCCAATCTTGCTCTCTCTCTCTCTCTCTCTCTCTCTTTTTTTTTTTCTGGCTGTGCTTTTGCTAGTCCAGTCTAGGATTGTGTGCAGTCGCGCAAGAAAACTGCAACGGCAAACCTCGACCCCACCCTCTCTCACCTCCTACGACCAGTTTGTCTGCTGGCCTGTATACAGTGCTGAGTTGCTTAGCCTTGCAACTTCACCATGAGAAATATCGTGGTTCTTGGCGGGTCGTCGCATCCCCAGCTTACCGAGTATGTCGTCGTGTTGCAAGAGAGGGTCTTCTTCTTGCGTTTTTTTTGGTCGTCGGCTGTTGACGAGCGTCATAGGACTATATGCAACCACCTTGGCATACCGCGCGCCAAAGTCCTCCTTGACAAGTTCAAGGGCGGCGAGACGAGGGTGGAGATTGAGGAGAGTGTGCGAGGCAAGGATGTCTTCATCATCCAGTCTGGCGGCGGTAAAGGTATGAACAGTCTTCTACCCTCTCCTGCAAGTCCTCAATTCGCCTTCCCCGTGTCATTCCTACTGCTGCCTCCCAATGGCTGTCTATCGCGACGCCATAACAGACCCACGCCACAAACAATAGAGTGAGCACGGCTAACAGGATGTGTCGCATACAGTCAACGACCATTTGATGGAGTACGCCCATCCTCATGGTGTAGTTGAGTGAATTGCCTGACTGTCTTCTAGACTCCTCATCACCATCTCGGCCTGTCGAACTGCCTCGGCCAAACGCATCACCGCCGTGCTGCCCCTCTTCCCTTACTCTCGCCAGTCGGACATTCCCTACAACAAGACTGGCGCTCCGCTCCAAAAAGTGTCGGGCTCGCGCTCGAGAACTGGCACATATACCTTTGATTCGCGCCCGCAGACACCCCACCCTGGGCAGGTGGAAAGCCCGGGTCTGTCGAATGGCTCCGCCGCCCTGCACCACCAACTCAGTCGCATGAAAATGGACGAGCGCAGCGGCGGCCACGCCGGCTCCTCGAGCCCTGTCAAGCAGAATGGCATCAAGCGGTCCGAGACGGGCGAATCGAACAAGTCGGACAAGACGAACGGTGACTGCGGCGCGAATGGCGCAAATGGCATCGGCGGTCTTGTGAGGGTGCCGACCACAAAGCCTCCCGTCTTCGAGCCCCAGGTCGGATACCGACAATGGGTTGCTCAGGCGGGGACGCTGATTGCAGACCTCCTCACATGTGCCGGTGCTGATCACGTCATCACCATGGATCTCCACGGTATGCCATAGTCCTTGTTCTGTTGGAGAACGACGTAGGAGACAGAAAGCTCATGTATCACAGACCCCCAATACCAGGGCTTCTTCGACATCCCCGTCGACAACCTCTACGGCCGCCACCTCCTGCGCAAGTACATCCAGTTCAATATACCAAACTATCTCCAGGCCGTCGTCGTGTCCCCTGACGCTGGTGGAGCCAAACGTGCCACCGCCATCGCAGACTCACTCGGTATGCCCTTTGCCCTCATCCATAAAGAGCGTCGCCCCACACAGATCAACGACCGCCAAAACGCGACTATGATGCTCGTCGGCGATGTTGCAGACCGCACCACGATCCTCATTGACGATCTGGCTGATACCTCGAATACAATCACACGCGCGGCCAAGCTGCTGAAGAAGGAGGGCGCGACGCAGGTTGTGGCGTTGATCACGCATGGTATTTTGAGCGGTGATGCCATTGACAGGATTAATGCCAGTGCGCTGGATAAGGTGATTGTCACGAACACGGTGCCACAAGCGGAGCACAAGGCGAGGTGTCCGAAGCTGGAGGTGTTGGAAGTGGGCAATGTTTTTGCTGAAGTGAGTTCTCTCTGGTCTATGTCATTATTTTGTGTTAGCCCTGCAGGCCTGGGCTGGATGGAAACGAGCAAGAGGACTGACGAACGTGATACAGGCCATTCGACGCGTCCACCACGGTGAGAGTATCAGCGTCTTGTTCGATTACAGCTAGTGGCTGTCTTCCTACAGTCTGCCCAGTCAATGCTCTCGCGCAAAGCTGAAGCGGGCCCATCCCCACCCTGTCATTGTGTTCACAGCACCCGAAGCCCCACAATCTTCGTGTTGATTTGGCAGAGTCTGAATTAGATGATTTAGCTGCCTGACTGGCTGGCGGGCGAGAAGACTTGCTTTCTGTCAGTCATTATTGCGTTCATATCCCATACAAGTCTCGTGAGGTCGGCCTCCTGCTGCCCACACGTAACGTCTAGAACCATCTCTGCTTTTCTTTTCTTTTCTTGCGGACTTGTGAGGCACAAAGGGTTAGGCTACTTTGCTTTGCTTCCCGGTCCCGTCCGTTCGTCTTCTTTGTCGCTTTGAAAAGAGCTGCTGGGGGCGGGGTCGATGACAAGTAAGTACCCTTGACATATACTCTGTGCGTATACGTGTGAATACGTGTGAATACGTTTGTCATTTCTTGCACTCAGGGCATGTATATGGCGTTTTTCAATTGCTGGGCTTCAGCTAGACTCTGGTTGCTGTGTTTACTATCGTTTGGCGCTAGATTTGCTTGTGCCGAGTACATGTTTTATCTAGAGAAATGAACAGATGAAAAGTGTTGATAATGGCCTGATTTTGTGTGCGATATATCCTATTCTATCATGGTATTTCATCACGGGGTTCGGATATCTTTTCGAGGTTATGGGGCATGTGGTTCATTCGAGCATGCGTGTCTCTCTGATCTTTGGGTGGAAGGGGCCCAGGGAAAGTATACGTAGTAGAGGAGAGCTTACAGCTGTTCAAAAAGTAGCCGAGTAGAAACCATGCTTGAGGACTTGGGATGACCAAACCCCACGATGCTGTGCGCAGCTCGCTTGAGTTGGCAACCTTGGAAGCCGCCAATCTCACAGCACTGCCCCCAACGCAACGCAAGGCTTCCTGTTCAACTTGCGGCTGAGCGGCTGTACCTAAAGGGCTCACCGCGGTTGGGAGGCTTCGCGGTTAGTGGCGTATCAAGAGAAGTATCAGCTGTATCGAGGTTTGGAGTTCAGTGTATCAGGTGAAGGGTGCTGCGACGTGCTATGTAAGTTGCCTCCGGTCATGGTGTTGGACCTGACCGATCTACAATTGCACCAATACCTACACAGTGAGGCTTCGATCGAGGGTCGACTCATGCGATGATCCGCTCGAAAACGTATCGCGATTTTCCTAGTTCGATCAGAACTCGGGAACAGAGCTCGGTTCGCGCGCTGATTGTGATGAGCACGCTGCCATCGACAAGAGGAAGTTGGTAGTGTGGCTGTGTCGCAAGGCGCCCATCAGCTCCCTCGTGGAATCAAATCGTACCCAAGACCATGACATATAGATCGTGGCAGGTATACGTCTATACAGATCTCTCTTCACATTTTTTTCCAAAAACAAATCCCTCCGCTCCAAACCACTTTCGCCTTCTCAAACAATATCAACATGGACGATCAACAACAACATCACACAACCACTGCAGTTGAAGTCGTCCAGGCCCTACCATCATCGGAGGACTCCAAGCCATCACCACTGAACCTCGACATGGCCATTCTCTCAACCATACAAGACGATGTTAAACCCCAATACGACAGCCCTTTGTACACGGAAATCAACATTCCTCTACCCCGTCTTCCCACACCTCACGCACTCCAGTCCTCAAACAACACATCCACACAATCACAATCCCACTACAAACCACAACAACAATCCCAATCACAACCACAACCCCACCGCTCCCGCCCTCGCTCCCGAACCCTCTCCTCCCTCTCCCCCTTCCGCCGACCCCTCACATCCCCATCACCACCCGCCGCCGGCTCCGGCGCCCCCGCCACCGCCACCGAAGAACAATGGCCCCGGATCCGCAAAGAAGTAGTCAAAAGCAAAGAAATCCACGCCATGATGGATCTCACACATCACGGCAAGAAGAAGAGCCGACGCGGGACAATTGATGCCCTCGCTGTCGTGCCCGCCGTCCTGGTTCTTTCGGCCGAGTTGTTTACGCCTGGGGACGGGCAAGGGGAGGGGCGCAGCGCGGGGAGGGGCGGAGCGGTTGGGAGATGGAGGGATGGGATTATTTGAGTGGGCTGGGTTGGTGATGGGGAGGGAGAGTGGTATGTGGATATGCTGGGCGGCGTTGGAGTCAAGGCTTGTGTTTATGAGAGGGAAAACACGGGGCAACGCGGTGAATACCCAGAGAATATTGTTCAACTGGCTTTGTTTTTGGAATGTTTGATGAATTCAGGAGTGTTATACATGTGATATCCTAGCTGTAATTATAAGAGACGGGCCTCTTATGATGGGAGGTTCCCACGCTAATTGGGTTCAAGGCAGGGCTGAAAGGTCAAAATTGATAAGACGCCATTGCATGCTTCCTTTGGGTGGTGTATCACGATATCTCATAGCCTGCTATTTAGTGATTACATAAAAGGACGTGAAGAAATGGTATGAGGTACAAAAATGACGACTACGTGTCTTGGAAGAATGTCTTTGGTCGATGATTCTAGCTTCCCAATGCCAATCCCGACGAAGCACCAAAGAGGTCATGCACAAATTTCGAAAAGACTTTGCCATCAAGCCCTAATTCATACAAACAGGTTACACTTCTGTTCTCTACTCTTACTTGAACTGATCCTCCGTAACACCCTTACCCATGGCTGCCGTCGAACTCACCCCGCCACTCACCATCTTCAACATATTATCAACATAATTTGCTCCACTCCACTTCTGATGCGTCAACACATCCACCTTGTTCTCCGCCTCGGGTTCCTGGATAATCTCGCCGTACGCACGCATACCCTGCTTGCTGTACGCCTTGCTGAACGTGTCGGCCATGAGCGCGCTTTGGTGCAGACCCGCGAGCGTGATGAATTGCCAGCAGTAACCCAGTTGGGCGAGGCGCTGGATATACGTTTCTTGCTCGTCGCGCGGCATGGCTGCTTTCCAGTTGAAGGAGGGGGAGAGGTTGTATGCGAGTCTGAAGGAGTTGGGTTGTCAGTCATGTGCACTTCCTCCAAAGAGAATGGAATGATGGTTTTGTTTTTTAGGGGGGAGGGGGTGGTGAGTCTCACTTTTGTTCGGGCCAGACGGCGTGGACACCGTCTGCGAATTCCTTGGCCTGGGCATAGTCGGGGAGCTTCGACTCCATCCAGATCATATCGCAAAAGGGTGCGTACGCAATGGCGCGGTTGATGGCGCATTGGCAGCCACCTTTGTACCTGTAGTAGCCCTCACGGGTCCTGGCAGCGTCCCAGTTGAAGTAGACGTCCACACCAGTGAGACCTTGGGCAATAGTGCGTGCCTCGGCATTGCTCTTACCCTTGCTCTGCTCTAAGAACTGGTTGATGAGTTCTTGCTTGTTCACGTGTACACCGGCATTGATAGTGTCAACTACGGCTTCGTGGAAGAGTTTCAGATTGGCCTCCTTGACCCATGCATCTTCAATGGCCTGGAGCTCGCTTCCACTCTTCCCAGATTGCTCGGCGGCATACATGAGCTCGCTGAGGGGTTGAAGGGCTGGGTTGGTGCAACCCTGAATGTAGTAGTGGTCACGTGGGTCGATTGTAGAGGTGATGAGGGTGGCAGCTTCAGAATCCGTTCGGGCAACAGCTAGAAGATCGGTTCCTATATCAATTCAGATAAGCCTCTGCCCAGAGATATGTTACGGCGTGTCATCTTACCCATGATGTCTGCTTGAGCACGGATGGCTACCAAGCGGTTGATGTGTTCGCTGATCGGCACCAGCACTTTTCCAGCCATGTGTCCGCACTTCTTTGTGCCTGGTGCCTGATCCTCGATATGGATACCAGCAGCACCCTTTTCGATAAACAGTTTTGTGAGCTTCATAATTGCCGTGAGACCTCCATGGCCAGTATCCGCATCGGCAATGATTGGGCGTAGGTAGTCGACATTGGCAACTTTCGCCCGGTCGGCCTTGGGGGTTGTGAGGCGCTCTTCCCGTTGTTTCCGGTCATGGAACAATTGTGCCATGAATAGATGTCCGACCTTGTTGGGCACGGTAGTCTGACGGAAGTGTAAGCTGGCAGTGATGATTTAAAAAGAGACATTAGGTACTTACGTATGGATAGTCTGCTAGATCTGGTCCCGGTTCGTCGGTAGACGATGCTGTCGAAGACGCCTGCCATCCAGAAACGTACACAGTGTCCAAGTACTTGGCCATCTGCGTGACCATGACCGGGTCGAGACATCCATATGTATAGCTCACATCCTTGTTCTACGTAAAAAAATTAGCTAACATTTGTAATCTCTTGGAACGCAATCCATACCTTGAAGCGGTGTTCCACAATGTTCCACAGCTTCTTTGATTGACTGTTGCTCGGGTATGTGATCTTGAGGTTACCGCGCTTTGAAACAATTTCTTCCGCCGTGAAGGTTCTCTTGGTGTATCTCCATCTTGAGTCATTCCACCATTGCTTTACCTCTGCAACCTCCTTTTGGAATTGGGCATCCTCGGCGTCCATGTGTGACATTGTGAATAGCAGGCGATACAGTGAAGATGACGTAGAATGTTTCTTGTTTCCGCGACCAGCAACTAGACTCTACCTTCTGAAATGCGGCCAGAAATGGTATACAGCGAAGTCCAAAGGAAATCCGAGAGTGAGAGGGGAAGTCTTTCTTTGAAATAAAGAATGACCCAGCTATGACAACACTACCTCGGTCGCTAGTTTCACAAGCTCCACGCGATCTACCCTATTCTGAAGCATGGCAGTGGCCGAGTCCTTATAAGTATAGCATAGTACATTTCCCTAGGCCCAGCCATCCTTCCCCAAAGCTCGCCCGGGTAGGCCCGGTTGAAGGCCCCATTGGACCGAATGTGTCGACCCGAGGGAAGTTCTCGAGCCAATTCGCTGCGCGGCATGTTCAAAGCTGGAGATTGTGACCCTGCAATTGCCCTCGGTCCAAGGGCGCAGTTGCTTGCTACTTCGCGACCGTGTCTGGCTGCAGATCCGGGGTTTGGAGGGGGGACGAGCGGAACCGTGACAAGCATGACGTTGTGCCAGGGATGGATTGACCTTGAATCTTTCTTCATGTAGTCAGTTGTGCATACGATACGGGCCATGCCATGCTGAGAGCTCAGCCTCAATGAGTTGCTCGACCATGACGGCACGCGCGACCCTGTGCAACTTCACATGTTCCACCGTTCCTTGGTCCTTTTCCCCATCTTTGCCATGTGAAAGCGCGCTGACGCAGAGCGCGAACAGGGAAATCTGGGGATGGCGCTAGCACGGTACCGGTAGAGGGCGCGACACTGTTACCGAGGTAAGAAATGGGGATCCGGAAAAGGCGTGGATGATGGAGAATCGAGGATCAGTACGTTGAGCCACAGTGCATGCGAAAAGCTTATCCGTGACGACAGCCGGATGGGTAGCTTGCGGCTTGACCTTTCACGTGAGAACTGTGATGTATAGCATCGGCACTCGGTGGCCCCCCTTGCCGGTTTTTTCCGTGAAAGCATCCTAGGTACCTACAAGACATGGCCAATCGTGACCTTGCGCATGCAGAGACGGGTGCTGCTATGTTGATTCACTCACAAGACTTTACCCATCATTAGGCAAAGCAAGAATTAGTTACCTGTACCCCTTCAACATCTGATAGGCATGACAAGAAAGCACAACAGTAGTGCTCCAAAACAACCACCACCAGCCCACTGTACATTCCTCTGGACATCTCCAATGCATCTGACTCAGCCCACTTTCTGGCCACTTTCCTGGCAACGCTATACCACTTCCACCCCCTTGAATGATAGGAACAACAGCAAAGCAGCCCAGGAGTACTCTGACTAGCAGATCCACAGCCTCGACACCCTCCGAAAACCCAAACGCAAACCTATGAGCCAAGAAGATCTTGGTAACAACTCGTCGGTAATCACCAGCAAACTCACGCCCCTTCTCACTCCTCACAAATCTGTCGAGTTCTGAGAATGGCCGTGAGCGAATGTCGTCCACGGTGAAACTCTGAGGTGTAGCGGAATATACAGGATCCGGCGGAGCACATCTCAGTCGCTTCAGCAGTTCCCATCTCAGCTCACAGAGATAGTTTCTCTTCACCACTCTTTGCCCCTCGTCTGTGTTTTTGAGCGACTTCGCCGATGACAGTAATAGCGGCAAGAGTTGCGGTCGACATAGCCAAAGCGTCCGGTTGCGCTCATCGGTGAAGACACACTCGCGATCGATAGCTTCAGATGTATACGCATAGTGTACCAATCGTGAGTAGAAAGCTGGTGTTAGGACTCTGATCTCTAGATTCTTAGTTGGCCGATCAGGTGTATGTTCGCGATTCGTGGTGATGATTTCGACGGCGACATTGGGTATGCCTGCGCGAAAGGTGAGGCAGAAGTTTTCCTCGGTTTGGGCGACGAGGTCGTGAAGATAGGCGCTGAAGACCTTGTGCAGTGTTCTGGAGAGATGTATGTTAGTAACACACCAAACAAATTACTCATTCATGGACAGGCCCAAGTCAAGGAAACGTACAATTCAGAAGCAGTTGGTAAGCGCCCTATACTCGATGCCTGGACCTCAGGTCTGAAAAACACTGTCAACTTTCTCTTGAAGAAGAGTTTGCCTGCCTCTCTCACGATTCGTGGGAACGTCATGAGACCAACCCACCACCAGCTCACCACGAATCGTATACTGCCAAGGACCCCTATGGTCTCCGGGTCAATAGCTTTGGCCGTAGAGAAAAGTCGTGCGACAAGTTTCCCATGGCCCCTGCTCGACTTGAGCGTAATCGTGTTGTCAATTTTTGGATCGTCGGACGTGACAGCCGGAAATGGATTCAAAGCTTTCAACGCATAACTCCCTTTCCTCGAATTAAACGGCGAAACATGGAAGTCTTTCGTCCAGACATCTGTGAATCTTGACTTTGGTTCCTCCCCGACTTCTAATCCGGAGCCATCATGAGATCCTTCTGACTCTAGTGTTCGCGGCGGACTGGGTGGACTCGAGCCATCGAGGAGGTACATGCGCCGTTCATCGAAAGTATTGTTGACTTCGAGGATCATCTTTTTGAGCTGGTCGTCTGCATCGTAGATGTACCAAAATGACACCGGATTGAAAGCGTAGCCGAAGAATCGTGGTGCAGTGACGAGGTAAGCATAGCACCATTCTGTATCCTTGACATGCTGGTCTCCAAGGTACATCTTCAGCTTTCCGTAGAAGCCCAAGTCGCCGCTGCCACGGTCCAGGTAATCCTCAGCCTTGATATTCAACCACCAACTGCCCAGCGTACGATCTTGCCCTGTAGATATGTGCAAGCCTCCCGCAGTGATCGCCTCGGGGATTACTGGGAAGCCGACTTGTAGATAGGAATAGTTGAAAGCATGTTTTTTAGGAAAGATGCGGGCATGCGTCGTCCTACAGGGAAATATCTTGGCTTTTGGAAACTCCCTGATCCACTTTCCCGCGGTTTTTGGCAACGAGTCCTGCATCTTTATCTCTTTCTTGCAGGAAAACCATAGAACAATTGCGACACAAGCCAGGATAGCCATTGCAAGATCAGCCTGCCACCTAGCACCATCATTCCATCTCTTGCTCACAAACCCTAGCACATCTTTTCTCTTCAGCCACACAACCCAAATCCAAGAAATACAACAGTCGGTGGTAAGTTGACGGTCTCCATGGCATAGTCGAGCGATATATCCCAGCGCCCAGATTGCAAATAGCGAGATGGACAGTCGGGCATCCTCACCATTCCACAGCGAATACACTATGCATCCGGAAAGGCAGACGACGATCCCAAGACCGGTGCGACCCAGCGCCGTCGGACGCATCAAACAATTGAGCAGATTAAAAATGTGAACGGCAGTCCTTGGGTTGGTTGGAAGTCGTCCCAGGTATAGGTTGGGTATGGGTCAAGGCATAAGAGTAGGGTACACGGGAGGAACAGGTCAGGTAGGTGACATTTTCGCGCTATACCGGAATGATGTTGTCGTTATGCAGGTGTACGTTAGTGGACAAGCCAGTTTTCTCACATCCTAATTTTGCCCTCCACCATTTTACCTAGATACGGTAGTCTGCCTTGGATGCGCTTGACATTTAAACAAATACTTGAAGTTGTGGATGTTCAGGAATCGCATGCCGGCACCATGGCGTGGATAAGTGTGCTGCCCATTTGCTGCTTTTTACCGCCGGATGGTCGCCCGTCGCCCTTGGCCAGTCAGACCAAACCCGAGCCAGAGTAGGTGGGCTTGTCGGATGAAATAGATCGCATAGCAACGTTTACTTTTGATCTTTTACTCTGACCACGGCTGGGGCACTTCTCTCGTGCACTTGTAATGGTAGACAAAGCTCAGCAAAATTCGAACCTCCATGTTCTGGCTTTCACGACTAACAGGGACAGACAGTCCTCTAGTCAGGACTACTGCTTCGTCTCTCAAAACAAGATGCACCTCGTCAACAGCACCTTGAACGTCTGACCAGGGAAGTAGGAATTAGTAGTGATAAATCCTGTTCTCAAACTGCATGTGACCTGCGTTCACGTGATGGAAGCTGGCGAACTGTCGTGCCCCAGTTTATAAGCTGTTTCGAGTATCGTCGGTGCGATGAGTGGTTCGCATCTCCAGCCAGTTGCGGATTGGCGGCAAACTGTGGGGTCATGTTAGTACCTAGAGTAGGAGTACAGTAGAGTAAGAGCAGTACTGTGCGGCCATCTTACAGACCGTTCTCGACCAGAAAATGAAACGCTGCTTGCACTTGTAGCCAAAAGGTCCTAAATGTCCCCGAGGAAAGTAAGATTGCATTATTCGGCAGAGAGTGGAAAGAAAAAAAGCAAGCAGATGGAAAGCGATGAGCGGGTCCGGGGTAATCTCACCACGGCCACGGAAGGCTATCGATAGTAGAGTAGAGTAAGAGTAGTCAGCGTTTTGTGTTCCATGTGATTACCTAACCCAGATTGGGGAAGCCGTTGAGGGGGAAGCCGTTTAGGGGGAACCCTCCCCGCCACGACACTAGTAGGCAAGCAAGTATATTCCCTTCTAGAGTAGCACCATAGCATACAGTGGGTAGACAGACTGCCGGTAGGACGGGACGGGACTTTGAAGTTGTGCTCCTTTCCAGCCAGGCTCTCTCAGTGCTTGTGTGTTTGCTGACATGGCACCTTAGCCGGACCTATCGAAGGGACCGCGCGGCTCGCCGGGTGAGTCACTCGGCACTGTGCCCATGGCAGTTGGGAGTGAGTTGGGGAGTGTGAGGGTGTGGCAGAGCTGTCACAAGACGTTGCAGAAAGTGCTTGCGCAATGGTCAGGAGCAGACGAAGGTTGGGTTGGGATAAACAAGGGGCAAAAAGGCCTCCCTGTGCTGTGCCTGTGCCTGTGCCTGAGTATTGAAACGCGCTGCGGATCGCCCAAAGTTGCGTCATTGGGCAGGGGGATGGATCAAAGTGAGACGCAGAAGCAGACGGCGACAGGAAAGGACCGAAAGCCCAACATGCTTCCCTTTCCGCCCCCCCCCACCCCCCTCTCTTCAGCTGACCCAGACCCAGAACCAGACCTTGATCTGAAAGCAACTGCCGAAGATACATATATCCATACACACATACTCTACATACTACACACTCCACATACTACACACTCCACATACCTAGGACAACACCGCAGCGAAGAATCGCACAAAGAGAGGCTGCCGCACTGTGCTCCTTCGCATCCTTTGGAACCATCCAGAATCCCAAGTCAAGGTTGGGGGGGGGGGCGTGTCGTGATCCTATCTCTTCAGCGTCGCATCCATTCTTCAGCCCACTTGGCAGCATCCTCGAGAGTAGCCTGCCTTGGGTACCTCTGTAGCGAACGACAGCTGGTGGCGCGATCAGTGTAATCGGCATATCAAAAGAGTCGAGAGCCTACTTAGCAGTACCGGTAGCAGCACTCGTCCTAGAGAACAACAGCGACAACGACAATGGCACAAGAGCAGGTCAGCCCGCCCACCCTCAATGAGCGCAAGTCGAGCGCAGACGGTGGTTTGATGAGCAAGAGCAAGAAGCTGCTAGGCTTGGGCAAGAAAAAGCAAGTAGGGGGCGGTGGTGGCCATGGTGGTGATGTTGATCAGCAACAACAACAACAACAACAACAACAACAACAACAACAACAACAACATCAACAACAGCAGCAGCTCTCAGAACAGGCAACCGCGACCGAAACCACGTCAGACCATTCAGCAGCACCCCTAGTACCTTCCTCAACACCCCCGGTAGTACCTTCCTCCGCCCCCTCGCTCATGCCCTCCCCGCCCCTCAGCGCATCCCCCACCGGCCGCCAGGCCTCACCGCGCAGCAGCCCCCGAATGCGGCCTGTAGGAGGAGCTTCACCCAACCGCCACCGCATCGGCCGCTCGTCGTCGCCAGGCATGCACAGCCCGTCGTCGTCGCTCATCTTTGAGCGCAATGTGCAGGAACCAGAGCCCTCGGCCGACGTGCCAGCCCACATCAAGACGGAAGACCACATTCCCCCTGCGCTGGATGCCTCGTCGCTCGCCATCACCGACGACCACCTCAACCCCGACGAGGTCGAGATTGTCATGCACTCGGCCCACCAGCCTGCCTCTTCTGCTGTCGCCGGCGGCCTGAGCGATTCCCTCTACTCGCCCTCCCTCGTCCCTGAAGAATCCACCGCGGGCAGCCATGCCGACGGCTCTGAAGCAGCAGCCGGCTATGGATCGCTGGACATGACGGATCCGCGCAGGCTCAGCTTCATCTCGTTTGCAGACGTCGTCCAGGCCGAACAAGTCGAGCACGACAGACAGGAAATGTTGGGCTCTGGCGACGGCCTGCCCTTCCGCAGCCTCTCCTCAACAGCCATTCGCTCGCCATCGCCCATGGCCTCCGCCGTCTCCTCACTCGGGCCCAGCGCATCACCACCCACCAGCGGCACGGCGTCTCCCAAGACGGGCGAAATGAATCGCACTAAAGCACCGGCCAGCCCTACGTTTACTGCGGCACATGGCACCCAGAGTCCACCACTAGTAAGCGGGGAGTTGCCGCTCCAGATTGAGACGATGCGTCAAGCCTTGCGCAAGACGCATTCCGGAGATTTGAGCGGCGCTCGGTCTCAGCCTCTGAGTCCCGTCAGCCTGACGCATGACGAAAGCGGCCAAGACAGAGTAGCGGTCCAATGAACGCGTGTTGGACATGTGTGTGTATGTGTGTGTATGTGTGTGTGTCGGTGTGAGAGTGTGAGTTTTGTGTGCTTGATCATTTCCGCAGCAGGCAAGAAATGAGTTCCAGTTTATTTGGTTTGATGGTCCGATTAGTGCTACTTCTATGAGCAAGTGCAGGGCGGGTATTGGGCCAATTTTGATATCCATTTGGGCGATTTTCACAGGCTTCTTTGATTTCTACGTATATGGCAGTTGTCGCGGATGGGCTTACGAATGGAGGTTTGGGGGGAAACAGGGCTTTTTGGTAGCTGGCTGGCTGAGAGACATGGTTAGGTAGACTGTCAATGTTCAAGGGCAATGCGTGGCAAGCGTGTCTTTTTTTTTTTGTTTAATAAATATTTACCATTGATTATCTTTCATTGCATGATTGCGGTGATGGTAGCCGCCCGTCCGCCTGTGTCAGTTGATCGAGGTGGGTTGTTTGTTGAGTGGTGTTGATGTCGACGGGTGCCCGAAGTGGAATTGGTTGGAAAGAAGAGGATGGGGTTGCCAAGCCAAGCCAGCCTTGGTCCCAAGTTCGTGCTCACCTGTGTCTTACTAACATGCGGCCGCCGAACTCTACAGAGAGCGAGACCGAAGTTCACCCACCAACCTCACTCTCTACACGGCACCACACGGCGGCCTGCGATGCGCCACGCCGGACGGAAGCTCTTGTCTCGCAGCCCTCGCCCTCGCCCTCGCCCTCGACTGTTTCCCCACAGCACACCCCTCGACACTCACTGGCAGCGCCGTCTCTTGGACACGAAGACCTGACTTGCAGCTGCTGCCCACACCCGCCGCACCACCTGGGCACATCCTCCCCCCCCCCACCCCCCCACCGCCGCCTGGACGTGAGCCGTCGTCAATGATCAGCGCAACGCAGGCCAGCGGTCTCTCTGGTGAGCCCTCGCCACCGCACACACATGGACCAGCAGCGCAGGAGCCGGCGCGAGGTGAGCGCCTCTGAGGCCGCCCAGGGTTTGCAGTACACCGCCGACCGCCCGCGCGACGAGCGCTCCAAGGGCACCACCATCCGTACAGTGACGCCCGACGACCTGTCGATACCTGAGGAAGTTGGCTGCGGCAGTGGCAGTGGAAGCGGCGGTGGCGGCGGAGGCAGTGGCGGAGGTGGCAGCCAGAACTTCTCTCCCCCAAACAGCCCCCACTCGCAACACAGCCAGCCCGGCCAGCCTGGTCAGCCCTCTTCGTCGTCGTCGCAGCAGCGTACCACCAATCCGCGGGCCTTTGTCGCCCGTGCCACGAGCGAAACCGAGTATCGCAATGCGCGCGACCAGACGAGACCACGCACTCGCACCCTCGAGGAGAGGAGCACCCGCGACCGCTCGCCCTCGAGCCTCTTCGCCGCTGGCCGTCACCGCATTGGCTCCGTTGCCAGCAGCACGACCACGGCCAACTTCCAGAGTCTCGAGGAGTCTGTCGTCACCTCAATCGGCCACATCTCCACCATCTCGCCGCCCTCGTCCTCGCAACAGCACCAGCAGCACCAGCAGCACCAGCACCAGCACCAGCCCCCACCCCGCACTTCGAGTACCAATTCTCGGAGCCGCCTCATCAAGCAGCCCCTACGCACCGAGTCGCCAGCCAACGTAGCCGCTGCCAACAACCCCAATGCCGCCGCACCCGAGTCGTGGCCCTCCCCCGTGCCCGCTTCAGATGCCAGAAAACTCAAGGCCCTTATGCGCTCCACGTGCGGCAGAATGCAGGGCCTGCTCGCTTTTCGCCGTGGCGAGTCCAGCCCCTGGGCCCTTTCCTCGTGCTTCATCAACGAAGAGGCCGGCAGTCTGGTCTATGAGCCCAAGAATGATACTTCGTACACGAGGACGCTAATTCCGGATCTGAGAGGCTGCCATGTCAAGAGCGCGTACGATGGCGAGGCCTTCACCGCCTACCTCCATGTCATCGTCCACAACTCGAAGCTCCAAGTCCACCTGCGCCCACCGACCCAAGACGAGTTTGACATGTGGTTTGCCGCTCTACTGTGTTGGTCGCCGATGCGGCCAAAGGGCATACAGAACCGCATGGCCAAGCCTCAGGCTCCTGTCACCATGGAGCGACGACTGACCGACAGCAGGCGGCACTCCGAAGTGTCGCTGCTCAAGGAGACGCCCAAGAAGGAGGCTCCCATCATCAAGGTTGGCAAGATGATCTACTGGGACACAAGTGTGACCTACAGCAACATGGGAACCCCGAAAGGAGTCGTTTCTCGGCCGCAGACCCACCGCATGCAAAGTCACGGCTCTCGCCGGTGGAGAAGAGTCTCCTGCACGCTTCGCGAAAATGGAGAGCTCAAGCTTTACTCTGATACCGATGTCACCCTCGTCTCCACCGTCCAGCTTTCCCAACTCTCTCGATGTGCTGTTCAGCGGCTGGATCCTTCTGTTCTGGATAACGAATTTTGCATAGCCATATATCCTCAGTATACTGCTTCAGCTTCTGCACTGCCACTGTTACGACCCATCTTCCTATCTCTAGAATCACGAGTCTTGTACGAGGTCTGGATTGTCTTGTTACGCGCCTTTACCGTTCCACAGTTGTATGGCCCAAAGTCAGACTCACTCAACGATGAAGGAACACTGTCACCGTCGTTTGGAACACATGACATGTTTCGCATGGAGAAGTCGCTGTTCATAAGAGTCATTGAGGGGAGACTAGTACCCCCCGTCAGTCCAAAGGTTGCCGATGGTGCCACCCCTATCAGACCTTCTTCCTCAGCCAACGCCAACCCGGGAGGATACCTCATGGAGATCTTACTAGACGGAGAAACCCGCGCGAAAACCATGACCAAGAATGAAGGAAACGCGCCATTCTGGAGAGAAGAATTCGAATTCTTGGACCTGCCTGCTCTTCACACAGCATCGTTACTGCTGAAGAAGCGGCCACCAAGTTATACAAGCGGCGAAAAACCCCTGTTCACCTCTGCCCTGAGCACAGACTTGGCTGCAGAAGGCGGCTATGCTGGCACCACCTTTGATCAGACCATTGGAAAGACAGATATCTATCTGGATGACCTAGGCCCGAATCAAGAGATGGAGAAGTGGTGGCCATTGATCAACATGTACGGTAATAGCGTTGGCGAAGTACTTATCAAGGTCAGCAGCGAAGAATGTGCCATTTTGATGGCGCGCGATTACTATCCTCTCTCGGAATTGCTCCATCGCTTTTCGAACAGCCTTACGCTCCAAATCGCGCACATGGTACCGAATGAACTCAAGAAGCTGTCCGAATATCTACTTAACATCTTCCAAGTCTCTGGGGCTGCTGGCGAATGGATTTGTGCGCTTGTCGAGGAAGAGATTGATGGGACACTACGAGACTCGCCTGCTAGTCGGTTGCGTTTCAGCCAGCGATTGGGATCCAGCGAGTCGAACGAGTCAGCACGCGCTATGTTCGGGTCTGCTGGTGACCGGGAGCTCTTCGTGCGAGATATGGGTAATAATGCGAAGCTAGAAGCCAATCTACTTTTCCGCGGCAATACTCTGCTCACAAAGTCTCTGGACCTTCACATGCGCCGGCTTGGTAAAGAATATCTCGAAGAAACGCTTAGTGAAAAGCTGAGGGAGATCAACGAGAAGGATCCTGAATGCGAAGTCGATCCAAATAAGGTGACGTCGCAACATGAGCTTGACAGGAACTGGAGACGGCTGATCAACTGCACGGAAGAAGTCTGGCGAGCGATATACAATTCAGTATCAAGGTGTCCACAGGAGCTCAGGCTCATCTTCAGGCACATCAGAGCTTGCGCTGACGATAGATACGGAGACTACCTGCGGACCGTGCAGTATAGTAGTGTGTCTGGCTTTCTGTTCTTACGATTCTTCGTGCCAGCAGTACTAAATCCAAAGCTTTTTGGTCTGCTAAAAGGTATGTGGCTGTACACAAGCAGCGTCACGCCTCTGGGTACTGATGACATTTCCGCAGATCACCCCAAGACCAAAGCCCGCAGAACTTTTACACTCATTGCCAAATCACTGCAGGGCTTGGCCAACATGTCATCGTTTGGTACTAAAGAAGCATGGATGGAACCGATGAATGCATTCTTATCGACTCATCGCGCAGAGTTCAAAAAGTATCTTGATGACATTTGTTCCATCTCGACGACCGCATCCCCGACGCCACCAATTCCGCCTTCCTATAGCACGCCTATCGCTATCCTCCATCGACTCCCACCTACGTTCAAAGAAGGCTTTCCTTCATTGCCATACCTCATTGATCATTCGCGAAATTTTGCAATGTTGGTGAATTTATGGCTAGACAACACACAGAAGAGTGCGGGTGATATTCAGGCAGGTGACGGAGATCTTCTCCGCTTCCATAATATCTGCGTGTCACTCAATGAACGCACCAAGGATTGTCTGGCTCGCGCTGAACCTGCAGAACGGCCTTCTTCTTCTTTGAGCGTGAAGTGGGAGGAGCTTGTTGAGCAGCTGCAAGGCTCGAGAATTGATAGCAATCGTGGAGCCGTTACTCGAAATCGTGGCCCGATTCAAGAGGAAGAGTTTGAAGATGCTCCCATGTCACCTTATCCCGGTGAAGAGTTTTCTTCGTCGTCAACAACAAGCACACCTATCACTATGCAACCTGCACCCCGGACCCGACATCAACAAAACACCAGCATCTCCGCCTCTGCCAGCTCCCAAAAAAGCAGCAGCTCAGCCACTATATCCTACACTAACCCCTTCACCATCTCCAAAGCATGGTCTGGTCGCTCGGCACCCTCGGGTCACGACTCTGTACCAGCATCTCAGTCTGCATCTACATCTGCCAGCGCTGATGCGTCTGGTGCAGAGGACACACCGCCAGGTTCTAGCGATGGGCTTCACATGGCCCCAGCGCCTTCTTACCCTCAGACCTTGACTGAGCCTTCCATTGCCGCGAACTCGTTCAACTACAGCAACCCCAACATGCACATTAATACACAGCCCCAGAATAACAGCCGGGGATTTGGTTATCCACCCCACAGTGCAGGTGGTCAGAGCATGCAAGGCAGCGAAAATGGCAGTATCCAGGAGGAAGAGTACACTACGGCCCTCCCAGCCTTCAACTCCAAGGAAGGCAAAGAGAAGGAACGAAAAGAGCGCAGTTTTCGAGGCGTCCTTCCGTTCAACCGCAAGCGAAAAGATAAGGATAAAGACAAGGACAAGGACAAGGACGACGATGAGAAGAAAAAAGAGAAAAAGGACAGGAAGGAGAAAAAGGCCGAGAAAGAGCGAGAGCGTGAACGCGAAGAAGAAAAAGAGCGGGAAAAAGAGGAAAAGCGGGATAAACACCATTCCCACAAGTCCAAAGACAAGGACCGCGACCGGGACAGTCATAGAAGCAAAAAGGACAAGGAAGATAAAGACAAGTCTCATCGTCACCGCTCCCGTAGCCGAAGCCGCAGCAACGAACGAGATTCTCGCCACAGTGCTTTAGGCGCATTCACAGAACTCTCGCTCCGCTCTAAGAACTCACAATCCAGCCATCACCATAACTCGCACAAGAACTCGCCAAATAACGACTACAACTCCAACTTCAATATTCCTATCAGTACCCATACCACCACGACCAGCACTACAACAACCACATCCTACTCAAGCCACAACCCACTCTCTACTCTGACCCCCAAAAACCGGGATGAGCCCATTTTCTCGCCCCGTCATACAAGTACGCGTGATCGTGAACGAGACGAAGAATTCTGACTACATGGTTGGTTCACTGGGGAGTCGCCCAAGGGCGCGGGCTTTGGTGCGTTTGGGGAACGAGGATTCGGGTCCTTGGGATTAGGCAGACGGGAGCTGAAGCGGCGGAAGAGTGCGGGAGAGTTGTTGGGTAGAGACGAGAAGGAGAGGAAGAGGGAGAAGGAGAAGCAGGGGTTTTTACGAAGAGAGGCGTGATGTCGTGAAGATGTGGATGAACTGATGATGGCCATTGGGACGAGGGTGAGGGAATAGTGAGGGAAGGCCGGGGGTGTCGTAGGGTGGGGAGCGAGCGAGCATACATTCACATAACTGAGCAGCCTGCACGGCATAGCATGGATGGACTGATATACTCTGCCTCTTCTCCAAACGACATGACAACCGAGAAAGGCAAAGGAATCGAAAAGAAAGGAAGAGACAGGACAGGACAGGATAGGGTAAGAAAGAGCTGGGCGTGTGAATCCCATGAAGGGAAGGACAGGAACATATCTAAGAAATCCAATGTACATGATGAGATGTGATAAGAACGGTTCTCTAGCGATGATTATATATCTACATACACAACTGTACCTTTTTTGGATTTTTTCCACATGAGTTTGTTATTTTACAGGCGTCTGATGTACTGTATACCTGCATTTTTGTGTCTGGCATCTTACTGCATGTCATGTTCCTTTAACATGACATGTGGAGCCGGACATAGATCCAAGGACGTATCACAAGAAATGCATAAGTATTTGCTGGACATGAATATGAAACAATAACTGACCACACACATGAAGAGATGAAGGTAAAAGGCAGACATAACGTCGCATCGCAATTCCTGAATCACAAAAATGTCGCCCTTCTTCCATGTGATAATTAAAGTCTTCACCGATCGCCTTTTCGGATTTTCTGGAGTTTGTGTGTATCAAGTCCTAGAGCCATTTTGTATTCTGGTGTGTCCTGCGGACATGATGTCAAGTCTAAGGGTGAGGAGGAATTTTCTAGTCTCTTTAACACAATACTGTGAAAACACGTGAGTCTGACAACACACCCCTTCTCATTAATATGCATACCACTCGTGGCATTGACCTCCAAGACCACATCTTTTGTTCTCCCGGGCTTTCCTTCCACCCATTCACAGAACAACAACCTCAGTCAAAGTTGAAGGCATTAGCATAGACCTTCTTCTCCTTCTCCTTGCGCGCCTGCACCCTCTTCTTCACAACATCCAACTCCTTAAGAATTGCTGCATCCCCGGGCGCCAACTTCGCCGCCTCGTTCAAATCCCTCAACGCCTCATCCTCATTCTTCTTGCCTGCCCTAGCCGTCGCGCGTCGGAACAGCGCCTTGGCTTTATCCTTGTCGGAAATGCCCTCCATCTCCAGCGCCTTCGTCGCGCTCTCGGCTGCTTCCGCGAACTGTCCAATCTTATTCTGCAAGAGGGCCGAGTTAGAGTAAAGTTGTATTTTCAAGGCGTTCAGCGCGGGCCAGAGGTCTGCTGGGTCCGAGTCGAGTGGCACGGGATATTCTTGCAGGTATCGGATGCCCTTTTGGTATTTGTTCAGGGCGAGGTTGTTGTCGCCCTTTTTGAAGGCATCATTGCCCATAGTCTTGAGCTCGGTGGCTATCTTCAGGATCTCTTTGCCATCCCATTCATCTTCACTATTGGCTTTTTGGTCTTCGGGGTAGTCTTCGTAGGGGTCGCCTGTCGCGTCAGACACCTTGATGGTGGCCTTGTCGTACTCTTCGCCGGTGAGTTCACCACAATCAATGATTGTAGCATCCTGCCAGGGTTTATCGCCAGATTGGACCTTTAGGTTTTCGATTTGGCGGACGATGGATTTGCCGGCTATAACTTCACCGAACACAACGTGTTTCTTGTCGAGGTGTGGAGTTGGAACCGTAGTAACGAAGAATTGGGAACCGTTAGTGCCTATTTTTATCTTCAAGTTAGCCACTGAATTCTCATATCCAAAAAGATCCCCACACCATGTTGCCTTCCTAGAACGGGAGGTCAAGGGAACATACCAGGCCCAGCGTTTGCCATACTCAGTAAAAACGGCTTCGTGTGCATCTTCTCGAAGTTCTCATCCTCGAATTTCTCCCCATAGATACTCTCTCCACCTGTTCCATTACCCTGTGTGAAATCTCCACCCTGGATCATGAAGCCCTTGATCACACGGTGGAAGCTAGAGCCCTTGTAGTGGAGAGGCTTGCCCGAATTGCCTATGCCCTTTTCGCCAGTACATAGTGCGCGAAAGTTCTCGGCAGTCTTGGGGACGATTTCGTTGTACTGTAGAAACGTTTTGTTAGTGCGGTTCTTCGATTGATTGGATGGTGGGTAGAAGGGAGAGTGAGTGTAAGGTAACGTACGAGTTCAAAGGCAATACGACCGGCTTTGACACCGCCGATGGCAATGTCGAAGAAGACACGAGACCGCTCTGCAATGAGTCAGTTAATAGACTTCTTCACAATGCCTTGAAGCTTCATGACAAGCTCCACAATACAGCGTTGCAAAAGCACTTACTAGTTTCAGCCATGACCATTCAATTTCTTTGCAGAGTTGTAAGTGTAAGCGTTAGAGTAGGAGAATAAGAGCTTCGTTGAATAACCTGGATTCGTAAAGTAATTCCTCGTAGACGTGAAACTAAGAGGAAGTGAGGCTGAAAGAAAAAAGAGCTACAGGCCGCGCCCGTAAGCTGCCAGAACGTTCTACACGAAGCTATAGCTCTTGCCGCGCTAAACCCCGCTGCGTGTACTACGAGAAGGACATGAGGTTTGATCGATCGTCAAATTAAAATATAGCACATGTTATATTATTTGAAACAAGCGGTGTGTGAGGGAAACGTATTGCAACCATTGCAGAGCTACGCAAAACTACAGTACGTTAACCATGGACGACTTGAGGGAGGGTGAGGGGTAACGCGGGGGCGGACGTCCGCGGCGTGAACTGACGCTCGCGACTAAGACCACATAGAGCAAATGTGACGAGCACGCAAAGCAATTCCTTTCTAATTTGCTATGCCACTTATCAAAGTCACCCATCTTTCCGTCTGGACTACCAGGACTAAACGAGTAAAAAAGCCCTGACAGTAGCAAAGGCTGCTCAACTAACACAGGCAGCAATTTTCCGCGCATTCGCATCCAAAACATCAACACCAAGAGCAATCCTCCCAAATATCCCACTTATTTCGTTGTCTTGACCCGTCTAGACATTGTGAAAGGTAGAACCGATGATACCGTCTCATTCTGATCATAGTGATATGTGAAGCCACCTTGAAGCGTCCTCCTCAGGGCATTCATACGAAGCAACTTCCACCACTTGTCGATACGGACCACGACACCGCTGTTGATTCTGACTTCAATAGTGCCCGCGCCTTTAGCCTTGCCCGTCTCTTTGTCCAATGTGGTAGAATAGCCAGGTCCACGTGTCGGTCGCTCGACTGAATTACGGACATCGACAAACGAAGAATGAAGCGTCTTGCGGTCCTTCTTCGAAATGCGCCGCGTAGAGACGCTGGCGAGCCCGTCGAGAGTGTGGAGAAGTTGGTCTTGCCTTCGGTACACTTGGTAGCGCTTGACCATGCGTATGTCATCTTTGACGACTTCGGGATCGTCAGAATCATCGGCGTCTGATGGCTCTTCATCGTCGGCTTCTACTGCTGTATAAGACTTCTCGTACAGGAGAGCAATGTTCTCGCCAGCGGCGACTTGGACTCCCGAGTCTGCACTCTCGAGTTGTTCGACGAACGCCTCGACAGCAGCCTCCGTCTCGTCCTCCAAGTCTTCGATTTGGGTAGCGAGGAGACCCCACTGCTCTAGAGCTGCGATGACTACATCACTATCATCTTGCGCATCTACGGATGCGCCATCTGATTCAACGATTTCTAGGAAAAAGTTCATAATGTCCAGAATCTCGTCGTCACCTGCCCCGGCGAAGGAAGCGGCGAGGCCAAGCGTGTAAATCGCATTGGCCTTGACCTCAACAGATGTAGAGGATTGTATTGATCGCTTGAGCTGATCGGCGATATCGTCGTAGATATCAGCCGAGTCCAGTGTGAGGATAGTCACTCCAAGTGCTGGACAGTGTCAGTATCTTGCATCACAACGCATCGTTGAGCTTGCCTTTTAGCGCTTTTAGCGCTTCGCGCTCCGTTGTCTCCTGTTTGATGCTCCTAAGCATAGATGACAACAGCTCACTGATATGCACCTCGATCTCGTCTTTCGCATATCGTGCCATGAGGATATGCGTATATGCATTCAGGCTCTCTGCGCGACCCTCGGTGCTGCTGCGCTTGAGATTGGTGATCTGCTCGATGCGCGTATTGAGCTCAGCCTTCCATGCCCCTTCTGGGATATCGACATCCTCGCCGTTGATCACGTCGTCGATCGAGTTTGTACTGCAAGTAATACATGAGTCTAGTTTTGAGTGGTTTGCTGGAGCGCAAGGGGAATGTGTCACAGATGGCCATGTTGGAGAATTACAAAAGTTGCGAACATGTGAAAACTTACCTCATAGCAGTACCATCGCTGTGATATTCTTCGTCGTCATCCGAGACTGGCCGCGTACGGCTGGCTGCGCGCGACTGAGCAGGTGACGCTGCCGCTGAGTTGGACTTGGAGGCCGCAGTTGAGACAATGCGTGAGCGCGCCTTGCGAGAAACTGTCTTGTGGCTCTCGAGCGCCTGTCTACGAAGATCGCGCATGGTGAAACTGGTACTGGAAATCGCAGCCCGTGGGGGGTAGGGATTGCGGGTACTGGCCCTGCGCAGAGGCCGTGTATAGCCTGCGAGGGTAGGCCTTGAGGGGTTTGGAAATGCGGGGGGAGTAGAAAGGGCAAGGGCGCAGTAGTTATTGCAGCGGTAATGAGTCGTGAAGCTCGGTAGATGATAAGGATATGTGAGGTTTGAAAGACATGAGTCAAAGCCGGTTGGGTTTGCAAGAAATGGGGTTATGGGAAGGATGAAGGAAAGGGAGACAGCGGGAAGGCGTGTGTGTTGGTTGTGTTGGGTCAGGTCAGGTTGTCAATCAGATGTTCCTGCCAGAACGCTCCCGAGTCCCGGATGGGTTAACTCACTACGTCATCGTCGGCCCCAGATACGTAAGTAGGGTGTATACGTCTTGGACATTCACCTTACCTACTCTACCGTTGATTGACCTCGGAACCGTATTTGATCGCCTGGCTATATCTGCATACCTAAGTTCGTTGGTATATCCTCTTTTATGCTGCCACAGAAGTCTAGAAACACGTCAAAGATCTGTTACAGTACCATAAGCCTGACTGCGAATACAGCGATAGTAATTCTCAGAAGAATGTCAAGGTTCCTCCTACAATCAGGTAACATCTCCATAATTGCGTTGACAGTTTTGACATGAACCCTTCGCAACTGTTCCCATCTTTTCGTTACGTTTAATGTATTTGCTCACACTGAAGACCATTTGTACAACAATGGATGAGCGATGGATATTGCTGATCAAGCTCCTTTAGCATTTGTTAGTAGGCTTGAGTACAGAACTTGGCTGCCCTTAGCAAGTTCTGCCTTCAAAGAAAATTTCTGGTTCCTGTGGGTCATAAGCTATGAACTCTACTGGAAATTTGCAGAGTGAAGTAGTGATTTGGGTCAGCTCTTGATTGCTATCTCATTCTTTCTCTGCACCTCCATCTGCTGTCGACGCGCTAAGCAGTAGACCTACTCGGACGTAACTTGTGATAGATAACTACGTTTGCTTGAGCATTTGGAGTCATGGTCCTGGGGGCGAAGGCTGTGCAGAACGATATCCCGATAGAAAAGAGAGCTGAGATCAAAGTCTAAAGAACACAGGCACTTGTACGGTCATGCATCGGTCCTAACCCATGCTATTGAAATTTGGCGGGATGTTTTGAGTGCATCACAACATTAGTGAATCTTGGATATGTAATGTCACTTTCTTCACTCGGATATAAGCAAAGACCTGTCAAAAGGGGTGAACTAACTAGCTACTGGACATGACTGAATGGAGGCAGACAGGACGCTTGTCGTCGTCCCCAAAAGGGTCCAAATTGAATACTTACCATACAAACCGCTTTGTCACAACATGGAGCAAGTGTTCAGTACATTTGATTTTCGTTAGAACGGCAGGGAGAGAACATTGATCTACATAGATGAGGTAAAGATTTATCAATGAGATTATTGCCCTCCTAACGAAATCCATCGCGTAACACTGAGAGCACACTCGTGTTAAAAGCGCAGCGTAAATGATTTGAAGAGGTATGCTCATTGTCTATGATTCACACCGTGTCTTGTCATCTTGCAGGAAGGGATACAGCTACAGCATGAGTGGCGTGCGACTTTTAGCCTGAGGCAGATGAGAGTTCTACAAATTATTCGATGCACCTCCACACATCACTCGCTCACAGGGTTAAAAATTCATGCCTAGTTGACAGTTGTCCCGCAGCTTGATGCCTGAATTAACCCACGTTCTCGGCACATCCTCCAGCTATTCCCAATGCAGTGATAACAACAATAATCGATGGAAATACCCCTCTTCAATAGTCATGAAATACCGGTGAGAGCCTAGCTACTGGGTTTATTGTCGCATGTAAGGAAATTTCAACTGGTTGCTGTGCCATGGAAAGTCGGGGTATGCATATGTACGACAAATGAGGCAGAGTAGTGACGTGACTGCTTGGAGAATGGATGCCTCGAGGCTCCAACCACTTCATGATAAGAACTATCCTGTGCGACTCCTGAAATGCTTCCAACCTTTCCACCACGCATCTCCTTATAGTTCAAGCTCTCATACCAAAAAAATTTCAGCCGTCTCCCTCTTCTCATCCAAGATGAGCAAGAAGAAAAGTCACACTTTAAAGGAAGCGAACAAATCCTCGCGCATGTATCCATCACTCCACCAAGAAGTCACGAATGCGGTCTCCAAACATATCAGCTTGTTGGTTTTCCATGCGGAAGATAGCGCCGAAGGGGTCAACGAAGAATACTCCACCTACGCTAGAGGCGTTTTCCGATGCTACAATGCCAACTGTTCAACAAGATCTTGGAGTAGTGGCAAAGTGACTCTGTTAATCAGAAAATACCGCGATGGTACCTATAACGCTGTAGTATTCAAACAGCGCTGCGAAGAGTGCAAGAGGCTCGGAAAACTGAAACTGGACGAGACGTCATATACCGACCGAGTTACCTACAGACTGCTGAAGTGGGCGGGCGTCGCGCAGGCGCAGCCATACCATGGATCAAAGACGACCCCACCACACAAATCCCATCTATGCGAAGGGTGCAAACGGGGCGTTTGTCGAGAATCGTGATAGCCGAAACGTATATTAAAACTATCACTCTGGATAAGATAGCACGATTGTTAATCGTATATTTGTTTCTTGTCTTGTAATTAATAGGCTATGTAATACAATAATATTATTACGTAGACGTGGTAGATTATACAGAGCGGCTAAAAGAGTCTACAAAAAGGTTACCCTAGAACACTAATTAAGGTTATAAAGGGCTTAGGCAACACCTAATCCTAGATCCACTATGGTACAAAACCGGTTTACAGTAGCTATATTTATCTAAAGTAGACTAAGAAGTAGTTTAGGTAGAAGAAGTAAACCTAAATATAGTTTATTATACTATATATTCTATAAAAGTAAACTACTTTTATTTCTACTTCTATTAATCTACTAGTATTACGTAGTAATACCTAGTTTCCTACTATTTAAGTATTTTACCCCTCCTTTCTTTAATCTTCTTCACTACCTCTACCACCACCTCCACCACCTCCACCACCTCCACCACCTCCACCACCTCTATCACCACCACCATCTCTACTACCTCTACCACCACCTCTACTACCTCTACCACCTCTATTATCACCACCTCCATCCACCTCTATTATCACCACCTCCACCACCTCTATTATCACCACCTCTACCACCTCTATTATCACGACCTCTGTTATCACCACCTCCACCACCTCTATTATCACCACCTCTATTAGCGCCACCTCCACCACCTCTATTATGGCCGCGTCGTGCCACCTCGATTATGGCGACCTCGATTATCACCGCCTCGATTATCACCACGTCTATTAGTACGGCCTCCTAGTAGTAAAAATATTATGACTTATTATTATGTTATATATGCGTATAGCGTGAAGCTAATCTTTTCTACCCCTTTTAGTCTTAGTTAGGTATTATAGCGTATAATAGAAATAAAACTACTTTTTATACTTAATTTAAACCCCTACTATAAAAGTAAACTACTACTTTAAACCTATTTATAGGTATACATAAGGTTAGTTTACACCTATATAGTAAACCCCTAGCGTACTATTCTATAGTAAACAATTTTTTACAATAGTAATCTACTCTCTACTAAGATACTAAATACTATTAATAACGCTTGTCGCAATCTTCCTTAAGGCTAGTACACAACTTAAATCCCCTGTGTAGAAATTTGGATCACAAAGGTTAGGAATAATTTAGGAGATAGATTATTAGATTATATCTACTATAATTAGACGTATATAAATAGAGCTTTAGCTACCCTTACTAGAAGGTGTATAATTAGTAAACCTTCCTTACTAGAGCTCCTATTTCTATTAGGCACTTAGTAGTAAGCTAGTAGTTAATTAGATAGTAGGTTATATAGGGGTATTAATTAGGATTAATTAGAATTAATTAGATTAAGATACTCTATAATCTAGTTATTATCCCTCCTATAATATACCTCCTAGGTATAGGTAGATCTTCTTATTATATTTTATCTATATATAGATAGATAGCTAGTATAGCTAATTAGAGTATTATATATCTAAAGGGTTAAATTAGTGTACCCTTTAGATACTAGTTTAAAGCTAGTACACTTTCCTTATTAGGCTTATATACTTATATACTAAGATATTATCTAGAGTAAGCTCTAAACCTATCTTACCTAACTTTAATCTTTACTATACCCTAAATTTTAAGATTATATAACTCTAAAGATCTAACTTATACTTATATTCCTACTAACCTATATCTTAGTTAAAGTTTAAAACTACTACCTATACTTACTTTACTTATACTACCCTTAATACTTCTTATACTACTAAGGCTACTATTACTACTAAGGCTAAACACGCTACTACTAAAGCTACTAAAGAGGCTTAGTATATAGCTACTAAGTATAAGGCTACTACTAAGAGTATAGCTACTAGGTATATAGCTACTACTACTATTAAGAAAGCCTTAATTAATACTACTTATAAGAAGTATATATAGTTATATTTAGCTAAGATTAAGAAGTTAAAAAAGGGGTATATCTCTATCCTAGCTCTTACTCCTTATCTAGCTCCTTTTCCCTCTCTAGCTCTTACTCCTCCCTAGACCCTAACTAAGGCCCTTACTCCTACTCCTACTCTCTCTCTAGCTTCTAAGGAGACCCTAAGATCCTCCTATTATAGGGAGCCTAGTATTTATTATACTAAAACTTATTTAAATTATCTATACTTTATACTCTTTAATAAGTCTAATAGTAAATACTATAACTCCTCTAGTAAGGGGACTTAGTACTAGTAGTGCTCCTCTAAGTATAGCTATATCCTAATATAAATAATCTATATAAGAATTTTCTTTTATTCTACTTTTAGTAAGATTAAATACTAATAAACTAATTTAGCCTTAAGCTTACCTAATATTCTATACTATCCTTTCTAGTAAGGAAGTAAGTAGGTAAGAGCTAAGATCTTCTTAAGGATAAGAAGAGAAGGATCTTAGTACTCCTTAAGGAGAGTAAGGCTAAATAGCAGGAGCTAGTAAAAGCTACTACTACTACTACTACTAAGCTTGCGCGTAAGGCTACTCTTATAGCTAAGGGCGCCTAAAGCTCCTTATCTAAAGATAAGGACTCTAGCTCCTCTAAGGTTCCCCCTATAGATCCTAGGTGTGAAGGGCTTAGGCTTATGCCTAAGCCTAGGCCTAACACAAGACAGACTAAGTCTAACACTACTACTACTACTACTACTAAGCAAACACACTACACACCTATAAAAAGGCGTAGAGGGCTTACCTCTCCTTTAAGATACTAAATACTATTATTAACGCTTATTATATTCTCCCTTAAGGCTAGTCTATAATATTTTAGTATCTTCTTCTAAATATACTATAATAGTAATAAGAGATAGACGCGCTAGATATTTAGAATAATTAGGTGTAACCTAATATAGTAGAAAGGCTAATATAGTAGCTCTATAGATTAATAGAATAATAGGCTTAAGACTCTACTATAATAGCTATACTATATTAGTAGAATAAGGAAATACGTAATTAGATTCTATCCTAACCCTCCTCTAAGCCTACTAGGTTTAATAACCTACTACCTCTACTTCCCTTTACCTTATACTATAAACCCTTTCTAGTTAGCTTACTATATAATAGCACTAAGGTAAACTTCTCCTCCTAGTAAATAACTATAGAATTTAAACTACGTGTAGATAAGGTTTTTATTAGGGATAAAGATGTAAGATTTATATATATTTAGTCCTAGTTATTACCTATAGTCTAGCGTGCTATAGCACTATACTTTAAGGATAGAGTAACGTGATCTACTACTAAGCGCCTACCCCCACTAAGCGCCTACTAACACTAAAATCCACCACCTACTAAATAAGGATATTGCGCTACCCACAATAGCTATTATTACGAGATTTCTTAGAGTCGCGATTATTAGATCTATTAGAGTAGATTAAATATTTTAGATTATATAAGCAGCTTTTTAGGGGGTCTAATTAGGCGCCTACGCTATAAAGTTGCCTCTACTACTATATCCTCTTCTACTAGCTCCTTATTAACTACCTTAGCTAGTATAATAGTAGGAGGCTTAAGGATTTACCTCTTGCCTATTTAGGACGTTTTAATATTATTTTAGAGTTACTTTTCTAGTTACTTAGTAGTTTTCTACTTATTACGTGCAGCAGCTTTTTAGGCAGCTTTCTCCTCCTACTCCTTCTTAGTAATTGCTTAATTTAGGCAACACTCCTCTATAAGTTAAGCTTTAGCAAGCTTCTATTACTTATAAAGCTTAATTACCTTACTTTTTTAGTATTATAGCTCCTATTCTTTAAGGTTCTTTTACTCCTAGAGCTTAAATACTTGCTCTACCTTTAATAGTAAAATAAATTAGGCACTACTACTATAATTATTATTAGGGGGTAATAATAGAGGTTTACCACGCTTCCTACGCTTCTTCTTATTAGCTAGGGTAGCCCTTAGGTGTTTATTTTTATAGTTAAGTAGAGTATTTCTTACTAATATAGTGTAGATTATCTAGCTAAGCTTCTTTAACTATTTATTATAGATATTAATTATAGTATTATAGAGTAACTACTCTATCTTTCTCTAATTGCTTGCACTTAATATTAAGGTTATACTATTACTTAAAGAAGGCTAGTTACTATTATTTATAGGTGCTTTAAACCTTAAAAGGATAACGTTAGGGTTAAGTAGTAAGATGCCTATTACTTTAAAAGCTGTTAATATTAGCTTTTCCTTAAAGGTATTGCTCTATGCAGCATTAAATAACTAGTAGAAATCCCTCTTAGTAATGCTTGTGAGCCCTTAGGAGCTATCTAGAAAACTAGATAGTTAAGCTTTGTATAAAGCTGCAAAGGGAGCAAATACTATAACGTTAAGTAGCTAAAGGGTGTAAGTGCTATAAGGGGGATATATTATAAGTAGGATCTTATGTTTATTATAGTACTTAATAAACTCTATTATTACGTAAGATCTATAGCTATTAAGGATAAGGAGCTAGTATAAAGTATAAGCTTTAGCTTTTATCTTGTAATTAAACACCTCCTTAAGCTAGGATACCCCTAGGGTGTGGCTTGTCTACCTACTTAGTAATCCTGTAAAGAAAGCTTAGTATTATAATAGGTTAAAATCTTATAACTAGGTATCCTGTAGAGCTCTAGATTAGGACTAATAAATAAGGGTAGGGGTAAGAGCAGTACTATTAGCGTATATGCAAGCTATAGTAGTAATCTACTCCCTATTACTATCCTAGAGTATAGCTCTAATCTTTCTCTACTTATAGGCGCTCTTATTAAACACACGTTTAGTTTTTAATAGTACTCTAATAAGAAAACCCTTCTTATCTATATTATAGATATGCTAACTCTTAATATTATATTGCTCTATTTTTTAGTGTAAAAGCTTAAAGTATAAGCTATACTTAAAGGCAGAATTAGCTTTAAAGCGGTTGCAATTAAGCCTAGTAGCCTAATAGGAGATAAGATTAATATTATAGCAGTTAATAAAGCGCTACACCTAAT